GTTGTTTTTTGAAGATTACGTCTCATGATCATGCGTAGCATAACATAGTTTTTTTGTACAGAGACATATTTTCACGTCTAGAAAACAGCAGTACGAGCTTCAACCCGGGACAGGCCCAGTATGCCATATGTAATCACTATGAGCAGGATAGTCGTACTTGTTTTTGTAATCTTGTTGATATAATATTGTGTTGTTACATTATGACACAAAAGATGAAGAAGTAGGAAACTAGAACTATCTCTCTTCTTAATCCCCCCCGTACCATACAACACCCTCCAATAGGGGCGTAGAACTAAGCCCTTTATGCCCCCCTGAAAGGTCTGGGGGGAAGGGGAAGGGGAAGGGGAGGGGGAGGGGGAGGAGGACAGGGGCGGAACCGGTGGAACTGAGCAGCGGAAGAGAGAGAGGGAAGTCGGAGGAAGGAGGAAGCAGGAGAGTGTATGGGCGTTCCCGACGATTGCCAAGACCAGAGCAAAACCACCAGACGAAACCCAGAAAAGTTGGGAGGACGCCTGCTTTTATACTACGGGCCATTTCCATGACGCTGCGGGCTTATCCCCACGCACCCGGGCCCGCCTTCTGTGGACGGGTCACCGCCACCCCACTACAATGGTGCGGCCAACCAGCAGAAACCAAGGAGGAAGGACGACTTTCCCTAGCGCCGTCCTTCGCCTAACTTCGGGAGTTTTGGGCGACCGCCCCCGGGGTTGCCCGATGATTGGTCTCTGTCTCACCCCCGGGGGGCTTGCTGGAACCAACCCACACCCACTTTCCCAGGCGGCGATGCGCTCTTTTGACTCTGGCCCATCCCTGGTACGCCTCCACGTGGATCTGGCCAATCAGCGCGGCGCGGTGGGCAGAAGGGTTGGGACCCAAGAAACCTTGGGTCAGGGTTATAGGAACCAATTCCAAACCTCCCAACCGCTCCTCCGTTGCCGATCAGCCTGTAACAGCCCTAACCCAAGTCGGGCCAATAGCCTCGCGTATCCAACCACTTCTGCTACCCCTGAATACGCTTTGGTGGATGCGCCGTTTTGGGGTTGTTCCATGGTTGTTCCTGCCTCTCTGACTTCCGCATCAGAGTCCAAAACCTGCGATGATTCAAAGGACCCAGGCCCTGGCTCAGCCTGCCTGCATTGCGTGACTGACTGCCTTGGCTCTTTTGACCCTCTCTCGTGCGCTGCCGGCGACTGCCCGCGCAAAACCTTACGGCAAAACTTGCTGTTGCCCGCGGAGCAACAGGGCGAAATGGAGGGAAATGGAGGGAAATGGAGGAGGGGGTTTGAACTCTCTCCCCACAACCTTCGGTACCAATCATCAGCATCACTCTGTTGACATCGCCGCTTTTACAACGCTAACCCTAACCCTAACCCTAACCCTGATTTTCCCTCCCCGGGTCTTGGCGGGTGCTGGTTATCCCTGAAAGGCCGCGTCAGGCTCACCTAATCACCACGTTCCTGCACGCACCAATCACTGCGCCTGAAACTGCGCGGAATCGTCGATCACGTCAGCCTTCAACTGCTGTTGCGCGTTCGAAAAAGAAAAAAAAAAAAAAAAAAAAAAAAAAAAAAAAAAAAAAAGAATAGTTAAATCGCCTGGAAGGTTAGTTGGCTAGCCCCTTTTTTCTTTTCTTTTTTATTGTTTAAACCCTTCTTGACAGTTTTGTTTATTCTTCTTCGATTTCTCCAACACCTTATCTCGGCACCGTCTTTGAAGAGATGATTTGTGCTGTTCAATCACTTCAGGGGATTGGATGGTTCTAAACTACCAAGGCCAGCTGACGCGGACGAGGGGTTGAATACTGCGATTCCATTATGGCCCGCTTGGTCCAAGACTTCTGGCGAGCTGCAGCCTGGTGGAGGATGGAAAGTGGCTCTTCTCACACATCTTGTTTATTTACGGCAAGCTGATGCCTGTTCAACCAATCGAGCAGCAGTCGTTCCTCAGCAAGGCCGATCCATTTCTTATCCCGCTCAATCTGAACAACAGCATTGGGAGAAGGGAATATCCTTGCAAGGAGCGTATTGACAGGAGGCAGCCTACAGGCAGGCGAAAGAGATCCCAGCAAGCAGCATTCCATATATTTCGACAGAGAAACCTTGTTTTACCATGAATGTCAAAAATCCATCCATATCACCTCCTACCCGGGATACCTTGGGATCCAACCAACTAACTGCCGTCGCCTCCCCAACCGTGTTGCTTTTTTCTTTCGTCGCGCAAGATTTACAATACAACAGCGTACAGGTACAAGAACCGCAACGAAACCGAACGTACCCAAAAAAAAAAAAAAAAAAAAAAAAAAAAACCGCTGCACAGCCCCTTTTTTCGTTTTTGCTTTTCCCGTTTGCAACCGCCCGAGCGAAAGCGGTCGGTCGCATCGCCTAGGGTTCCCGATCCGGTAACAACCCAAAATTCTAAATTTAATTTAGGAACCATTCCACCGTGTATTGCTTCTCAACACCAAAAGAGCCGCAGGTCTATTTTTTTTTTTTTTTTTTTTTTTTTTTTTTTTGGCTTTCCTGGAACGCAAAATTCTAACCGTCCGGGGGGCCAGAATGGGCGGCCCTGGCCGCATAGCGGGGCGACGGAGGTGCTTACTTTTCAGAGAGTGAGCATGATTAATTTGAGCAAGCCATGACGAAAGCGCAAGGCTTGATTCCGTTGGGACTTGACGTTACTTTTCCTTGTTCCTCTCTTTGATGAACATTACATTTAATATAAATCTCACAAGCCCGAGATGTGGCTTGCCGCTGAACCGTTAGCCCTTTGTCGTTTCTTTTACTTTTTTCTCATCCTGTTTGAAAGCAGGTTGGATGATACCTTTTTCTTGGCCTCGTGATCACACTGTCCACAAATATGTGGATCCAACGCCAACGCCATTTCTTGGACCCCCTCTATTTTTTTTTTTCTATTTTTTTTTTTTTTTTGTTTCGGGGATCCTTACCGAAATCCAGTCTTGAATTTTTGGAGTTGTTATATGAAATTATGCTTAAAATGAGTGGCGGCTGGCTGATGTTGTGCCTCAACGAGTTGAAAAAAAAAAATCTTTGCAACCTCCACACACCTCGCATAGCGTGACGCTATCCTGATAACTCAAAAGTAAACGAGATAAGGTAGAGAGATATGAGGAGTTGTGTGCTTGCCGGGTTATCTAGTTGCCCGAGTTTCTTCCAAAGCTCGGGGTATTGCGGAATAACGAGTTTCAATTCATTATCTATTTACCCATATTTCCTGCTAGGGGGTGGATGGGGAGGGAGAAAATCGTTTGTTGGGTTGAACTTTTGGAGGGAATATACTTCGATAAAGGGCTCGACCTTCAGCAGTAAAGATTTTCAACGCCCTGTGGATGTTCTCTTCTCCGGATTGGTCCGTGCCGCCAGGACGGACAATAGGCAACAGGCAAATTCTTCCATTTTCTTCGTCTGGCAAACAAATACTTTCCTTTCCCACATGCTGGTATAATGGATATGTCATGTTGCATGGTACGTTTCTGCGGGCTGCGAGCTGCAGGCTGCAGTTCCCTGGAACATACCTCTTATCAGAATAAGTTTTACCGATTGGCTGGTAGGACTCACATAATGCTCTGGATAATTTTCTGGGTCTATTGGGTTCTGGACTGGCTTTATGTATGGGACACATAGCAACTTTCAACAAATTTCCCTAGGAGAAGACTCACGCAGAAGTTGAAAGCCGTATTACCTGCTTGTTACAGACAGTGGAAGCTTAAAATCGGGGGAACCTTTTACGTACCATGATTCTGAATGCCAGGGCTTGCTCTGAATGAAATTATTATTTCCCCCCTTCTAAGGACGTGCTGCTGCCTGGTAAAATTTTTACCATGTCTAGAATGTTCGGAATAGAGAGCTTCTCATCCAGCCCAACATATGGAAGGTAGGTAAATGGGGTTTTCCATTCATGGGCCAGTCCAAGAAGGGGTTGAAAATCGTCCTGCCGAGATCGGAATACATGTCCCGCGGGAGTTGGACCGACGACAATCTCATACAAAACCACCTGCACTATCTAATAACATATTTAATAGCTAACCAGCGTCGCGCCAGTCTATCCGCCCCGTTTCCCTGTGGGCGTAGGCTGGTCTTGAAAGAGAGCAGAATCCATCCCGAATCTCCTACATACTGCTTTCTCGTACGTATGTACTGTGCAAAATTTGACGTCTGTTACCATTCTAATCGACGTTCTCTACCATGTACTTCTAACAAGGATCCCATCCAACTCTTGCCAGTTCATCGGTTATCTGGTTTTAGGGGGATGAAACGCTGTTTCGCCGGGACGCGGTTGGTGATGAATGGCGGAGTCCCGCCCAAGAGCAGTTTGATTCCCCATCGGATTGATTTTCACTCCTTTTAAACTGGGGGGACATAATCAGTCCTTTTAGCCTGGCTCGCTACATTGACGTCATGAGCATTTGCTTTCTCATACGCAGTGCAGTCATCTTCTGCTATGCTAACATCGTCATTGTCGTGGAGATGCCGAGTGTGTTTGGGAAACGGTACCATCTGGACGCTCAACAGGTTTGATTGCTGTTTACATCCATAATTGGCGAACAGTCCACGGTACCTCTCACGAAGTTATTCTTCCCTTTGAGTATGAGGCCTGAGTATGAGGCCTGGACTGGAAAGAAATTCCCGGCAAACAGCCTGTGGAGTTCCTATGTTGGGTTTTTTTAACGGTGATTGCTGGGTTTCTGGTATGTCTTCAATGCTACCCCACTGGTTGGAGCAGTGATAGCCAGTTTTGGAAACCGGGCCATCACCGCGGCTTTTGATTTCCTTGGCGGTCGAATGTCACCGTGAGAGGTCGTCCGATGTCGGAGTTTCCATTAACGATATCCGTCAGGAAATATGTTTTGCAAAAGCTTATAGAGAGCACTTTTGCTTCACTACATGCGCAAGGCGGATTACTCGGGATCTCGAGGTCTCCACCAAAACTCCTACAGAGGAGTTTGTCTGATTCGTTCGGACCGTAATTTCGTATGTGGCACGGCTTTATGAAGAGGCTTTAATTGTGAAAAGAGCTTCGATCGGGGGATATTCGGTTCTTCTGCCTATCCTGAATATTCAGAAGCACGCCGCACAAGCCAGGTATAATACCATGCGAAACCCTGTTGGTATGAAGTAAAAGATGTCAACAATACTTGAACTGTCGTCTGAGAACGTGTCCGAAATCACTTATATCAATTCAATTTCGGCGACCCCCACTTTCTATCCTTACGTGCATGTATTCCGCTATCATCAACAGTCCCTGATGCCTTGGGACTCCACCAGCGGCCGATCATTGACGGGAAGCAGCACGAATAAACGCCGTCGCTAATAGTATCTCATATGCCAAAGTGTTACAAACCTATTCCTTTGCAATCGAGCGAAACCATATCTGGTCCTTGTGCATCGGATGGTTGATGCTTGCTTGACTCCTGGATAGCCTTTATGCTGCTTGCAAATAAGCATTGTTCATGAGGTTGATACGATCAACCTGACTTCTGGTCATGCGAAACTAACTGCATCTTCACCGGTGTTTTTCTGCTTCGAGTGCGTCCTGGCGAGAAGCTGCAGGAGTAACCCTCATCCTCATCATCAAGACTATCCAGATCCTCATAGAGGGTCATATAAGAATAGCTACCTAGGAGGCAGAACACTAGGTCACGGTGGTTTATTAGCGATGGAGAGTCGCTTGCTGCCAGGTTATGAAGTTTTTCCTCCCTTGTTTTCACCCCATTCTCCTGGGTTTTCAAGTTTATTTTCACGGGTTCAGGTTGGTGTCATAAGAGCTGCTTGAAGACGGAATGATGCCAGAGAGGTTATCAAACTCGATTTTGTGTTTACATGTAGCCCCAAAGCTGTCAATAAACGGACAAACTGTATTCAAATCCATGTCGCTTGAAATAATAAGAGAGTCCATTGCAGCAGGAAAAAAACCATCAGGACAGCTCTGAGGAAAATGAAGGATACCAAATTTACCAGTAAAGAGAATAAATAAAAAAGTGGAAGAAGAATAACAATTGGACGCTGCCGGAATCGAACCGGCGACCCCGTCAATGCGAATGACGTATTATACCACTAAACCAAGCGCCCAACGATTGGTCTTCTGAGCGACAGAATTCCCATTCTATTGTAGTGCTAGATATTCCAATCGCCCGAGTTTTTTTAAAACCTTCTTCAAAATGGCTAGTTGCATATTGGGGGGCCGGGGCAAAGTATATCTATACTACTTGCATAGTTTCTTTTTCATGCCTTTGCAGAATGGTTAGTCGATCGTTCCAACTGTTGCTATTCAAGATGAAAATGGGATATAAATGGTTACTAGCATGATTTCCATTCGACACCTTTTTATTGGTCAGAGCGAGATTCCTCGGCTGTTCTTGCTCAGGCGGCGTTATCCAGAAATATCCGGAGTTGAAGAGTTCATCCCGCGATCGCACTGCTAATTACTCAATATATATTATTTACCTCGATCGGAGGCTGGTTTACCTTAACTCTCGTTTGTATGCCCGCAGCCATGGCCTCACACACCACAATCATGTCTCTCCTGAGGCGTGAATTCGCACCGGTCTCTTGGAGAGCAAGTGTGGCCAAATCTGGGTTCCGCGCCTATTCTACCCATGCGCTCATAGGGTTCCCTTCCAGTCGGCGACGAGCTATCCAACAACGACAATTCCCAACACAGAATGTCTGTTTAAACCAGATACAGAGTTTTTCGAACACTCTGCAAAGGCGATATCCTGGTGACTCTGATACCTTTGATCCTTCCCAGATTGAACGGGAATCGGACAGTGTCGATGTTTGCATCGTTGGTGGCGGTGCGTTTTTTTTTTTTTTTTTTTTTAAATAACCCTCTGTCTAGAAAAGTAGCCCCCCTTTTTCTAGCTCTGGTTTAGATGGCGGAAAGACTGACCGACATTGTTTTTGTGAATATTTTGAGGATAGGCCCCGCCGGTCTCGCCGCAGCTATACAGCTCAAGAAAATCGCAAACGAAGCGGGCAATGAAGATTTCAGGGTTATACTTTTGGAGAAAGCAGGAGAGATTGGGGATCATATAATGTCGGGCAATGTTTTAGAGCCCAGTGCGATCAATGAATTGCTTCCAGATTGGTTGTCAGAGGACAATCCCTCGAGATTTGAACATGCAACGCCTGCGAAGTCGGATCGCATGCGTTTCCTTACTAGCAAACATGCCTTCCCAATTCCATGCCCGCCGCAGATGAATAACCACGGCAATTACATCATCAGTTTGAGTCAGTTATGCAAGTGGCTCGGAGAGCGGGCGGAAGAAGTTGGAGTTGAGATATATCCTGGTTTCGCCGCAAGTGAGGTACTGTACAAGTCGGACGGATCGGTCAAGGGAGTCGCTACCAACGATCTTGGTATTGGGCGCGATGGGAAGCCCAAGGATTCCTTCGAACGGGGAATGGAGTTCCATGCCAGAGTCACGCTGCTTGCTGAAGGATGCCACGGAAGCTTAACAAAGCAAGTTATCAAGAAATTCGACCTGCGACGGGACAGCCAATCTCAAACATATGGACTGGGAGTGAAGGAGGTTTGGGAGATCCAGCCTGAGAAATTCCGAAAGGGAGAAATTCTTCATACGTTGGGTTACCCCTTGCCCAAGGATGTGTATGGAGGATCATTCATGTATCATTTTGGCGATAACATGGTTACTCTTGGGCTGGTTGTTGGTCTTGATTACCCTAACCCCTGGTTATCTCCATATGGGGAATTTCAGAAACTGAAACACCATCCTCTTATCAAATCCGTACTGGAGGGCGGGAAATGCATCTCCTATGGAGCTCGCGCGCTTGCTGAGGGAGGCTTTCAGTCCATACCAAAATGCGCTTTCCCGGGTGGTGCCTTGATCGGAGATACTGCGGGGTTCATGAATGTTCCTAAAATCAAGGGCACACATAACGCTATGCGGTCTGGCATGATTGCTGCTCAGGCAGCATACTCAGCCCTTTCTTCAAATCCAGACAGCTCAAGTGTATTCCTGTACGACTACGAGGACGGCCTCCGAAATTCTTCCATATGGAAGGAACTCAAAGAAGTACGAAACATGCGCCCTTCATTCGCAACTCCGCTGGGAATCTACGGCGGCATCATGTACTCCGGCTTAGAAGCGTACATTTTCCGTGGCAAGACGCCCTGGACCTTGAGCCACCACTGCACAGATCCTGATGCCACCAAGGCTGCGTACGAGTGCACGAAAATCGAGTATCCGAAACCAGATGGAGTGATTAGTTTCGATATTTTAACAAGCGTTAGCCGGACTGGCACCAACCACGAAGAGGACCAGCCGGTACACCTTCAGGTCAAGGACTGGGACAAGCACACCAAGCTCGCCTGGCCGAAATATCAAGGGGTCGAGAATAGGTTTTGCCCTGCCGGAGTCTATGAGTACGTCGAGGATCCGAGTAAAGAGTTGGGAGTCCGGTTCCAGATCAATGCGCAAAAGTAAGTTGTCCATTGTTCTCTCTTAATTCTCTGTCTCCCTCTCGTCTAGTTTGTCAATAATGACCACTGACTATGAAATTCGATTTTTACAGTTGTATTCATTGTAAAACCTGCGACATCAAGGTCCCGACCCAAGATATCAACTGGCAAACACCTCAAGGCGGTGAAGGTCCAAAATATTACCTGACCTAGAAAACCGCATACTTTCCATGTTCCATTATTGATATCTGTTCGTTTCTGGCAAACTCTATGCGATTCTGCTGGTGAAATTTTGATAGAGGAATTACTGTTTGTTTGTGCTCTATATCACTATTCCCATTGTGCGTCTCCTGTTCATCACAATACGCTGGATCAAGATGTTTAATTAACTACTGTTCGACTGGTGAATCACGAAGTTAGGAAGCGATCTAGCTCAAACTAGCTACATGTAAATTTTTTTTTCAAACAAACTAATGCACACTGCGCGTTATTAATTTCCAACAAAATATTCATCACACACTGCACTGGGAATCCCTGGAGATTCCATCCAAGTCTCTTCCCGCAATATTTAATACAACCCCCGGTCAAAGTGGCACAAACGTGTTCTGTTATCGAAAGTGAGGCGACCAAGCCCAGGTATTGTTTGTTGGGGGCACAAGACTATTCTGCCCCCCTGAACCGCCTTTCTCAGCCTTGCTGTCATTCCATCCCCCTCCATCTCATCCAACATCCATTTGCCCATCATCGCATCGACATCGCATCACATCGCATCCCTCCTCCATCTCCACACCTGCAACGATTTGATCCACGACATCTCTCTATATTCAGCACTTGGCCGTTCTGCTGTCTTCATCCCCTGAAGGAACGTATTCCTTCCCATTTCGAATCCTTTAGGAAACAACAGGCTGTCCAGGCTACCGAAAATTGCTTCGGTAATCTGGAAAGGAACACCACCCCCATTCCTTTACCGGTCTCGCTGCTCGCATATCTCGACTTCCTAGGTATTGCTTGTCCAGGAATATACAAACACGCATAAGCGCACAACTTCGGCTTCAGGATACTTTTTTCACCTTCTTTCTGTGCGTCTGCGATCCTTATCGCATCGACAGCCCATCATGAGTGAAGTCTCATCCACGCGTCTCTATCTCGGGAATCTGCCCCGCAACGGTATGCTGGTCTTACTACTACTACTACTACTACTACTACTACTACTACTACTGCTACTACATCCTCCTCATACTTGAGCTTCGTTCTTGAGCACTGTCAAATCCCAATGTGTACGGCTCTGGCACAAAAAACCTACCCCATGTTCCATTGGAATCTCTGGATTACTTTCGTCCTATCGAGGACTGTGACTACGCATATGACACAGTCAGAAATTAAGGGATTTGCTACAGTCAAAAATCCAAGTGCTCAATAAGAAAGAATAAGATCTAAAAAGAAATTTTATGCATCCCTAATGGAATTCACTACTGGCTTTCTCGTTACTGGATCGTTTGGCCTCGAGAGCTGACTCAAAACACGCCTTTTTTGGCCTGGACTTGTTTTTTTTTTTCCAGTCACTAAGCAGGAGATCGAAGATCATTTCAATTCCCACCACGGCTCCGGCAAGATCACAGAAATAAAGCTCATGAGTGGTTTTGGCTTCATCGAATATGAGGATGCTATGGATGCGAAGGATGTTGTGCCAGGTACGTTTTTCGTTCATATGCCTGTTTGTGGGACACAGCCTAATTTCATGTTTCCTTTAGCTTTCCGTATGTCTATGTGAACTTATGAGATTTCCCAACTTCTTCACCGCCAGGGGGCTTTCTATTTTTGACCACTCTGGCTTGTAGATGGAACGGATTTCAAGGGTGAACGTCTCACTGTACAGTTCGCCCGTGGACCACGCCACAAAGAAACTTTCTCTGGACCGCCGGATCGTTCCAGCGCTCCACGTCCACGGCGGACAATCTACCGCATGCAGATCTCTGGACTTCCAGAAACTAGTTGGCAGGTTAGCTAAGCTCCATTTCCCCCTGGAATCCCTAGGATTTACTTCCATTTGGACCTCGTGATATGTGCCATTCCCCATTTCTTCCCCCTACATTCCATCATAGGTGTAGAGTTTTGCCACTTGCTGGAGTTTTCCGTGTTTGGAGTTTCCCCGGACTCTAGTTTGGAAGGAACCTGGCGGTTTACCCATTTCGTCTGGAAATTGGACTTACACATCCACCTTCTTTAGGATCTCAAAGATTTCGCACGACAGTCTGGCCTTGATGTAGTGTACTCTGAGACCGGCCATGATGGAAGAGGGTGAGTATTCCCGATCTCTCCAGGGCCGACCAATTTCTCTTCTTTTTTGGGACCAGGATCGCTGATAGGCTTTGTTGAATCAAACAAAAACCAAAAAGATTTGTCGAATTTGAAACAGGAAGTGACCTCAAAACCGCCGTTGAGAAACTGGACGGCCGTGAATTCAAGGGCTCTAGGGTCTTATGCACGCAGGACGTAGGAATCCCCTTGGTCTTCCCCTCCGGGTGGCTTAGTTCTCATTGTCTACTAGATTCAATCCCAGGAGGATCGCCAACCCCGTGAGCCATACCGTTCCCGCTCACCTGGGCGGCGTGGCGGGTACCACCCTTATGAGGAATATGACCGGCGCGGGGCACCTCCACGTGGGTATAGCCCCCGCAACCACTACCGCGAGCGTTCACCGGCCTCTCGTCGTGACTATTATGAACGCGATAGCTATGGACGCAGATCTCCTCCTCCTCGTTCTCGTATTGATGATTACCCACATCCACCCCGCCGCCCATATGACGATGGTTATGACCCACGAGGCCCTCCTCCACCCCCACCTCGTCATTATGATGACCCCTACGCTCCCAGGCAATACGGCCGCCCACGGAGCCCCCCACCACCAAGAGGCGATTATGGATATGACCGCCGCCCTTACTGGTAGAGAACTCTTTTTTTCTTTGTTTTTTATGTTTTGTACCTTTTGATTCCCCGCTCGTATCTATATTTTCCTCAGATTCTTCTTTGTTGTGCCTGCGTTTTTATGCAGAAACCACTTCCAATTCTTGTTCGATCGATGTGTAAAAACATATTTAATGATTCCCCGCACGCGAACCTGATACTTAATACCTTAGAACCTATACTTGTCCCTGATTCCAACAGAGCATAATTTGCCAAAACACGATACCGCCGGTCTCCTTTTTTTTTCTTTTCTTGTTCACTCTGATTCTTCGATACCATTACCGGCAGTCCAAAGGGGTTGGTATAAGCGTAAGTATTGCCGACCTTGGCCGACCTTTGACCTTGACCTCGTTCTGCTATTCGATATCCAGCTGGATTGGAACCTCCCGTCTAGTTTGCTATCCGAAACGGGTTGAAGGCAATAACCAGGCATATACCGGTAGATATCGAAATTTCTTTGCTTCGTTTTGTTTTTGATTCTGTGCTCATGTTTTCCTAATTTCCCTTTTTGTGTGTGTGTGTGTGTGTGTGTAGGTTGGTGGGTGTGGATGTGTTCGTCTTGTTTGTGCAACCTCCTAGTCTACAAAACCATCTGATGATACTTATGAACAAATTCCATGGTGAAAAGTAAGGAAGGAAAAGGGGTTCAATGAATTCCACTGATGATGTCCTCAGCTGTTGCGCTTTGCTGCCCTTTTCCCCCTGTCAACTTCCTCTTTCTTTTTTTCAGGATAAAGCGAAGGGATATGCGGTGCTGCTGAGGGGTTTACATTCAAGTGGGATTATGTGGACGGAAATGGAACCACATATGGAACTGGAAAACCCTTCCCCTGAAGGACCAATGTATTAATTACGACAATAACCTCAGGCATTTTGTTTTGTACATTTGCCCAGATTGCAATTTGAGTTTATATTCGGCCATCTTCGCTGTTACCTAGGTAATTATTATGATGACACTTTTTGAGAACACTCGACATTGTTTCTTAATAACATTCATAGAAGACCGGATGGACATGGTCATTTGAGGAATTTTCTCCAGGATAGGAGGGGTAAGAATATTTTGTAAATAAGGATCGGTAACTGTTCGCAGAGCATCTACGGAGGAATAGATCAACGGTATGAATTCCCCCAGCTAAGCTCGGTTTTCGCGGACGGAAATTTTATTTTCCCTCTCCCAACGCCCCTCAAAAAAATATCAAAGCTCTCAGCTTCTTCATCCCAGTTGCTGCTTACAATCACCAGTCCTCATTGAACGGGCACCGGAAAAATGAACGGGGCTAGTAACCAGTTAGTTTGCTTCGTTTTCGTTTAAAAAGATGTCTTCTGATGCTCTACGGGTATTCGACGCCGTCCAGCTCCGTCATGTTAGCTTCCCCTTCCCAATATGCTTTGGCTCCGATGCCTGGGGTCGCAAGGGTAAACCACAGCCTGCCACATTCTCATTTCGCGTCTCACATCCTCGCCCCCTTATCGAGCAATGTGGGCACACAGATGATGTTTCCTTTACCCTCAACTATGGCGAGCTATATCGTAAGATTGAGGCGAGATTACTCCATGTGACAGCGCTTGAGGACAGGCATGCTAGGGACGTCGACTTACCAGCGATAGCTTATAATGCTGCAGATGTTGCATTTACATTGGCTCGGGATACTATACAGTCGAGTGCCATAGCTCAGGGGTTGGATATGGCAGGAACTGAAGTTGATATCTCAATACATCTTCCTAAAGCGATTCTGAGAGCTGAGAAGGGCCTAAAGCATCAAGCTATCTATCGAGCCACAAAGCCGGGAGCCCAAGCCATTGATGAGACACAACACATATACCGTATTGACAGTTTACGGTGCAATTGTATTGTCGGAGTTAATCCCCATGAACGGGAAGTCAAGCAGGCAGTGCTGGTATCTCTTGTTTTTCAAAAGCGGAATGGGATCGATCCTCGGTACGACTGGATTGTGCAGGCTTTGCAGAACGTGGCAAGGCATATCGCAAATGTGAGTTTTTATTTTTTTTATTTTTTATTTATTTATTTATTTTATCTATCATGGGCATATAGTGGCGCAGGAATTAATTGATGTATCGCAAGATCCTTGGGACAAGAACGTATGCATTTTTTTATTGGCGAATTGTTTTTTGGCTGACATCTATACATCGATTACCCACAGGACATTGAAAAGTCCAGCTTCAAAACAGTCGAGGCTTTAGCTCAACAGATCGCAAACACGGCCATGCAATATACGGACTTCAACGAGGTGACTGTCTGCGTAGAAAAACCGAGTGCGATAGCTTTCGTCGAGTATTCTGGAATTGAAATCACGCGTACGAGAGGCGATGTGAACCTGCAGCTGAAGGAAGAATGAATTTTACGGAATGCTCGCCTAAAGCACCTAGCCTGGGTAGGTAGCCTCCTCAGCACCGGCATTAAATATATACCCGCTATTTTATAGTATATACTGTTAAGTGTGTCATCCTTGTGAATAGGCACTGAATGCTGGGGATCATTCCTTGGTGAGAAACAAGGTCGTGGGTTCAAATCCCATCTTCACCAACGGTATTTCTCACGGGAGGAGGGTGGCTGGTGAATAGAAGAGGGATCCATGATTAGCAGCAGGATTTAGGGCACATTGCAACATGTTTCTACGTATTGATTTTGTGTTTAGATGATCCAACTACTCCACAAGTTTTTGAGACTTTTCTGTAGGATCAGTCCCAGGAGGAGATGAATGGCATAGTTTACTATCATTCATGTATCTAGAGTATTAGCAAGCACCCAGTCAGGCTGGCTATCACAGTCTCTGACTGCCACATATCCAAGAAAAATACGAGCAATACCAATAATACCCCACTATTTGATTTATATTCGCACAAAACATGGGCTTCTTCTTATCTGTCTATTTTGGTGTTGCATTCAAGTTTGAGAGCAACTTTTAACATTTTTTATTTCATTTTCTGCCCCAAGGTCAGAGCTGACCTGTCCCCAAGCGGTTTAGCGCCCTCTCTCCGCCTCCACCAAATGTTGCCCAGTCACCTCTGGCTTTCTCTCCTTTCCCCATCTTTTTCATTTTTTGCTTCTTCTTCTTAACATCCGAAATTCACAGTCAAAGGATAATCTGCTGCTGCCTCTATTTCTGTCGTGACCATCTTCTCCAAAGAAACACGTCTACTACTTTGCGCTTTATCATCTATGGGACTACGCAGCTGTAACAGTCTTCCGCTTTCGATTGTCTCTGCTGGCAGCGGCTGCGCTTCGTGCCTCTTGGATCTGCCCCCCTTCGAGACTCCCTCCGCGATCTCTGCGCTCGGTTTCCCTGTCGCAGTGCTGGGGCCGATTCCAGATAACGTGGTGTGGCCACTGGAGCTTGGTCCGTCCTGAATAAGGGCGGACGGTAATCTGGTATAACGCGCCGTTGAGCGTGGCGAATTTTTGTGACCGCGTAGATATTTGTGTGTTGGATCAGAGGTAAGCTATGCGAATCGTCTCTATGTCTCTATGAACGAGTGGGAGCTTACTTTTCTCCAGAAAGTATTAAAATTCGAGCTATTCGGCTCCCTGTCGAGCTAAACGTCTCCACCATTCCACCCTCCTCGTAGATGTGAGAAGCATTAAGGAAAGAAAGAAACCATCTATATACAGACAGGCCTTTCGTCCTATTTAGTAGGGATGTTCAAGTCTAGCCCGTTGCGCTGCCCGTTGGATCGCGATTCGAACATTCTTACGACCCTGCCAAACGAAAGCCATGCCACAACAACCAAATCATGGCTCGCACAGGAAGAATTCACCGTTTCGGACGTTTTTGCGCCACAAACTGGCGAGGACCCTGATCGGGAGCACCACCCAGATGATAATCAAGCAGAGGCTGAAACCGTTGTTCGTAAAGTCTCTGCGGGATTTCGTCTAGGTCCCCCTGAAGTTAGTCTGGCGAGAAACCCCCCTGCGAGTCAGTCTGGTAAGAACAACGTGCCTGGTGATGTCAGATACCTGGAGGTGGATAAGTTAGGCTCTCGCGGGAAGAGTAGGAAAAAGAAGAAGTTGCGACGCCCAGCTGAAGTCAGGTCTGATGTGACCACTGTCCGTGGTTTTAATGCCAAAACACTCGCCGAGGATGAGTCAGATTATTCCAATTCTGGCTCCAAGCCCTTTCCCCTATGGCAGCCTCCACTTGTCAGTTGTGCAAATAGTCCAGGCCTTCGACCTTCCTCCTCAAATGGGGGCATCAGTTCATTGAAACTCCAGCTGGATGCACTCAGTCTGTCGAATAGCCGCCCAGAATCTAGGGACACGAGCCAATTTGGATCCCAGACCCCGAGCTGTTCTAGTGTCAACTCAGACAGTGATCAGACAACCAGCTATGAGGTGCCTTTGGAGCATGACTTTGTTAGCCCGGACGCTGGTGCTATTCCTCCTGATGCCACGGAATTGCCAAATGAGCAACAGTTGAGGGATGCTCTCTATCGAAAGATGTCAGCTGCGGACTTTGAGCCGTTGTCATGCCTTGGGAAAGGAACCTATGGAACGGTTTTACTGGTCAAGCATTCAGTAACCGGCACACTCTATGCACAGAAACAGTTTCGCAAGGCCTCTCTTACAGTTCATAAAAAGCTCGTGGAACAAACTAAAACGGAACGGGTGATCTTGGAAAGTGTAAATCGTCATCCATTTGTTGTCAAGCTCTACTACGCATTCCAGGATCATGAAAAGCTCTATCTAATTTTGGAATATGCCCAAGGTGGTGAGCTATTCACCCACCTGGCTATGGAGCGCATGTTCACCGAAGACGTGGCTTCATTCTATATGGCTGAGCTAGTCTTAGCGCTGGAGCATCTCCACCACAACGTTGGCGTCGTCTACCGTGACTTGAAACCTGAGAACTGCCTCTTGGATGCCGAAGGCCATCTTCTCCTAACCGATTTCGGACTCAGCAAAGTTGCCGTTGACGGCGATGATCGATGCAACTCATCCCTTGGGACCGTCGAATACATGGCCCCTGAAGTCGTCCAGGGCAAGTCATACGGCAAAGCCTGTGATTGGTGGTCCCTAGGAGCCCTGGGTTTCGACCTTCTCACCGGCTCGCCACCTTTCAAGGCCAACAACCACGCGAAAATCCAGGAAAAGATTGTCAAACAGCAGCTTGTACTTCCATACTTTCTGGGCCCAGATGCGAAGGACCTCCTCACGCGCCTCTTACGTAAGGATCCACACAAACGCCTTGGATCCAACATGCCCAAAGACATGCAGACGATCAGAAACCACCGCTTCTTCCGTAAGATTGACTGGAAAGCACTTGAAAGACGCGAGTTAGAGCCGCCCATTAAACCGCTCATCACGGACCCAGCTTTGGCAGAGAATTTTTCCACTGATTTCACTGCCTTGCCGCTTAGTCCTGTTGTGACAAGAAATGGGTTTGATGAATATGATCATGATGGGAAAGGGTGGCGTGGTGATGGTGGCACGTCGTATAGAGATATCCATCGCCCTGGGAATGCGGCTGCGGACGATCCGTTTAGTGGGTTTAGTTTTGTGGCATCCAGCAGCTTGCTCGATAGTGGGTTAGGCAGGGTGAGGTAGATTCTACCATCTAACTTGACTGTGTCGCTCTGGCGTCTGGCGTGCTGGTTGTGTCTCAATTTATTTTTTCTTTCTTTCTTTCTCTTTACTTTCAGGATTTAGCTGCTTTTTGTTGTTGAAATTCTGCTGCTATTTTGTGGTTGATTTAATTAGTACTCTTGGTCCGAGATCTGATTTCGTGTGAGGTGGTAGAAGTTCGGATTAATGTGTTGTTTGACGCTTTTAGGGACCCATCCGTAGCACCCACCTACCGTTTAATTTATATAATCCCTTTTGTTCCCTTTCAGTCCGTTAAGGCTTCCTTCATATGAAAGCTAATCACGTCTATTTCACGCTACCCGTCTAATCGCATCGTAAACTGGATAAAATCACTTGATAATTCCAATTTGTTGTGGAGGAAGAGCCATCTCTTTCAGAATCATTTACCCCTATCTAATTTCTAAGCACAGACCAAAGCGCCTTCGTTGTAATAATATATCCCATGTCTATTTTTCTATAGATCGTGCAGGAAAATACAAAGGCTAGTCAAAGTATATATACATGTGGCAAAACGCCAGCGGTAAAACATGATATGCGGCAAAGTATCGCGCTTCGTCGATTAGGAAAGGGGTTGGTGGGTGGGCGTTCTCATGTGCCAATGGAATAAACCTTGATGCCGACGCCAAGGACGTGATGTGCATCAGTTTGTGAGCAGGAGTATAAATACGGAATAGAGGGCACGGGAATTCAATTTCGGGACGATATTAGGGGGCGGCACGAAGGGCAAAAGGGGGGAAATAGGCGCTAGACATCGACATCAAAGTATCGATGAACCTAGGGTCGTTAGGCCTCTCAAGCTTTGTTAGAATCCTTATTCTTAGTTACTTAAAACGGTATGAACTCCGCAAACGCAGACTTCCGTCCACTTCCATTATTCGACGACGGAGATTCCTTTTCGATTCTTTTCATCCCTAGTTCCCGCTCTGCCTCTTCCCAATAGCTATCCAACTCGCTGATTAGGTCCTCCCGATACACGCGGAATAGCGCAAAGTGATTTCGGGCCCAGAAAAATATATCCCATTTGCTCAAAGCACCATGTTTACCTGTACGAAGATTTTTCCCATTGGCTTCCAGCTCATAGAGCTCGCGGACCATTCCCCGCGCAATGACGCGCACCGTCTGCAGTGATGGATAGACAAGCTTAGAATATCGACCAGTGTCTGACTGAACAGCTATGTGCCTTTGCCTTACTCCACGCAGATTATCAGGGGTGCGGGCCGTAGATCGAAGGGCTATGTTCCCACCTAATTTGATGTTGGCAGGTGGCTCATCGATGCACCACAGGCCGTATAACCGTTCCCCGGCCTTGCTGCCTTGTGTCTCAACGACGGCAGATAGTATTTCGTTAAAAGCGGAGCTGGGGATAGTATGTGCGGGGAGTTGCTTTGATTTCCACTGCAGGTTGCCGTTCTGACATATTTTGGAGATGGATCCTCGGATGGATTTGAATAGTCTCAGAAACTGGAAAAGAACACCCTCATGATACTGCGTGTGTCCTTCGGAATATTTGGGTCTGGGGTTGAATTCGCCCTGCAGCAATTTGGCTAGAATTTCTTCGGCTCTAGCCAGTGGGGTCAATTGGTTTTGACCGGATGTTCTTTCTTGCCCACCAGCATGGCATTTTTTATCCAGCCTTATTATTGCTGCTGCTAGCAGGGCTACCTCTTTGGTGTCCCAGCCGCTCCCATTGTTGTCCCGCAGGTGGAGTAGTATTTCAATAACCCGATCCCAATCATGATGCTGGAGAGCGTAGCCGAAAAAGGCTCTTATAACGGACCCTGACCAGGGAAGTGGTAGGTCCTCTGCAACTGTGTTAAGAAGGTCATCATTTTGTATGGCGGCTGCATATCTAATTATGGCGGGCGCGAGGAGGTCGTCTGAATAGCACTGTCGTGGAATTGTGGGGTCTTCTTCCCCATGGGAGAAAATAAGTTGACGCGCGAAATCATGCACCTTAGACGAGGTTGAAAGATCTAGCAAATGCGAAAGGGAGGAACTCGAGAATCCGGTCAGGGATGCTGTATTCGGATGCGGAATTGCACACGTAGCTTGTAGCGCTACCCGATTTGGACCTGATACGTTCAGCGGATTCGTTTCCGGAATTTCGGAGTGTTCTGCAGAATATGGTGATTTGTATTCCCCCCCCTCTGACCTGTTGATGGCATCAAGTTTGGCAAAACGGTCCCGAGCTTTGTAAATATGCTCCATATTCGTATATGCATCCAATACATAATGCTTTAGGCCTAATACAACTGCTGACCTGTCGAGTGGATGAAGGTTGGTAACGGCTTTCGGTGACTCCTTGGTCAAACTGCAAGAGATGTCTGAGGACAGCTCCAACAAGCGCTCAAAAGACTTTGGATCGACATCAGGGACCACCCCTCGTGCTTCCATCATGCGAACTATGAGGTGATCAACGTCTCGTAGTTTTAAGTAAATATTATTTTCCCTTAATAAATGAATTAGAGACCTCTTGTACTCGATAATGGATGTAAGATATGCACCCCGGTGCCCAACCCCGACCTTGACAGAGTTATTGAGCCCATCCATCATTGAAGTGACCACCTCACTGCTTATGGTCCGTTTGCCCAGGCCTACAAACGGTCCTTGCGACTCATTTACGCTTGCGCCTTTTGACCCACGCGCACAGCTGGCCCAGGTATCAAATCGATCAATTTTTGACGAATTGATAGCATCCAAGTGGAGAGAGTGGCTTGAGAAGCTTTCCACGAGCCATCGTGGTTTTCTGTTTGCCAGTTGTTCGAGTATCCAGGAACCTTCAACATTGAATCCTCCTTCTACACAACACCAGAGGACAAATTCCAACCAAATCTCGGGTCCGAGCGGTCGGACTTTCATTCTGAATTTGGCTACTGTAGATACTTCTTGGCCAGAAGCTAAAGCAGACACAGCCTTATCGATTTCATGACCTATCCAAACAGCATCTGATAGAACATTCATGATATGGGACGATAAGAGATGCATTGCGGGCGTGCCACGATTCAGCTGCTCCGGAACCTGGGATTTAGTATATTTGTACACGCCGTGTGGAATATAATCCAGGTGATGAAGACGGGCAACAATCCGATAGAAATAAAACATCGCAGTTCGCGATTGCTCCGGTGGCAAGTCAGCGGCTTGTAGTACAATGCTTCCCAAGGCCGGCCATATTTCCTCCATGGTCCCAATTCGGGAAACTTTCTCCCCCATTCGACATGTAACCTGTGGCCCATTATTATACCCATCAATTGAATCCAACGATACATGCCCTTCAGCTGTCAATATTCCTGGAGCCCGAAGTTTTGAACATTCATCACCGGTCATTGTATCGAAAGACCCCAGACTTGCCCAATCGATGTTTGAAGGGAGCGCACCCCTCTTCATAGCTGACCGTGATTTCCCTGCTACTTCTGCATTATCGATAAGTCTATTAACAATCGTATAAACCGCAGGCCACCGTCCAAGTTCAACACCAATATACGCCAGCAGATCGTAATTCAGCGAGTCCGGAGTTCGAGCGTGACACAAAATGTCCAGAATAGTCAGACATTGTTCCGGCTCAGACTTCTTATCCTCCAGGAAGTTGTCATTCTTCGTATCCTCACGCAATTCCAAAGGAATATATCTCTCCAGTTCTGAAACCCAGCGCGAAGGGTTCTTCTTCTCCTCACGGGGGACGGGCAACGATCGTGCCGGGTTCCAGCTGCGGACCAGCAGTGTCGCCACGGCTTCCACGGAAGGAGGGGGCCCAAAATTTCGTGAACAAAAACCGATATGCTTCCATGATGATATAATCGTAGAGCTGGGAAGAAGGTGTAGTATATGGCCTATATATGTTGCGCGGCCTGGGCACAGGCAAGCTTGCATGACACGATCAACGATGCAGCGAGCAGGCAAAAGGGAGCTATGAAGGAGCGACGGTAGGAGATATCAGGCCGATGAGAAGTCGCATAATTGGCTGGGAGTACATACAGGTATCCAAATCCATGGAAACTTGGGCAAAAATCCTTTGCAACGTGAGGATTAACCCGCCCGAAAACAATTGCAATTCATTGTGCAGAGATTGAAGCCTTTTTTTTCCCCCTTCATTTTGTTGGCTGCGATACTGATTAGTCAGCAACCAGACCTGAGAGGAATAGGCGTAACAGATGAAGCTATAAAACGACAGTAAATGAATTGGATATCTCTGCTATAGGACGTAAAAACATGCTACTCGTCATGGCATAATCCGTTCATAAAAGATGTTCCACCAAGAGAAAATGAATCTTCGTTTATTCCCACGACTGTTGTTGACATTAAGTTGCCCTAGGCCAAAGTCGACACCAAGCACAAGTCCCATAGATATAGCTCTCCAATGTCCAAATGTGATGAAAAGAAAAGAAGAGATCAAAAATACAACCAGAATGAAAGATGGCACCACGCTATCATAACTCATAAACCAAGCACTTAATAAATACCTGCAATACCCTTCCGTAAGCATCTAAAAATTGTCGTCATCATAATCCTCCGGCCTAGCTGCGTTGTACCCTCCGAGCTCCTGCTCGACTTCATCCACTACAAAACTCTCGTAATCTTCCAGGCTCTTCTGGATGTGCACCTTGAACCTGATCACGTCATTCAACATAGTTTCGATTCCAGTATGGAGTTCCTCACGAAGAGCATTCGCCCGAAGAATCAGCTGTTCGTATTCGATATTGGTGTTCATCTCTCGCTGCTCCATCAACTGAACGCTTTCAGTAAGGGTGGCACGCATCTTCGCAAGCTCCTTTTCCATTTTTTCAATCTGTGAATCCGATGTCAATTTTTGCGTAGTCGTGATTTCCTTAAGATTCTCAAATTCCTCTTCCGCCGTACGACGCTTATGTTCAAGAGCTTCAACCTCACTTCTCTTCTCGTCCATGGCCTCTTTGATATTATCCAAGAGGTCCCGATGATTCATATCTGCATCAAGAGCGAGCTTCCGTCGTTCATTGATTTCTTTTCGTAGAGCGATAAAGTTGCTACGAACGACTCCGCGAAGGTCAAGGTTTAAAAGGCTTGTTGGATGATAACCGGTGAAGGTGTCAGAAAGCAAACGGTCACTCTCTGGTGAGGTTCGAGAAGTCCCAAGCTGAGAAGAAGAAAAGTTGTTTTCATTGAGGTTCAGATGAAGCTCGTAGTCCTGGCCGTTTGCATTTGCAGCGGATGCGGGGATCAAGCTGGTTTGATAACCAAAGGAATTGTAGGTCTTGACCACTTGCTCTAGAGATTCTAATCTCTTATTAGCCTCGGCCTCCTTTTCCATGACTCTGGCATGGGTCTCCTCGAGTTGAACAAGGATATCCTCTAGACTTTTCTGGAGGCGTTCTCGCTCGGTGTTCATGCGATCGATATCCTGGATTGTAATCCCCTGCTTATCCACACTATTCTGTAGCTCGAGGCGCTCCTCATCAGCTTTTTGAAAGTCCTCCTCGGTCTTGCTTATCTCTTCATCCAGAAACTTGATGCGATTTTCGTACTTGGCGATCTTTCCTTGGACATTTTGATTGTAGTCCTCAAATTTCCTCTTATCATCTTCCAGAATCTTAAAATGTTTTTCCAATTTTGCCATATCTGGCGCACTCTTTTCCATCTCCTCAATTTGATCCCGCAGGTCCCGGTTCTCTGCTTCAAGATCCTGCATTTCAAGAACATATTTTTCGTTGCCCCGTTCAAAGTCTGCCGCCATTGCTTCAATATGAGGAATGAGACGCCTTTCTGCCACCTCGTCATCTTCATTTTCGCCCCCCTGAAGCCAATCACGATAGGCATTGGACAAGAAATTGAAAATAATATTATCCCCAGAGATATCCACACCGGCTTCCGCACAAGCATTGTCATAATGTCCTAAATAATATCTATCAAGCATTTGTGCTAGCTGCATCATCCAGTGAAGCATGCCCAGGAAAGTTGACCAGTTCTGACCCCCAACAGCCGCGATTTGGGACTTCGTGATGCTCTTCTCAAATGGATATCGTAGCTGTTTAAGAATAGGAGGAACCTCAGCATCGATATTCTTCTGGAATTTATAACCTGGATCGATTCTGCGATAGAGCCATTGGAAAATGTAGTTGAAATCCTTTTGAGTTGGGGATTTGAGAGTGTTCTGGGTTAAAGAGTGTTTCATCTCCAGCTCAAAGTTATTTTGTGTAAGATATTCTAACAATTCTTGACCGATCCTGGCCTGAAAGCTACGGTCTTTGAGCGGGCGGGGGTCTCTGGGGACACCGGCAGGAGCTGGAGCCTGAGTGAAGAATGATTGATGGTGACCCAGGGCGCCACCGGTCGATGGTCGCGAAAAGACGCTGCTTCGCCGTTGCAATTGCGGGGCGGGAACTGGGTGAGCGGATATGGGTGCATAGCTTTGGCGCCCGGCACTGGCACTGTGGAAGACATTGCTTGAAACGGACCGTCGGACGGAGGAGAGCCCATTCTCGGCTCCAGATGAGAAAATAGGTTGTTGAGGTCGATTAAAACCGGGACCGCCGATGGAAGTTGTGCGCACATGTTGTGAAGTGTATGGAGGGTTTTGGAGGTTTGCGACAGAGCTCGATCGTTTGAGCGCTGAGGGCGGCAGAGGTATGGACGAGATGTTTTGGACGCTCCCGAGAGTCTGAGCCGAAGAATGGGTTAGTTCACACCAATTTCGAAATTCCTCCTTTATTGCTTTGAGCAAAGTGAAAGACAACACAACTGTACCTCTCGAGGGCGCCGGATGCTAAAGAGCCCAGTGTCCTGAGACATGGAGCCTGGGGCAGCAGCCCTTTCACCAGGGAGAGTGACAATGCACCTGGCCGTAAAGCTATGCGAACGAAGAGTAATGGAAACACCAAAACTCAACTGATCACCAAAAGTTTTATCAAAATATCAACTAGCCCGCGCAGTCCACCCCCCTATCAACGGGTGTTGGTTATGTGCAGCAATGTATAGAATCATCCGGGGCGTTAAAATTCAATATTGCCACTGTCAAAAAGTAAACAAACAGTAATCGAAGTCGTTGGAAACTGCTTACTTCAATCTACCGGATAAACATAACACCGCCACCGCTATCACGAGACTCCGGGTCCAGTACAGCCTCGGCATTTGCCGTTCTCGGCATGCGGCTTTCGTTTGGTGGTTTTGCTGGACCTTGATTCAGTCTTTTCACCTTCATCAAGCAACAGATAATGAGATGAGGCGAGAGGAAATGAGCCAGGAGAGAAGGACCTCTGTTTAGCAACGAATTTACAAGCTTCTGTCCATTTTGCGTGCTGAACACTTTTACTGGGCGATACCTCCGCAGTTTGGGCTGCTTGGAAGGTGGTAGGGAATCATGTCTCCTCGTGAGGAGCTTGTTTCCTCTGCGGTATGCTGTATTCTTTATCAATTGCTTTTTCATGCCAATGTATGCCCAATCCCGCTGACATGACTGTACTCTAGGTCTCCTGTATGTTTATAAACAAAACCATACCATTGCGTCTTTCCTTCAAACGTTCCCAGGGGCTACTGGCTAACGTGCGACTTATGTGAATAGTTCTCCAAGACCCATCCGTTTCTTCTGCACCACTGGAGAAAAAGATCGCATTCCTTCAATCGAAGAATTTGACACAAGAAGAGATCGATCTAGCACTTTCGAGAGTAGGCGAGGACTCTTCTGCTGCGGTTTCTCCAAGCCCTAGCCAGAGTAATGTAGATCAACAGTCTAATTACCGACTACTTCCTACACAATATGGACAAAACTATCCATATAGACCGGGAGGCCAATGGGAATCTCCACCGCCCCCTCCAGAGTAAGTTTGGCTTCCAGGAGGATCTGTTGTAGATAATCATCAAATTGCTAATAATGCCCCCTGTGTAGATTGCCGAAGCGAGATTGGCGAGATTGGTTTATTATGGCAACGGTAGCGGGCGGTGTTGGATATGGTTTATATTTCGTGGTCAAGGTAGGGTATCCCAATCCTAGGTGTATCTACTCCGTCCATTATGACAAGTATCTAACATTCAATTACAGCGATATATCGCGCCGCTTATTGCCCCACCTACACCTCCCCAGCTACAGCAGGACAAACAAAGTATCGACGAGCAGTTCTCTCGTGCATTTGCCCTCCTCGATCAGCTGTCAACCGACACAGCAACCTTAAAGACTGCGGAAGAAGCTCGAACCGAACGCTTAGATGCTGCCCTTCGTGAAGTTGAAAATGTTATCTCAGATTTAAAGATCTCCTCACGGCGACGGGATGAGGAGACCCGGCGTATTGGGGAAGAGGTAAAAAGCTTGAATGACGCCATACCAAATGCTATCAATGGTGTCAAGGAAGGAAACGACAAAAGACTGCAGGAACTTAGCTCCGAGCTACGAAGCCTGAAAGTCCTGCTAGGAAACCGACTCGGTGCACCATCCGGTAACACCTCAAATGCTACCATTGCTCCACGGCCCATGTCCGCGACTCCCCAGCCAGGCCCCAATGGAGCGATTTCAACGCCGCAAGTTCCCTCATCCACTTCGGCATCCACCCCAGTGCCGACTCCTGCGCCCCGGGAGAACACCAGAAGCCCATTTTCTCAACTTGGAAAACCTGCAAGCATCCCCGCATGGCAAATGGCTGCTGCAAATAAACCCAAGAACGCCGCTGTATCTTCACCCTCGGTGGACAGCGTCAATGACCAACAGACAAGCGCCCCTGCTAGCTAAGTTAATATGTGGATTCATGCATGCTAGGTATCAATTTTGGGCCGAAAACCAAGGTCAATATTGCTTCGGCTTGCTTAATTTTCCGAAAGGCTAAATTGCCGCCCACCGACAGACAGGGGGTAGAAATCTATTCAAATGGCTTGCTTTCGTTTCGAATGGATCTTTCTCTGCTACTATTTTATGTACTGTATTCTCTTAGGTAAATACGTTAAGTTCTAGCTAGATTTAGCTGGGTTTTGGGTGAATTTTATCTTCCGTTCTTCTTTCAAAGTTATAAACCACCCACTATAACTATATCATTTCCGCGATCTTTATTGCATCATCGCATCAGAAACCATACATTGGAAAGTTCCGCAAAGTATTTTTTTAGGCCAAAAGTATTTCCAGTCTTGGCATTAGTTAGTTAGTCATCAGCTTCCCACTCCGAACCTCCAACCGTCCATCAAAGCATGTTCCCCTTCAACACAAACATACTATCCAAGCAACCAATAAAACCACCATGGACGTAACTAAACCTCGTCGCGAAGACTATCGAAACTACAGATCTCGATCGCGTTCACGAGTGCTATCTGCCTCACACTCCCCGGTCTCCGATCATTCTCGACACCGTCACCACCACCACCACCACCATCACCATCACCATCACAGCAGCAGTGATAGACATGCAAGATCCCGTTCACCAGAAAAAAACAGCAGGAAATTTGGCAGACGAAAGCATGAAAAACGGGAAGCGGACATTCCAGTCGACCTTCCATTTGGCTCAAGACAGCTTTCGAAACATGATTTGCGGCAGTTGATGCCCATGTTCGCGCTGTATCTGGACATACAAAAGAATTTGGATGTAGCGGAGCTGGATGAGCGTGAGGTAAAAGGTAGATGGAAGAGCTTTGTGGGAAAATGGTAAGCCGATTTGGCTTTTTTTGATTGATACCTTATCTGGCCCCTCTTCAGTCTTCTAAGAAGACTCTGTCTTGAATTGTCTCTTAAAACAAATTAATACTGACACATTTGAGGAACCGTGGAGAACTCGCTGAAGGATGGTACGATCCGACCACTTTCGAAAAGGCGCAACAGAACAGTGCATCCGGATTTAATGACCGGGAATCTACAAATGGCCCGCGGGCTTCCCCGGCTTACGATGAATATTACGAAAGGTCTAGTGGGAAGAATACAAGCGAACCCCCTGGCGAGCGTTCAAATAGTGCTGCCATTCTATTAAGCGGCAAAAGCGAATGCAGCGGAGATGGAGACGAGGACGAGGACGAGGAAGAATCCTACGGCCCCAAATTCCCGGCCCGGGACACCTCACTTGCAATGGAACCCTCAAATTCCAGGAGCAATAGAGCAGTACAAAAATCCGGCCCAACAATTCCTACCGTCCAAGACCTTCAACTTCAACGAGGTTTGTTTTCAATTCTCTCCCCCTAAATCTCGCCATTCCACTCTCCCCAAAATCACCAATGCCCCAAACTAACATCCAACCTCCAGAATCCGAAAAACAATCCCAAACAGCCTCCCTAGCCGCCCAACACAAACAAACCACCCTCGCCCGTACCTCCCACAAGGCCCTTGTCCGCGCCGCAGAGGAAGAAATAGCCCCACGCGCTGAACCCGGCACCCGCGAGCGACGGCTAGAGAAGAAGCGGGAAGCCGCAGCGGCCAATCGCGCCTTTGCCGATGCAAAGTGGGGTGGAGACGACGATGGTGTTGTGGGCGATGAGGAGCTGATGGGTGCAGGCAGCGACCTTGCCCAGTTGAAGAAGGAGAAGGAGAAACTTGCACGGAAGAAGAATGAAAGGGAGCTCCGGCGGGAGGAGACGTTGAGGGCGAGGGCGGCGGAGCGGGAGGAGAGGCTGAAGTCGTATCGGAGGAGGGAGGAGGAGACGATGAGTGTGCTGAAGGCGTTGGCGAAGCAAAGGTATGGCTGATTCGTTTCACTTAACTTACAAATACAACCTAGGGTTATGGATGCGTGCAGGTAAACAAGGGACTTAATTCATGATATCTTTAATTTAGTTAGCTAATTGATATTAAGCTATTCCTCACTAAGATGATAAAACCTTCAACTCCTAACCTTCCCTCAATGAATCCATTTTGCCTCGAAATTAATAATCCATAACCCATCGCTAGGAGAGTAATAAATATAATACACGGAACAATCATAAAATAAAATAAAAAACACTAAAAAGTTCTAAACAAAGTTTCAAAAGAGTTTCGTTTTCCTTTTTTCTCTTTCCATCATTCCGTCATGTCGAATTTTGTGTTGTCAATATCAGTTTCTCTAGGAAAGAGTTCTCGATCCCTCCCAGGATATCGATTCGATGGATGCGGCTTGGACCAGGACATATATTACTAAACAGACACATCTCGAGCCACAAGGTAGATAAGCTCCCGCTGTTCCTCAGTATGACGAAGATCTGGTGCAATCCGGACTAGTTTTGGAGTTTCCCTGCTCCGGGTTATCGTTGCTACTGTTCCCGTTACGGTTACGGCGGCGACGACGCTGATTAGCCGTTGACTGGCCTTTCTTGTGCTGAGTCGCTGGTTTTGTAGTTTCCGAATCGACTAATGATGAAGTTTCGTCCCCGCCTTGACTCGTGCTCTTTCCAAGGCCAGTAGGCTCACTTTTGGTCAATTCCCGGCGACGTTGAGTACTATTTTGCAGACTGGCAAATCGAGGGGAGTTAATCTCAGTGGGATCCTGGGTAGCAGGCTCCTGTTCTAACTCAGCAGAACGAACGTCCTTTAATCCGGGCTGCCCCAAAGCCATTTGCTTTTTCGAGGGTAACGATATGGTTTCTCGGTCTTCGTTCTTCATCTGGGCATTCAAACTGCTGTCCGTGCTGCCTGGTGGCGGGACATTCTCCTTTGAGAGGTTCAGAGATGCAGCTCCACTGGGAAAACAATGATTGGTCCCATTTGTTTGAGTTGGTACTACTTCCAGAACCGAAGGTCTGGGGCTTTGATGAGCTCTAGGGACGAATTCAGGGGCATCTGGCTTCCAGATTTTTTTCGAAAAGGGGTTGTTCGTGGACACTCCACTTTCGCTATTGGGATTTTTTTGACTCAAGGGTTCACGACCTTGCTTGCCGCTGTTGTCTAATGCCTCACCGGCATTATCCCCACTTCGGCTTGAAGCAATATCTTTTCCATCTTCTGGGAAATCTTCCCTAATTACAGAACCCTTATTATCTAGGTCGTTAATGAGAATTCCCGTTTGTTCATGTTTAGACTTCGGGTTATGGAAGGCTCCCTGAAAAGCCCATAGTCGGTGGTAACGACCTCTCTTTTCCAGGAGTTCAGCGTGATTCCCTTCTTCAACGATTGTGCCGTCAGCAACGACTAGAATTTTATCTGCGTTGATCACGGTCGAAAGACGATGTCTATAAATTTGGGGGTCAGTCAAATCATCAAGGCTTTCAGGGGAATTGGCCAAAGCCGGACTTACGCAATGATAAAGGTTGTCCTTCCTTCACTGAGACGGCGTAAACTTTCTTGGACAAAGGCTTCTGTTTCACTGTCCACAGCGCTGGTAGCTTCGTCCAAGAGAACAATTTTAGGATTCTGGATAATTGCCCGAGCGATTGCAACACGTTGTAGCTCCCCGCCCGAGAGTTTCACGCCGCGTTCACCCACCAGCGTCTGATATCCTTCAGTAAATGACAAAATCCGATCATGAAGAGCCACAGCTTTGCAAGCTTCGATAATTTCATCATCAGTGGCTCCGAGTCTTGCATATCGGATGTTGTTGATTATTGTATCGTGAAAAAGGGCAGGGCTCTGGGGAACGAAACCAAGGTTGGCGCGAAGGCTTTCGAGAATGACATGAGAAATGTCTTGCCCACCGATTCTCACACTGCCTGAAGTCGGATCATAAAAGCGACCGAGTAGCTTTAAGATAGTCGTTTTACCACCACCAGTCTGACCAACCAATGCCGTGGTCTGGCCAGACTTGGCTTTGAAATTGACATTCTTTAAAACCTCTCGTTTCCCATCGTACGAAAAACTGACGTCAACGAATTCAATATCGCTTTGGTCAAAATGTAAGGGTTGTGCATGTGGACGATCGGTAATTGTTGGTTTTTGCTTTAACAGTTTGAGGTATTCCTCCATATCCACCATATCCATTGCAAGGTTGTTAAACCCACCGGCAATGAACTGAAGGGGGCCAGACAGCTGCCCCCAATAACTGAGTAGCATTATGAAGCTACCGACCGGCTTGTAACCTTTGACAACTTGATAGATTGCCATAAAACAGGCAACCGACAATCCTAAAATTAACGCCAGGGATTGAACAATGTTTTCAATCCGCCCCCAAAACACAAACTTGAACAAGGCTGCCAAATGGTCTTGCACGCGTGACAAGTATCTCGACTTTTCGTAGGGTATATGATTAAAATATGAAACAGTGTGCCAGTTGGCCGTAGTCTCACACAGATGCGTAAACTCTTTCGACCTATGAATAATATATTCCTTCCGTTGACCAGCTTGCTTAGCTAAAATTTTGCCAGACGACCAGAGGAACAACACAGAGACAGCTGCAACGTCCAATGCCATATAGGCGTCAAACAAGTAGTATAAAACGCTGACTGCTAGTGCAAGGTCAATTATCATGGGGCCAATATGAAAACAAAGATTTGTAACCATATCTTTAACATTTTGACCTCGGAATACTACTTGCCAGAGACTCCCACAGTTTTTGCTATCATGATAGTCACTTGAAAGCGTCATGACATGATTATATGCTGTTGTGCTGAGATTCATGTATGCAAAGTTCTCCAGCGGCATCCACATGAATTTCATGGCTGATGGCAACCCGCCACTGGAATCGAGCAATCGAAGGGCAATTAGAACAGTAACGTTTTTCCAAGGGAAAACTCCTATAATAGCGAAGTGATATAAGCATATATTGAAGTATTATAGCAGTTTTGTCATGACGTGTCCTACCATTATTTTGGCTAAGGATGTTGGTAATCAGCCCTATCTGAATCGGGATCAAGATATTTATGATCCGTGCAAAAGCCAGACAAATACCAACTCCCACAAAACACAGTTTCAGTTTTAGTTTTTTGGAAGGCCAGAAGAATGGAGCAAGGACCTGAGAATATTAATAGTTAGCCGGAGAATTCATAGCCATGACAATGATCGCAAAGGTCTCAGTTTTCCAAGTTGGTAAGAGATTCTTGAGACATACATATAGATTTGAAACAAAGGCCCATAAATCCACGTCTGCCGCATTCAATTCTTCCTCATCGTCCTCATCGAACAGGGTTGTGTCTTTTTTAGAGGGCTGGGGAGCACCGGCGTCAGATGAATTATCGCAAGCTCCATATGTGTTTTCAGTTGATGGAGTCACATTCATCGTGTCACTCAACAGAGGTGCGCTTTCCTCATCACCGTCAATACTTTTGGTCGTGAGAAGGAGAAAACCAAAAGCAACACAAGGGACGAGGGAAAATAAGAACAGGCGGATTCCCTGAATTGCTCTTTTTCCGTTGGGTTCCCCTGTTCGAGGGATTCCAAGTAGAATGGATAACGAAAGCAGCGCAACTTCAAACACGAAGTAAATGAGGCAGTATCCGTAAAGTGGATAGCCCGGGGGCGATTGGGAATCGATGCACATCAAAAGAATGCTAAACCAAAGAAGTCCTGAAGCTAGCGCAAAGATCTACCCGATATATAGAGTCAGTTCTATTCTCACAATACATCAGAGTATAAAAGTATACTAACGATGAAGTGCTGTGGCGGAGAGATTACAGCTTTGGAAATCGAGGCTAATATCAATATCACCGAATCGCCGACCTACAAGTTCGAAAAAAGAAGAAAAAACACATTAGCACTAATCACAATGATAAAGTTCATTTTTAACCAGGAAAGTAACGCCATGTATATACACGTAGAAACATAATTGAGCAATCCAGTTTCCACTCACATAAGTTGCCAATACGAGGACCATGATACAGCCAAGCGTAATTCTTAACCATTTCTGATCTTGGGAAATGGATTCATTGTTCTTATGTGCACGTATACTTCTCACAATAGAAGCACCAACGTAGTAGGTTGCAGCAATAATCGGTAGAAAAGAGTGTAGAAACTGCAAAGCCACTAATTCTCGGGCATGGTCGAGATTGGACTCCATCGTGGCGGACAACTGTTGAGAGGATGCACGCAAGACTAGCCTTTTGGTGGGGGTTGGGGGGGGGGGGGGGGGGCCGCGAGGGGAGCCGGTCTGCGCGAGTCCACGGACAGCTGGACCGTGTGAAACGTCACACTCAAAGAAGGTAACGGTCTCTTAAGCAGATGAATTACAACATATATCAGAGAAGGGAGAGAGAAGGGACGCGAATGCAGGCCAAACTCCAGGAGGTGACGAAGCGGATGTGTTGTCGGAGGGCGTTGGAAATCAGCATAAGTCTATCATGCAACTGAAAAATGGAAGAAGACGAAGACGACGACGACGACGACGTTTGTTTATCAGCACGCTGTGCGCAAAAGCAGAAAGACAGCGCCGTGGCCTGAGGGTCAGTCTCGAGGAGAGAAGGCGCGCAGCAGAGGCAACAACAGTGCGATATATATATATATAAAATAGCGAAGAAGCAGCGACAGAGGCGAAGGGAGAACAACCAACGACATGCAGCTTTTTGGAGGGCGAAAAAGACGAGCTGCCCGTTTTTCCGGGCAGGAGTCACAAAGAGGCTCCCAATGGGATATACAAAAAGAAAAAAAAAAAAAAAGGAGAGAAGAGAAAATGGGAGAAGGCAAAAATTACCCTTCTATTCCCTCTGTCTGCTCTGGGTTCCTCCGTCTATTGTATAGAAAGTAACTCAGCGATAGCAAAGTCTTGAACATCAGTCCCTCTATAGTTTCGATTGAATGAATAGTGTGGCTCTCCCCGGAGGAATAGAACACACAGCGGCAAAGAACAAAACAAACGTACAGGGGGTAGGAAAAAAGAAAAAAAAAGGTGAGAAAACAATTATAATGACGAACAAGCTACCACAAACGACAGTAAATCCAAGTCAAGAGCTCAAAACAGTGAAAGGGAGAGGAAATAGTGGACTGGTAAGGGCTGCCAGTCCATGCCTCCGCATGTAAAAGTCTTGGATGGGGCTAAGTGTCCAAGGGTCCAGGCTTGTTCCCCTCTTTGTTCCACTCCAACTATAACGAGGTGGACAGCTGGTGGACAGAAAAAGAAAAAGGAAAGTAAAAATAGTGCAATACAAGGTGAATGGGTTAGGACACTTAGCACTAAATGACGAAAGGGGACACCAACAATCAGCTGGGTATGATATAAACTGAGCGGACATGGAAACCCAAGGAAGATCCCTGTGCTCTCTGGGGGATACAAATGGTTAAACAAATTAGGTTAAAAATCTGTAGGTAATCGCGCCTCTCATACAACAGCTCAAGAAATCTCTGAGAGCTAGAAAAGAAAGGAATCTAACGACAAGTCGAAGGTTAACAGGAGTTCTGGGGCTGACGAGAGAGAAAAAGGGCACTGAATTGATTCGGACAAAGCGAGAGACAGAATGCTGTTTTCTTGTAACCTGATGCAAGGTCTGTTCTTCTTTCGCTTCCTTTCCTAATTTCTGCTTCTCTTCTTCTTTGAGCTCAAAGGGCTTGCGACTGGCAATAAGTAGAACAGGGGCGAAGTGAAAAATATGCCTGCCACCACACAAATGGATGGATGGATGGATGGATTGTTCAGGTCAGACGAGAAAATACACGTCACTCAGGCTGACTGTCGAAGAGGAATTGGATTTCGTTGGAGAGGTGAAATCAAAATGCCGTAACGTATCATTCTGAAGATGTACCCTGGTCAATTTGTAGCTCATCTTCATCGACATGCAATGGGGGCAGAGCACGGGTGGGGAAAAAAGGACAGTTAATAAACCCACGAAGCTAGCCATTGAGGTTTAGATGCATAGCATGTCATCACCGGCACATTTCCATCCCCAAGGTCGATTAATTACTAGGTCATAAGAGAGCAGCAAAATTTGCGTAGGAGAAGAAAAGAGGAAGAAGGTTGGGAAGACATTAACTTGTTAAATGAGGAAGAAATTGTGCCACGACGTGGAAAATATATCCCCTGCAAGCAATGAAATTTGCCGGGCGAAAATAGCCTCAAAACAAAGAACGGAGATGGTATTCAACAATAACTTTTTAAGAACTATCGACACTGAACAATAACATAATACCGTTAGTATATTTGGTTATGCGGATAGTTACCTTAAAACCTTTTTTTTAAAGCTGCACGGCCTGGATATATACCTTACGCTAACCAAGGCCGGATCCGTGGGGTCGCCCTAGATGGGAATAAGGGACCGAGGGAAAAATGGTTCAATATTGTAATATGGCCCACCGGAAAATGGGAGGGATCTCAATTACGGAACTCCGGGGTAGCTGACTTCGCCATCATCCAATTACAAGAGATGAGGGAACATGCAGAGCGATGGATCGGGCATAGAGAGGCGATATCGGACGCAATAATAAACACACTTGATAGACATGAAATGATTCAGTCGAACATATGTGTTAGATGATTGTACGTACACAGAGCACCACTCACAGTTCCCACAATCCCCCCCAAGGGGCAATCCGGGTCAGTTCCTAAATCTCTGTACCTGATGTCAACCTATTGGGGCCACCTCAGGGGTCATCCTGCGGCCCTAACAGGGGCCAATGCATGGAGAGAGGATTTGTGGAGGGAAATAAGAGCCATCGCCTAGTTATTCATCAGAGAGTCCCCCGGCCCGGGGGAAGAATACCAATAGAGTATCAATAAATATTTTTTAAATTACTAAAAAATAAATTAAATATATAAATTTTTTATTTTAAATTTCACAGTTAAAAAGTTAATTTATAATATAAACTTTTATTAAAATCTATGTGTTTTTTAATAACTACCTAGTTCTTAAAAGCAGATTAAATGATAATATATTATATAAAAAGAGTTCGGAGAATTTCATCTTTATTAACAATAGTAGTTTAATTTGCATCTTTCTGGAGAGGAATTCAGCTCCTGTAAGCTCCATATCCATATTACTTGAAGCTTGGGGTTGGGAGGTAAAATTGCGCGCTTTGAATGGTACCATGCGTTGAAGTGGTACTACCAGTCGGGCAGCATCAGAACGAGACACTGCTGCAGCATGATCCTCAATCACGATGATGATGATGATGATGATGATGATTGATACTTGCTGGCTACAACTCCACATACCCAGCATTCCATACACTCCCATATCAAGCTGAACATGTTAGTTACATTGTGAATGAAAATGAGTATGGGAATAGCGGTGTGCTCCTGGCAGGGAGCCAGCCGGTAAGAGGTCGCTGCTCTAAAAATCCCCACTGCAGTAGTGCCGCAAAATGGATCTTCATGGGTGCCCTTCCGGATGAGCTAGTTAGTTAGCTACGTTTAACTATTTCGGGATTGGGCTAGGCAAAATAAGGGCAAAAGAAGCCGCGAATAGCAGCCTGACGTTTGTTGTATGCATCGAGGTGGCGTCACGGTTGCAGTCGAAGCATTACGATATCAACAACGGCCAGTGTTTACCACTTCTAAGGTATGGGTATGCTGATACCGAACGGAGGACTCGAAAAACACATGATATGATGGGTCTTCTTTCATACAGTTAGTCGGGATAGTTATGCAGAGTATGGTTAGTCACTTTATTCTCAAGGGCTTCATGTGTTCTCGACACTAAGATAGACCAAGAATAATGCAATTCTCTGGACAGGAGAAGATAACAGGGTAACCATTAACGAGGTTCAGGTCTTTGTTTAACTATCTAATTATCCCCGGCGGTTGATGTGGTGTGCATACTTTTCTTCTTCCGTTATATGCTGGCGAAGAATCAACAGCAAAACTAACCCCAACCCTAACCCCTAACCCTAATCATAACCACCCTTGAACCCAGGCAAGAGAATGCCAAATAATTCTACATATTCCCCTATGCAAGGGACAAGAAAGGAACTATAAGAAAAAGAGTAACTCCATAACACCCACCGATCTTTCACACCCAGAAGAGGACGCAAGTCAGTCATGCTCTCGTCTCAGCGTTGACAACAACACAGTATGAAAATATTTGGGTCACTCAGCATCTGTCACCGCGCCTGTGCACCCATGCAAAGGAGGGACAACAAAATAATTAGTAACTCATTTGCTGCAGACGTACCCAGTATCACTGACTCCCAATGGTGGCGCAGCATAGAGTGATAGAAGCTCTGCGAGTCAACTGTCAGCCAGAAACAACCAGTTTCCCTGCCACCCAGCTCATTGTCTGCAGCATTTTTATATGACTCTTTGTGACTCTCTGTATGGCGGTACCAACATTAACCGAAAAACAGGTGAGTCGAACAGAACAACATCCCGTCCATTCACCCTTTCACACCCATCTTAAGATCCCGAACGAGCCTCAATCCGAATTTCTCCCCCCCTATCCTAGCTTCTCCAGTCCCTCCATCAATCCCAAAAAATGGCTTCACAGCAACCTCCACCACCCCTTCAAATAGCCTTCCCACCACATCCCCCTTCAGCTCGTCACCCGTCTGTTGGAAGTCCGGGAACGCATTCAGCTCCAGCAGCCACACCTTGCCATGTTCGTCAACCAAAAAGTCCACCCCAAACAGCTCAAAGGCATTCGTTAGCGTTTGAAAATGCACCGGCATCCCCCGCGCAGCAGCTTCAAATACCTCGCCTGTCACAGCACAAACTTGCTCGTATACGTTCTCCTTCCAACGGGCACTGTTGGAGCCCGAACCCCCCGCTGCCGAGGAGCAGAACGGGATAACGGCATCACCAAGAGCCCAGAATCGCCGGACCGCATTCCGTTTGGGCACACCGTTCCTATCTGTTTGCAGACACGTATTCGTCAGGTGGCGGGTGAGCTCCTCGGTGATGTCTGCGCCTCTGTGCCAGGGGGGTAGGTATGGCCTTTCAGCGAATAGCGCGAGCATTTCCCTGTACACATAAACTTGCAGGGAGCCAACAGCCAGGACATAGGTGCGGATGTGGAACTTCCGATTGGACTCCGATGGCAGCAAGAGAGGCGGGTGGATGTACGGCTGTGCAATGAAATGGCGCAGCTGAGATGTGATGACCCCGTTGTTATCATTATCGTCGTCAGCATCATCATTATATTTGTGACCATACGTTCCTTCATTGGCGTGGACGTGGCTGTTGTCGCTATCCTCGTCATGGTCGGAATCGGACTGGTCCTCTTCCCACTCCTCAAATATCGCCCGCAGGCTTGATTCGCTGTTGAACAAGCGAATGCCCCGGCCGCGATCACCCATCCCCGGCTTTAAAATCCACCACTCCTTCTCCTCCTCCGCTTTTCCCTCATTGGCTTCAAAGCTCTCCTGTAGTTCATAGGCCTCTGCCAATGCCTCGTCGAGAAATTCTGCGTAATCCAACTCAAAGCACACCGCTTGTTTAAAGTGTGTTTTCAAGATGCTGTCTGGATGCTTCGCCACCCAGTTCGTAATGATGTTTGAGAGGTAGTGTTTTCGAATCAAAGCTTTGCGAATGACATAGGAGTTTACCAATGATGTTTTAGGATGGCGTAGGACGTGTTCAAAGTCGCATAATTCATATACTCTGTACTGTAGCAAGGGGGATGACGGGTCGGGAAGTTCACAAAGGGAAAATATCGACTCGTAAGAGTTTCCGGGTAGTCGTTTTCGAAACGCTTGGATCACAAGGGGCTGCACATACGAGTCCTGACATTCTACGAGAGCGTAGAATATCGGCTTTTTGACGAACCTGTGGGCAGATGGAAATGAGGCGAATCGTTAGAATGCACCTTCTACGGGACAAGATAAAATATATAGATGTTCGGGAAATGCGCAAGTTCTGGATAAATAAGAGAAGGGGAACAGAGTGAGGAACGAATTAGAAGTGCATATAGATACACTGAGGGGAGATATCTATTTACTCGTCTAACATAACGTCATAAATACATAATCACATTGGGTATTTATACTCACAACTGGATTTCACCTGTATATCCCGGTGAGTGCATGAAATTTGCTCTCAAGGGGGTAACACTGTAATCACAAAGACGGTTAGCTATGACCAGGAAGACTTGATGGTGCCAGTAGAGATAGTGAAGATGAGATTTCGCGACGCAGGAGCCCATAACCAAAAAGGGAATCATACCTAGTGATCCCCTCCTTAACAGCCCATCCATCATTCCCTGGAGGACTAAGTTCTACACTCTTATAGACATCCGCAAACTTGGGCGCCCACTTGAAATGCATATGTCGATATCGTGGCGTTGTCGTCCCTGTCCCAGACGACGCTCCCGCTGCTTTCCCTTTCTTAGTCCCCGCATCTAATTCCCCAGCTTGCCGCAGCTTCTGCTCCTGCAAATCTGGACCCTCCCCACTCTCCTCCGCATCAAGAGCCTCAAAACAGCTCCCAGACGTCCAGCGATTCTGCAAAATATCCGTATACAGGACCTTGCCCTCGCTAACCCCGGGCTCCAGGGGCACATTGATACTATACAAATCAACATCCTCCCCCCAATTCTCGTACACATAGCCAATCAAACGAACAGAATGCCGTGACGCCTCCGCGATGACGATGGGATCATGGTCGCGCGAGCTGAAGGCGAACGAGAGCGCAATAGCCTTGAGACCGCACATAGCAGCCTCCATGGCACCGCCAATAGTCCCGCTCGATAGCGCGAAGACGGCAGTTGTATTCCTCCCGTAGTTGGGGCCAGAAATGACCAGGTCGATGGGCCCGCGGTCTTTGAAGTAGTGGAACAGTCCGATCTGAACGCAACTGGCGGGCGTGGAGTCAATGAGGATCCACTCGTCGCAGTTTGGATCGGGGCTATCGGGCTCCCCCTCCGCGCCCAGGGGTAGGTGATGGATTGTGCCGTCATCCTTGTGCAGGGTACCTGGGCGAAAGTAGGTGGGTTTGACGGTATCTCCTACGAGGTGAGCTTTGCCGATCCATGACCGTTGCCTGTGCGGGAGTACCACGGAGACGATGTGGCCGGAGGATTGGAGAGTGTGGACTAGCGAATGTACATATGGCGATGACTGGTTTGAGGGAGGCCCGTCATCGTTGACAACCTATGTGAAATGGGGGGGGGATATGTGAGCAGAGGAGATGTCACGGATGTAAACCTTATTCACTCTAGCTAGAATTCTTGGGAATGTGGGGGGTTTTCTTGAGAAGTGCATAGAGACGTACAAGAATATGCATTGTCAGTGGATAGGGAGTTTGTACAGAGGCAGCGGGGGTGTCTGCGTTGACCTCTGTCAATATGCTCTCAGTGCGGTGCGGTAGTTAGTTAATGTGGGGTTATTTTGTAGATGCGGGCGAAGCAACAATTAAATACTTGAAAACGCTTAGGGTCTTAAATTGCGGTTCCTTTGTTTATTTTTTCTCTTTTTAATCCCTTTGTTTATTTTTCTCTTTTTAATCCCTTTGTTTATTTTTCTCTTTTTAATTCCTTTGTTTATTTCTCTTTCTTTTAACAGATTCACTGCATAGAACCCTACTGGGTTGAAATCCCCGGCGGCCTTTGCTGTCCTAGAAGAAGCCAAATTACGGAGTATGTATTCGGTGGTGAAAAGGGATAGGAAATGTTGGGCGACGCGCTTCCAAAGTTTCCACGCATTATTAGCCCCATGCTTGAGATGCTGTGACAACAGAGTGAATATTTACAGAAATTGCCCTGTTACTACAAGAATTGGTGGTTTAAAACTAGGTAAAGTACTCAAAATAAGACGGCACATTGGTCCGTCTTGGTAGATTTCACATGATTTATCATTTCTATTATAACGCTGCGTGAAGTGAGGATATAGGGGTATCATCTGCAAACCAATCAAAGCAAGCGTTCGGTCAGCAGGGCCAGTAACCCAAAGCCACCTATCCCATATCCTTTTCATGTTGAAAGCGTACATGGCTTCTGCGTCTCTGGACGGCTTGTTCCGCGTCCCTACCCCCTACAACTGTTTGCGTAGAACTTCCTGAGGCGGGAATATCTGCATCAGCTTCGTCGTGGACTTCGGCTTCTCTGATAAAGGGCTGAATCTTCGTGGATTCCTCGATATCCTCTTCCTTCTTGATCGTTTCCACTTCGCTGCTCTGTTGTCCGTCACGCTCTAATCCAAGTCCTGGATAATTTCCCCCCTCTTCTTCGCTTTCATCCTCTTTGACGGCGACATCGCTGCTGCCTCCGTCTTCTTCCTCTTCTTCCAATTTTGGCCTCTTAATAGGTGTTGCTTCCTCCTGGCTAGCTAGAGCCAACCACACAGAGGACGTACAGATCATCGCAACGACCCAGAATGTCGAGCTGAATATTAAGAACGACAGAATTCTCCAGCTATATATAATCCATCTGCCACATCACAATCATTGTCAGCTCGGTTATTCTGTCCATCCCAGGGACCCTCAGATGGCATGCACACAGCTTGAGCGTGCAAGTTCACTCCTATCATGGTGTCAAAAGAAGTTGAAATAGCAACATACCGTAGCCCACTAAACCTGGCATCAAACCTCACAGCAACATTATAAATCTGCATTCTCTCCACACTCTGAATCTCCAACCTCAATGCCTTGGGCATCGCCTCTTTCTTCTTTCCAAACTCCGCCTGCTCCATCATGCTAACCTTCAAGCCCTCCGCTTCCCTCTGCCACCCAAGCACGTAAAGCGGAATTTTTGACACTCTCCTGGCCGTATCCACCATTGGTGATGCATATGTTAGAATAGCAAACCGCCGAGATCCCCTAACCAAGTCTGCCTTCATTGACGTATTTGTGTTTGGGGTATCTGTAGTAGAAAATAATCTGAGGTCAAGCATGAAGTTACCCGCGGCGAGGTTAGAAGGGGTCCGCGGAAGGTATAAAATGACGCTGACATCGTATTGCTGGCCGGATATTAATTCCGTGCCTAATGTTGCAGTGCCATGGGGGTGGCCGTCACTAATATGTTTTAAGATGGCTCAGTTTTCATAGCTTGCCGGAATATCTATTTCATTTATGCTTTTTCCGTGTAGGGGTTCGCTTATTTATTGGGTTGGGTTTGGGAGGAAAAAACATACCCAAACTGTAAATGAACCTGCCGCTCTAGCCCGATCTGCGGAACATAATTGTAGTAGAAGATCCAATAAGCGACTACAGAGATGCAGAATAGAATGAAGGAGGAGAGAGCAAAGAGTGCGGTGTTCAGATACGCTCGCTGGGCCGATTTAGAGACTATGGTCTGGGCGGTTTCTGTGATGAAGGACTGGAGATATATGAGCTAATTGATCGTCACCTGCTAGAGAGGAGAGGAACGTGAAGTTAATAATAGCGAGCAAACGAAGCAGAGTAAACCGCACACATACCAGTGTTCTAGAGTATAGGGACTGGTTTGGCTCTGTTTCATCGTCCATCCTGGCTCAATTGATCGGGGTTGAAGAAGAAGTTGGGCCTGCATGAGACTGTTTGTTTATGTTGTTATTTACGGGGGAAAACTTGGAACGATTGAAACTATGTTGACATGTGACTGAGGGTGGCGGTTGGGCGAGTTTGACGACAGCCACACCCCCAATAGTTAACTACAGTCAAGTACGCACAGAACTAGATGTCAAAAGGACGCTGTCCGTCGAAGAATCTCCAACAAACTGTATGCGAAGCTAAACCTATCTGAAACGTAGATATATCTCATCGATGGACAGCTTATGATATAGAAAAGGTGTTCAAATGCAACGTTGCTACCCTCACTCCCGAATGTAGCTCGCAATCCGACGCCCATCCATGCCATTTCTCCCTCCCCGCTTAACTCTCAAATCAAACGATAATAGTTAAATCATAAATAAAGAATGCGTATGTGAATGAGAGAGAGAAAGTTAATAAAAAAAAATTGTTTCGCAATCATTTCAATCAATAACGGCAAGCATACTTAAAAACATGCATACCCCCCAGGGACAAATAAAGGTTAAAATAAACTAGAAAAAGGAGAGCGCAGAGAAGACACATGGAAGGAGAGCAATAGACAAATAGAAAAGAGCACGAAAAAAAGTAGACCGAGAAACTCCGCAGCCTGAACCCGTAGAAGCAATGAAAATAGAAGCTTTTGAACTACCTAGAGCCTGGGGAAAAGAAAAAGAGAAATTTAAACTATAGTCATGACATATAACCTCTAAAGTCACACTCGCCCCCACGACAAGGGAAAGCAATTGGGTGTACGGAGTAGGTTTTAAGTGTATGTTCTTGCATCTAGGGCAGTTGGAATAATCAATTAAGTCAGCGCCGCCCTCGGGCTTTGATGTTGGATGTGCTGAAGCAGCACGTTGAAAAGATTGCTAATCTGCAATGACAATTTTCGTTAGTGATCGAACTTCCAGTAAAAAATTCCACAATGAATAGGTTGTTATATTTCAGAATTATATATCCCTTACCTCAGGCGTCGATTGAATAAATGGCAAGCGGAAGAAAGCATAATTGCCATTCTGAAGTAACTCCTGCACCGTGATTATCAAGCCCCAGGGATGGGGTCGATGAACGACCAGCCGCTCAAGGAGAGCCCGAATGATCTGCTCGCGAATATCCGAGTCTTGATCGGGCTGCTCAGACCCGAAAAGATGGAGGATGACAAAGCTGAAGTAATGCGTATGGCTGTTGGGATACCGCAGCTGATTGGCAATAGCACTAAAAAAGTAGTATCGAGCTTCGGGTTGAAAGGCCCTGGAAAGCTTCTCGAGAAGAGTAGTATGTGGGCAGTTGCTGAACATTGCGGATGCACTACCCTTTTGACTAGATGTAACTGCGTTTTGCCCAATATACATGACGAGCGCATTCAATAGGGTAACATCCACGTTTATCGGAGTGTAAAAATACCCGGTCTTATTGACAGGGGGGTTTGATACAGCATCGCAAATTTGCTGAACCGCGCTGTCAGTTACAGTCGATCGGAATGCGTTATCAACTACATCGGTCAAATTCGCACGTCGAATAGAAGCAACAACATCACCAGCAACTTTGGGAGCCTTGCGGATTTCATCTATCCGTTCAATTTTTAAACCATCTCTGAATGGATCGGGTAGTTTCTGGAACGTCGATGGGTATGCACTCAAGACAAGATTTCGTAATTGTGCGCAGTGCGACGGGATGACATTGCAAAACTGGTAGTGGTTCTCCGCTACGAACTCGGGAAAATCATGGTGGAGCAGAAGGAAAATGCGAAGAACGCCTTTGTATAGATCCTTTGCAACAAATGAAACATTGGCTGGCTTTAGCTGGTCGCCGATGTATGGAAGCAAAACTTGCATAATTTCACTATACGATTCCCACCCCTAATTTTAACCGGTTAGTAAGGATTCAATCCGATTTACAAAGGCAATCTGAAGAACTTACCGATTGATCTGGCAGGTTAAGCATTCCAGATACGAAGACACGATGGGATATCAATGCCAGCCATGCATAGACAAACCCGGGCGCGTGTTTGGGTTGCATGGACAGGAATTTGTCGGCAAAAACGGACATCATTTCTTTATGCTGGTCCGCCTTCTCCAAGCCACACATGGAATATTCACAAAGGATGCTTGAGAAAAGTCTAAAAAATACCCGTTGGTTGAAACTGTCGCCCCTCATCACTTGATGGTGGTTCAAGACAAGAACTAGAAGCGAAAGGATGGAGTTTAAGTAGACTGGCTTGCTTGCCTTGACGGCTCCAGTGCTCTCGCCCTGAAACTTAACCAGCAAGATCACCAATTTCGCGAGCGCATCAATATATAAGAACGCTTCATCAACATTCCCATTTGGATTCTGACACTCATGTTCGAACATGGCTACAGAGATATCGATGCTGAGCCTAAAGAATAGAGCCGAATCCTCCTGATTGTTCATGACCTGTCTTTGGTGTATATCTTTCAGGAATGTGCTGTAAGTCCTGTCGTTAGAACAGGCAAATTTATACACGCCAATCCATTCACTGAAAATGTATTCCATCTGGTCACGCTTTGAACGGGCCTGGTCCGTAAGAAGTGCGTTGGCAGTTTCTGGTATGCCCGATTCACGAAGCTTCCGGATAATATCCTTAGCAACACTGAGATCTGGGTTCTCGACAACCCATTTATTCATCGCATCTAGACTGCCTGAAAAGTCCGATCGCAGAGCGGAAGGTTCATCGTTCAGAAGGACTTGGTCGATAAGGTTGGAGAGCACTTCCAGGGCAGGAACATTCTTCTCCTGGATGAGTTTTGCGAGGATCATATCAACACGTTGAAGATCCAAAAGCCCTGCATCAATAAGGGCGACAGTGACTGGCACATTGAACATGTGTTCATCATCCACATCGGCAAGTACAGCCCAGGTATACCTAGCAACAAGGGAAGATAGTTCACAGATCTTAGCCAGTATGTGTACAAGAAGTTCGATTTCCAAACGGCTCTCAGTGCGAGAATACAACGTAGTGCATATCTTGAGAGCCACCAATCGCGCCAAATCTTCGCCGTTCGGTGCGGTCAGGATCGTGCGGAAAACCTGATTATAGTCCTGAAGGATGGCGTTATCCCGTCCAAGGTCCTTTAAACGCTCTTCTGAAGCATTTCGAGCCGAGAGCTGCAGCTGAGAAACAAGAGCTTCTACTTTCTCGCGAGGGTTAGCATTGTCAAGGAAACCGTTCATCTGGCCTTGAGCAGCAGCGATGGCGGGTTGTTGCAGGCTGGATTCCTGCTGCGTTTGTGCCACGTGGTGTGGAACAGCTGGCTGTTCAGCCGGAGTGGATAGATTAGGAATAGCCGGGAAAGGCTCTTGGAGAACGTCAGGAATTTGTTTCCCGGAGTCAGTCGATGCATTTTGAATGTGGCTATGACCGGCTCCCCGGGATTGGCGCGCAAAATTCTCATATATGGCCAGCTGTTCTTTGTTTAGGCCGCCAGGAACCTGCCTAAACGGTTCTGGGATGAAAAATCCCCATCGACTAATAGAAGGATCGATAAACGGTTCGTTAGGACGCGTTGCACGGTGGCGACGACGGGCTTCAAGTTGTGACTCAATGACTTTTTCTATCTCAGGGAGAGATTTCTCTTCTGCTGCTTTTTCAACGATACCGCAAGCCGCATCCAAGTTATCATTGACGCACATGAGGATGAGGCCTTCAGGCATAGGCTGATCGGAGAATTCTTGCTGAATCATTCGAATATAGTTTGTCATGCTCATCTTTAGGGGTTCCTTGCACGTAACAAGCGCCAAACTACCTGCCAGCGCACGAACCATAGTCCCGGCCGCTTGGCGAACCTTTTCCTCATCAGGTTCCATCGCGAAGTCTTTCAGAATCAGCTGGGCCGTTGAGATCGATGCAATTGTAATAGAACGTTCGACAACGGGAGTGATGATTTCGGCAATAGCTCGCTCTACTGCACTATGAACGATTTGCCTCAGGACGCCGGGATCAGCCATGGTACTAGCGGATGGGGGAAACACCAAGATTTGATCTAAATTAGGGAGACTGGAAATGATCGAGGTCGAGGATATTCTCTCATTCCGAATAACGCGGTTCATGTTGCTGAGTGACATATCCTCAAACGCCTCCAGACCTTCAGGAATATTTGCTGACGAGATACCATCTTCCAGCTGTGCTGGCCGCTCCCTGATACAAGTCGAGGGCTCTATAGCCTTATAATCAAGTTGCAGATCTCCACAAAGAACCTCGATTTCGAATTTGAGAATCATTTTCAGTTCCGCGAAATGGTATATCTCCATCAAAAGAGCAAGGATATCCATTAGCCAAGGATTGGGGGGTTTGAAAATCGTGGATTTCATGGCTTGCACTAGTACTTTGCATGTGAAAGGTATGACAACCATGAGGCGTTGGCTATCGAATGCTTCGATAAGAAGTTCCTTGAAGTAGATGTTCCTATGTTTTATCGGTTTATCTTTGGCTATGGTTAGAGAACCAAGCCATCCACCCAAATTTTTCAAATGCGTGCGCTCAGTCGCTGAGTTCAGGGTAGAGTCTGCATTCAGTAAACGTATGGCGCTAACATAAGTTTCTCTGAGAACTTCCATCCAAAGTGTCTTGTCGCTGATAAGTTCTAAAAGGTCGAGATAAAGCTGCTGAAAATTCGGTTGCAATTTTGCTCGTTCTTCCACAAGATATGAGGCGAACCACTGGTAATGTTCTTCCTGTAAAACATCTTTTAAATCTTTTAGCTTCACATTAATATTTTGTTCGGAAACATTATTTAAAATGAAGAGTATTTTGTCGTGAACTTCTTCATCTGGGTCACGATAAATCTCCGGGCGAAGTGGAGGGTCGACGTGTAGTGAAGAAAATTTGCGTTGAGTGGTATCAGTGGCTAGGAGGTCATCAATATTGCCATTAGTCATAGCCAAGCCATCGGGTAATCCATTCAACTCAGCTCCGCCGTCTTCATTTACTGGATGGTGGCCCTGATCTCGGAGTACTTCTTCGGCTTTACGGTAGATTGTAGTTCCCTGGAGAGAGGGAATTTGCAAAAGAAGGTTGCAAAATCCAGCCCACTCTGGAAGGCGGTTTATCAATTGTTCGATAGCTTCAACGCCAAACTTGTACATCGGTTGATGAGGTTCGTGTTCCCGCACCGCATCGAGTATCATTCCAAGGCCAACTTTGAGTGGGATACCGGAAATTAGCTTGAAATTAATAATTCCACCGAACATGACAGCTGTTTTGGTTAATGCCTCCAGTGGATATGTGTGGTAACAGTTATATTCATCCACAAGGCCATGAACCATGCAAGTAAATAAATCCTGCTCTGCTGGGTCGCGCGACGTTTTGTACCGTCGCATCAATTCGAGGATCTCGCGCAGAGAAAGTTCTTCGTGATACATCTTGCCAAATAATTCTTGCATCTGCTTATCGATTTCTTCTGGAATTGCATTGCCATGGTTTCCATTAGCCTCGATAATATCATCGAATCCTTCTCCATAATTTATCAACCGTGGGTAAGTTTGAAGACAGATGCGTTGGATTGGCGTCAAGGTTTCATGATCCACGATGTAGTCCTCAAGAATCTGCAGAAGCGCATAGACTGTTTTAACCGACAGGCTAACCATTTGGGGTGCTGGCTGTTCTTTCCTTTGGACACGTAGTTCATCATCGGCCTTGATTTTCAAGAATTTCGACAACAGGCTCCCCATATCGATAGGGGCTTTTTGAGCAGCTCTCTTGACCCACTGTTCGAGATCATAGTCATCCTTTCGGTGTGCTAATGATGCTAGGTCCATAGCTAGACCGTTGGTGAATTCCAAAATGTAGTCTAGCCAGCCATGTTCCACAGCATGCTCGTAGATACGTTCAGTACACGAAGGGTCCTGAGTAAATCCATGAAAGAGTTGTTCTACCACCCACTCTCGATTGAGCTTCCAAACACCATGTAGCGCAAATTGGTAACCATCTTGGCGCTTGGCGACGAAAATAGAGAAAGATCGCATGACGAAGTTGATTTGAACGGTGGTCCATGGTTGAGGGATAGCAAACGCAGAGCACAGGAATATAGGGAGATCGTGTTGAAGAACTGTTTTGACAAATCTTTGGCTGTCCGGAAGGCTCCATGTTCCGGGGGTTTTAAGGACGAGATCAAAGATGGCTTTCACTGTGTCACGCGAGCGAAGCAAGCTATGTTGGGCCTGTTCAGCTTGCTGACGAACAGTCTCAGAAGCATCACTAAAAATGTTGGGAGGGAAAGTTGGATGAAAGTTAGGAATGCGTGAAACGTCGATGTTGGCGGAGAGGGCTGCTGATAAAAAGGACAGCTGGGTATCTCGGTTTTCCCATTCTCCACTCCAAAGCCGCTGAACATCAACAGCTGGATTGTCGTTGGAAACAGCTACAAGCGCATTAAATAGTCGAACAAATTGATTCGGATCGATGACCAGGCCACCCCGGTCAAAGGCCTGCATAAAAGCTGACCAATTAAAAGGTTCGGCTCGTTGGTGGTTTTGGACAGTGGTGAGAAGTAATTCGGGGGAGAATTGGCGCCAGCTAGGGGAAATTATTATGTATAAAAAAGCGGAGGCGATCTGCTCTTCGCTCCAGCCACTGGGGCCAATTGAATTTATAGTCTCCACGATACTGTCTTGACTGTTCATCGATTTGGGTCCTCGAATCAGTATTTGACGAACTAGAGACAGCTGGGGATCAGATAATCCGAACATCTGCAAGACGGATTCAATTTCTGGAGGCACGTCCATGTCTGTGGATTGGTATCGCGTCCGGCACGCGTATACAAGCTTTTGTTTAATATCGTCGTCGAAATTACGAGGCGGGTATAGGATAAAGCGTTCTAGGGTGAGACTGATAAAAGACGTGCTGAAATCTTTGTTTGATTCAGAGATTGCTGAGAGACTATGCAGAAATTGAGGGGTTGAGTTTGTAAGGATGGCATCAGCTACAGACAATTTATAATGGTCAGTTTTGTTCTGTGAATTTCTTGTTTTGGGGAAGGCGAAGTTAGGGATAATGCAAGGTAGGGAAAATTAAACTGACCTTTTGTGCGCAAATCTGCCTTGCTGACATTTTTAAAAGCAAGTGTCAATGAGACTTTGGCTATGGGATCTAATTTGAAGTGGTCAAGGAAAGTTGAGAGGTCAAAATCACGAAATATATCACCATCAGATGCATCAATAGTCTCAGCAATCTTTCCAGCTTGTTCCAGGTCCTGTGACACTTTGTGAACCTCCTGTACTAGCAAAGGATAGTTTCCTGCATTTTCCACCACCTTATTGATCCCTGGGAAGATCTGGGGGGCGTTGCCAGAAAGTAGGCGACGAAAATATTTCGCAAAAACTTCCATGCCGTTTGAATCAACCAGCTTGAATAGAGCTATTAGCTATGGGTCATGAAGTGACAGGCAACGGCCCATGGTGCGGCATAATACTTCATAATACGTACCTTGTGAATTTGAGCAGCTTTTGTTTCCCACTTTTCCTTACCTTCCTTCTCGTTGATGGAATCCAATAGGAGGAACACCTGAGCAACGGAAATTTTTGACAGTGACGACTGGCCAGTGTTAATCCCTGATGTCGCAGCAGATCCGGACTTGTCAGATGGGAATCCTGTCGGTGAGTTGATTGTTGTCCCCGTCAACAGTGGAGAGAACGCAGCACTCCTGGATATACCCGCGCCACCAACTCCACCACCTCCACCTCCACCACCACCACCACCCCCACTGCCTCCGCTTGAAGCCGTCGAGGTAGCCAGATGCGAGGTTGAGGAAGGTGTGAGGGATCTAGTTTTTGGAGAAGAGATTGTTTGGCCTGACTGTTGTTGCTGTTGTCCGCCACTTTGTTGAAGCGAGGAGAAAGATACAGGCGTGGGTGCAGGGGAAGGATTCCTTCGAGTATTGGACAGGCGGGTAGAGGATGACAGGATGGCGGAAAATGTGGACGTCAGGGGAGATGTTACAGATGCACTGGGAGCTGGACTCTGAGATTGAAGAGGCCTCTGAGGAGGTGATCCACTAATGTTTGAGTTGGAGAGGTTGGTGCAAAGGGGAGCGGGACCACGGCGGACGTTGGATTGGGACGCACTGGGACCCCAGGCAGACGGCTGGGATCTCGCCGTCCTGGAAGCTGATGGCTTGTCGGTGCCAGAAGCAATCAAAGATTGAGCGGAAGAAGGGAAACTCATGAAGTAGGGGATGCGGTCATTTGGATTTGGAACGGCGAAAATTGTGGGAGTGGTGAAAGGCTCGACGAGGAGCTGACAAACCGAGGAAAATGGCACAATAGGAACGAGGTCTATTTGGGAGCTTTTTCTACGATGTCATAGAGAAGAGTTTAGAAGTGAAGGATGGGCTGGAGAGGATAGATGGAGAGGTTGAGAGGAGTCTCTTGGGCAATGAAGTTAGAGATGAGGTTGGTAAGTCAGGTGAACTCTGCTTCAGGCAGTCACAGCCTTTGGTCATGATCACATAAGCAGATCATCACATGAATGGATGAAAGGTTAATCCATTCCGGGGCTTAAAAGCTCGTCTTAATGATTGGGAACTAACTAGTTAACTAGTTCAGTGGTTTGAATAGCCGATTACAATATGAGTATTTCTCTTGACTTTTTGATTTTACACTATGTTGAATGCCATTCTTGAAGATAGTTATTGTTAAACATACCCTTCTGTTATTTCTTTACTATATTTTCACTCTTGCTAGAGAATGAGCTGAATTTCTGAGAGACTTGATGAGTTCCTTTAAATATACAAGAATTATTGTAATCAACTATTCACGACTTTTTGGACTGAACTAGTTTAACTACTTCTTATCTGTCTGAAGAGGAAACTCAGCACAAAAGCGTGTAAATACAAAAGACGTTTCTAGATTCAGCCCTCATTTAATAAAAAGGTTCCTGTCATTGTAGACTGTCTCGTTCTAGTAGCAATTTGTGGCATGCACGCCACAAAACAGACACAGTGCGTGATGTTGTCCGAGGTTCCAAGTTTGCTTGGCGGCGTTGCCCCGAGAAACCAGGTCATGTAAACAAACTCGACGCCTCGAACTTCTGCTTACTATCTAATTACCTGCTGCGACGCTTCCATAACGACGACCGCAGAGGGACTCAGGTAATGATAATACGGACTGCCTCTTCTCCGGAGCATTAAGTCCTTGCTGCAAAATAAAGGCGTTTTTTTTCTTTTCTGTTCTTTCCCCCAATTACATACCATTTTCGAGCTGCCGCTGGTCGACCCTGCTTGAGAGACATCCAGCCCCGACTTCCTATATCCGTATCCATAAGTCTGTCTTGTGGTTGGAATTTACCCACAACGGCCAAGGATGCCTGGGCCAGTCTCGGAGACCCCAAGTGTCGCGTTATCCTGTATGATTGCAGCCATTCTCCTGCTCAAACACTCTGATCGAACGAAGCTGAGATAGATATTTTCAAGTCGCGAACAATTTCTGGGGTAAGGATGACGCAGGAGTGGGGCCAATGTTGGAGCGCGTTCACAATGCGAAACTTACATGTGATGAATTGAAAGCCTTCTATAACAGTACGTGATACTAGGCCACTGTTCTGGAAGTGATGTTCGGAATAAGCAGTTCTAACGAACCTCATGTTGTATACAACAGCCCGCGCAGCCATCGAAGATGAATATGCAAGAAAGCTCCTCGTTCTAAGCCGGAAAGCCCTTGGTTCTGCGGAGTCTGGCTCACTGCGTGCGTCGCTCGATACAGTACGTGGAGAGACAGAGGCAATTGGCAAGACCCATGCAGCCATTGCTGCCCAGATGAAGAGCGAGTTAGAAGAGCCTTTAGCGGCATTTTCTGGTGGTATGAAGGAGCGACGAAAGATCGTGCAGAATGGCATTGAGAAGCTCCTTAAAACCAAAATACAGCAGACGCAAGCTGTCAACAAGGTATCCAGTCAATTCTACCATAGGTTGATGCTCCTAGGAATATTAATCAAGGATTTATGGACTAGTCGCGGGATCGCTACGAGCAAGACTGCCTCCGAATCAAAGGCTACTTGGCACAAGGACATATGGTGATGGGTCAGGAGGAACGCAAAAACAAAGCAAAGCTAGAGAAGGCGCAGATACAACTGGCCGCCAACAGCAGCGAATATGAATCTGCCGTAAAAATTCTTGAGGAGACAACTGGTCGGTGGAATAAAGAATGGAAAGCTGCTTGCGACGTAAGTTATGGATTCTACATGCTCTGGGTATATGCTCTAACTTTTATGATAGAAATTTCAAGACTTGGAAGAAGAGCGGTTGGATTTTACAAAGAGCAGTCTGTGGAATTATGCAAACATCGCTTCCACAGCATGTGTTAGTGACGATGCCGTAAGTTCAGCTGCTCATTCACAATTTGCAATATCGTTTCTAATGGAAGAAGTCCTGCGAAAGGATCCGGGTATCTCTCGAGAGCTGCGAGGTAGAAAAGGATATCAGCAGCTTTATAATAGAAAGAGGAACAGGGCAGGAAATCCCTGATCCACCCAAATATATTAACTTTTGTCGAGGGGATCTTAACAACACTTCTTCAGATACATCTGAAGAAGAGGGTTATTCAGTTGCACAGTTCCAGCGGGCCATTAACCCAGCTTACAGAAGTTCTTCGCCCGCCCCGTCTACTTATGAATCCCATCATGACCCCCAATCCGAACTCGCGATGAGGATGGGAGGACATGCTGCTGATCCGCCGACGCCAGCAAGCCGAGAAACTAACGTAACTCCGCAGAGGCCACAGCCATCGCAGGTACAACAACAGCAGCCGCAACAACCACAACATCCGCCACCTCAACAACCACAACAATCACAGCAACACCTTCAGCAGCAGCCGCAGACGCAGCTCCCGCCCCCTGACATTCGACGTGGAGTAAATATTCCACCCAATTATCAACCAAGTCAACATGGAGATATCCGAAATGTGCCTCACAACGAATACCCCACAGATGGGATGACGATGTTCTGCAGAACGGGACCACCGTCCGAAAGAAGCAGTGGAACCAGTGGAAATAGGCCATCTAGCAGGGGCTCTCACAGTGACATCTCTAACCCAACTTCGTTCTCTAGCATGGAGCCATCTAGCGGGAGACAGTCTCCGAAAAAAACGGGTAACGACACTCCTCTTCCTGGAAGGGTTGCCGATAAACAAGTTCAAAAGAAAAAAAGCACTTTTTTCAGCAATAGTCCATTCCGGAGAAAAAGTAAGCACGATAAAGAGAACCCAAATGCAACAGTGGTTAAAACCCCTACGAGCCGCAATACTTGGACAGCGCCGCCAAAACAGACAAGTCCGGTTAAGTCCCCATATGAAAAACCAACATACGTCTCTGATCTCCCCTCGGGCAGCCCTGAACCTGTTGACCCTAGAGCCAATTTCCAATTGAACGTCGGCAACAATGTTTTTGACGTTGCCTCACCCGATGCCGCACCTAAAGCAGGCGCAAATGCAAACAAAGATGGTAATGACCTTGATCCCATTGCCCAGGCACTTGCAGATCTCAAAGGGGTAGGGAAACAGGCATCAGTCCGCGTCTCAGCCGACCGCTATCATGGAATCACCACCCCAGTTCCTCCAAGTGTCGCTTCTAGCCAGATGGGAGATGGGAATATCGCCGCTGCCCAGCGCGGAACTCCCCCTCCCGCATATAACGATCCATCAATGAAACGGCTTGGTGCTCCTCAGCCGGCGTTTACGTCAGCGCAGATGCAGGAAACGACTCGTAAATACGTTGGACAGACGCAGGAAATGTTCAACAACAACAACAACCATACTCGCACAAGCCAGGCGGAAATCAGAGTCAACACAGCAATCCCCCGCCCAACCTCCACTGCTCCACGAAGAAGTTTGAGCCCCCAGCCCTCGTCCCGTGGAGACTCACGTCAGCAGTACGACAACAGCAGGAACAACCCAAGTCCCTCTTCCTATTACTCTCACTCGGGCAGCATGTCCAGCAGATACCACCAGTCTCCATCAGCAACCCCAACGAAGGCGGCTACTAGTCATTCTTACTCACCGCAACAGTATTCTCATCATGGTTCCCCCAACGACCAAATACAACGTGCAATCTCACCCCAACCGCAATTCAGACGCCAGGATCGACCATCCAGCGCGAGTGGAATGGAGCTTCAGTTATCAAGTAATCAGATTGATCCACAAGGCGGAGGCTATAAGAGTGATTTTGGTAGTCAAGGCGGTCGGCGAAGCAACGCACGACCCATGTCAACGTACTACGGCTCCGCACCGGATGTTAGCCAAGGTGGCCGTGTGAGAAGCCGGAGTGTGGCAACTACAGATGGTAATCGTCATCTTAGTTTAGATGGACGGCCCGTGTTACACTATGGTAAGTTAATTTACACCACTTGAACTTGTTCTTTTCATAAATGTCACTGACTCACGCCTCTTCTTCTCCTCTTTTTTTATAGCACGCGCAATGTATAGCTATAACGCCGCCATCCCTGAGGAGCTCGGTTTTGCAAAAGGAGATATCCTGGCAGTTCTCAGACACCAAGATGACGGATGGTGGGAAGCAGAAGTAACCAGTCCTCAGCGAAGCCACCCCGGCCTAGTCCCGAGTAATTATTTGCAGAACTGTTAATGCGACTATGGCCTATGGCAAGATGTTGACAAAGACGCATGAGCATTCAAAAGTAAAGCCCTTTTCCATACTGAATTCGATTACGAAACACCTACCAACCAACCCTTTTCTGGTTCTATTTTCCTGGACTCTGAGATGTGAATTTTTATTTTATTTTATTTTTTGTTGTTTCGGTGGTAGGAAAATGTCACCCTGATGTTTTGTTGATGGTCTATATTTTGATGACAAGGTCTCTTGTTTCCTCTTTCCTTTGTTTTACCATCTGTCTTTCAGAATGACTTTGTCTTGAAATTTTATTGGCTCTTTTTAATTACCTTCTGCTTTTTGGTGTTGATTGAATTTCAACCGGCCAGTGTTTCCTCCTTGATTCCATTACGTTTGCTTGTTCACTTTACTCTTGCGCTATTCCCTTTTCTTTTCTTTCCTGTCATTTTATTTTATTGGGCAAACGAAATCCAAATGAAAGTGATGATACTTTATCAAATTGTGAAATACCAGAGAGTAGTGGATATTACTTAATTGACTTTATTTTCTAATATAGGCTGGTGAATGAAGCTATTTTCCTCGGGCAAGCTTGTGTTAGAGAAAATAATAATGATTTCATTTGCTGCAAAGGAATAGAGTGCATACATATCAGCCAGTTGAGCAAATATGAGTAGACAACAAAATGAAAAAGTGAAAGACAAACAGGAAGGTGTTGGAACAATCACCAAATGTGGTTTATACAAAATTAGCTGCTGTACATAGATCCCCTCAATTTCTCTACATCTTCACCCCCCAGTGATCCTTCGACTCCAAATCTCCAAGCTGCCAATATACAATCACAAGACGCCGCGCAACTAAGAGGATAATGATCGCAACAGCAACAGAATACAGTACAACAAATGAACGCTTCGAAACCCAAGCAAGAAAAATTATCAATAACCACGGAGATGGGGAATCTGGCTGAACCGGATTTACATGGGAACACAGGAGGAAAGAAAATGTGCAGTGAAGTAATTAGGATTACCCACATATATACTTATATGTGTGTGTCAGAAAGCTACGGTCAGCTGGTTGGATACCTTGCATCAGTATCTCGGAAGTAGGTGGGTAATCTGTAGCGCACGAGGAGGGGTACTCCGTACGAAGTGCGCAGAGTGGGCTCGGTGGGGTATCAGGCGCAATAAATGGATAGGAAAAAGGTCTATTTGTTCGTTATTATCTTTTCCCTTTCTTGAAAGAAGTATGCAAATGGCGGTTTCTATTCGTCGTCAACGAAGGAGTTCGCGAGGCGGCCGAAAAAAGGTACTTCGTAGTGTTCGAGTGAGTCCACTGTAGCGAGAGGTGAGGGTTTGATCAGCCCTATTTTGGCAAAAGGAAATATGCAGAGTACAGCAAGGGGGTAAAACTAGAGGGATCCTTTGATTCCTTACCATCTCGATATGCGCGCATGCTTAGAAAGCCGATAAGGCCTAGGTCACAGACGAACAGGAGCCATGAGATAAAGCTTGACCAGGAGAATATAATGTGAATTATCTGAGGAAAAGGGGGTTAGGATAAGAGTCGTTCCGGATCGTATGGACATAGGATTCCTTTTTGAGGCGTATTTATGCATTTGTATAGCAATATGGAGTTGATACGTACAAATATCACAGTGAACAGCATGCTAGATTGCCAGGCGTGGAATCTAAGAAATAATCGCCCTCCCGTTAGCGATTACATCCAAGTCCTACAGACGGCTCCAGTAGATTGGCAGGGCCCTGTGCTGTTTAACATACCGCACATAGTCACTTTTATGCTCTACCAACAGCAAAAACACCCCCCCAGCTGGAGGCAGCAAAAGGTATGCGAGCATAGCCTCAAAGTCCATGCGAATGGGAAGACTGGTCTCGAAAGCGCCTAAGCTTAATCGGCCTCGTTCCACATCTCTTCCGAAACCCGTGTCTCCTACCCCAGGTGCTGCGCCAAAATGGCTGGGTGAGGGTAATCCGCCTGCCGGGGGAAATGAAGGTGATGTACGTTGGTTCTGGCTCTGGGTGGTGGGGGGGGATTTTGACCTGTTCGCATCGGCGAGAGGAGGAGAGAGCGCCCGCTCGATCTCCGGGGACTGTTCTTGGTAAGGGGCGAAATTCATGGTAAGAGGGCGTTAGAGGGGTTACCCATAAGTGCCTTTCTTTTTCTTGTTATCTGGTGAGCTTTAGATATGAGCTCTTGGAGCTTTGTCTTCAATTATTATCGGGTTGGTCAAGAGCTCTGGATGGGTTGTTTGATACGCGTAAGAATGATCATTGGATGATCATTGGGTAACTAATATTTAACAAGCGGCTTGGCGTGCCTCGGCGGAACTCTTCAACTTCTACGATGGGGTTGAATATCAACACAGATCCCGAGCACAAATGAGAGGTCATTTTAGTGAAATGATGTGTAAATTCTAGGGGTATCATTTAACTTCTAATTTAATAAGCAAAATTATCAAGGCACTCTTAAATTTTATCATGATGGACCCCGCACCCTTCCCCTGGCTCTCGCAACGCTGGATCCTGTTGTAGTCGTAGCTGTAGGCCTTCGAATGCCAGTAGTTCCCCGTGTCGTCATACCCCTTGTCATTGTCGTGCCTCTTGTCGTATTTGTACCTCGTGCCCCGCTATACGAGCTCGCTGTAGAAGGAGTTCTCCCAAGTACACGCGATCTCCCACGTGTTGTCCCCCGTGCGCCCCTCGAAGCAGCCGCAGCAGCTTTCTTTCGCTCCTCCTCTTCCGCTTTTCGAGCCACGGCCTCTCTCCGCTGCTGGAGTTCCATCTCCTTCCTCTCCGCCTCCTGCTGTCTCAAGATCAATTCGTTTTCGATGTCTGCGATATCTTGGGAGGCTCCTTGCCAGGAAGGGTTAAGGATAAGTCGCTGGTTCTGTTCGGTCTGGGACAGAATTCGTGTCCATGTATTTAAAAGCGCAGATGCAGATGTGACGGTGCGGGAAACATTCTGGATAAACAAGGTAAATAAAGTGCCCCAACAGCATGCAACGCAATGCCAATTTTTCGACTGCCATACCTCCATATTGCCTTTTGCACGCTCCAGGCTATCAATGATGCCTTCTACAACCCGATTGATATTGCGCACGCTCTCCAACTCGCTCTGTAAAGACGCCTCCCGTGCTTCCTCGCGATCATAATGTGTGCTATTACTTCGTCCATAGTTCGGGGCGGTTGCAGTTCGGGAATTGTCCGTGGGAGTTGGAAAACCAGGCTTTTTTGAAGGGGATGCCAACAACTCCGCAGTGTCTTCATCTGACAATTCCAGCTTCTCCATTTGTGCACGAGCACTGGACATCGCCATGGTGACAAGAGCAGAAGTGAGTGATCTTTTACACGGAGGACAATTAGTACCTTGGTAGTTGCCTAGGTTGGGAACAGAATGTGTGGGTGTGTCTCTCAAGTAATAATATTCTTCTAGATACCTAAAGAGCAGTCTCTGGTGGGGTGTTTAACGGCATAGACACAGCCAAGTGTTGTGTCGTAAGTCAACTAAACATAATGAATTGTGCCTTAGGCGAGCCGTTTAATTATCGTGAGTGGTTGTTGTTGTTTTGGGTAGGGGCGTCTATCGCGCTAAGCCGTTCAGCCTCCCAGTTTTTCGCGTCTACCCGAAGCAGCCACAGTCAACTTCAACCAACCTCTCAATTACACCCGACATCATCATCATCCAGCCCTCCATCTCCTCCTTCCCTCGTTGTACGGCAACAAGTATACAAAGACGACGCGCAGCACCCCTTCTGATATCACTTAACGCTATTCATAATCGTGAATTACGCCGCTGTGCCTCTTTTATTCGAGTTTGGTTGGCAATTCCTGGACAATTCCAGTCTTAACCGCCCGGAACGTTCGTTGCTCAGCCGGGAGATATATAGTCAGAAGAAGGAATAAAGCAAGGCAGATATTGCCATGGCGACAACTCCACCTCCGCGGGTTATTGGAACACCGCCAACTCCGCGACATGGCCCCAGATTCGATGCATTCGAGCCGCATTCGACCCGCCAATCTGCCCGTTTAGCAAACCGACAGGCGTCTCGAGGTTCTCCGTCGTTTTCAACGCCTTCTACCCAGTGCTCACCCAATGACACCGACTTTTCGACGGACGGAATCTCGAAGAAAATAAGCCCCATTGAACAGGATGCGTTCTCCCTGCCTCAGTCACCACTAGCTTCTCCCACGAGGAGAAGCAATCGGAAGGGGAATGGGACCCAACAGGTCACACAAGCCAATTCACTCTTTGATAACACCAGAGGGCAAACTCACCCTACTTCTCAATCTGCCTCACTCAGTTTGCCAAACATCTATGGTCAACATACGACCCTAACGGCCAATATGCTCCCGACGCCTGCAAAAACTCCCCGCAAAAAGGCGGTCCCCGATCCCAGTGTGGTTGCTCGTACCCTATTCAAGAACGACACTAAACACAACAACCATGAAATGCCTACACCTAAAAGGCAAAAGGGCAAAAAGTTTAAGGGGTTTTCTCTGGAAAGCTTTGAAGCGGAGGCGGAGATGGAAGCAAATGATAAAATTACGATCTTCACCGATTCAAGAGATAGAATTCCTGAAGTGCATGAAACCACAGACAACCCTTTCCTTTGTCGACCTAATGATGGACCCACTTCAGCAAGGGGAGTTCGGCAAGCTACGCGCGACAAGAAAATGGAGGAAGTCTTGCATCGAGACGATGGCATGCTTTACGTTTTGTAAGTTGTTTAGATATAGAGATTTGCGGTCGTTCATAATAAAGTTGCTAATATTTGTTTACAGCCGTGGAAAGAAGACATTCCGAAAATTCGATTCCGACACAGAAGAAGATGATGACGAGACTGACCAAGGGCTTTTGGCTTGTCGACCCGATCTTCTAGCAGAGGGTGGTCTCCCGCGTGTCCGCCCTCTCACCCGTTCATCCATCAAGCCACGTCTGCTTTTCCCAACTGCGCCCCAGCGAGGAACAACACCTAGCTTGAAATCTGATAACAGTCAAAAGGCTGCAGGTCCGGTGGAGAAATGTGAAGCTGATGAACACGACGAATCCAGATCTAATAGCGATCTTCCTCATGCAAGCAGTAAAGGTGTTCCCATAACACCACCATCCAAAACGACAGTGTCAACTCCCTCAACTTCTCTTACTGGTGGCCGCTCCCTCCGCTCCCATATCAAGGAAGGACAGGTCGCTCTAGGTTCAGACACACCCTCTCACACCAGTAATGGGACTGTAACTCGCGTTAGCCCTTTCGCCAGATGGACCAGAACAAAATCCCAAGTGAGAAAGAGAGTCGCAACTAAATCTAGTGACAGCGGGGAGCCTGCTATAAAGAAATCTCGCACACAGTAAAAAAGGAGATTTGTTTATGTTGTCGTTCGCTGGAATATTAGAAGCCCCCATTTTATATGCGCAAAAATTTCCCCCTGTTTGGAATTCATGCCACATTGATTGGTTGCATCCTTTATCTTCAATCAGTACACACCTTTTCCTTATTGTACCGTTTTGTTATGTCTATTGATTTATCCACATGCTCTTCTCCCAGGTTTCTGCTTCCCCCCCTTCTCCTACTGCTTTAATCTATTTTGTGACGAGATTACGACCACGGCAATAAGGCATTTACTTTATTTCTATTATCACGGCAGCACTTTCTCACCTTTGCCCCTCTCAACATCCGTTTGTTTGCTCATATGAATTTCTTTCAAGCATCCGACCGAACAACCGGCTTGGCTGAATATCTGTGCTTACTTAGGTCATGTTCCGAGTTTTTATTTTCCACAAAAATAAGTTTTCAGCGCTCGTTTTTGTCGATTTACTCTTCAATCAAGCCTAGTTCCTGATTCTAGGTTTTTTCCTTTTTGGCAAGGAGAAGGAAGAAATATATGTTTCTTCTACTTCTACAATGTCCGACTTAGTGTTTCCGTTTTCCTGTTTACAAGTACGGCGCCCCCCTTATACGTTCTCCCATTCGTCCCTCCATGCCTCCATGCCTCCCTTCATTCATTTCATTCATAGGGTTTTTTTTTTTTTTTAAAGGATGTTCTTGTCCTGGTCCCCTAGTAACATAGCTGAAAGTACCAAATTGAATTATATTACATGTATGAGAACACTGACTGCTGCCGTTCTATTCTCATTTCTGTCTATTTCAAATATGGAGTTGCTAATCTTGGTGGGAAGAGGATATATTTTCATTCATTCGTGTAAAGAGTCTTCTCATTTTTGAGAAAAGCATGCTATCTAGCAATAACAACCCCAAATCAAAAGCATACCTCATAACTCGCAAATACAGATCTTGTCTGTGAGGAAACCAGGGTAATTTCTCTCTCAAAAAAAAAAGGAAAAGAAAAAGAATTTGAAAAAAAAAAATTGAAAAAGGAAAATCATTCCGGAGGGTGAGAAGGAGAAAAAGAATACCAACTCTATCACAAGAACAATGAAATGAAAAAATGCTACGTAATATCTAAGTCATCATCATAATCGACATTGTTATTACCAACCTCCACAGGACCACCCATGCTATCCCTCCCAGCATCCCTGATGCCCTTGGCAGTAACAAACCTCGTCTTCTTATTAACAGCACACTTCTTCATCGGACCCAACTTGACATTACTGGCATTTTTCGTCGTGCTGTCCAATTCCAGCGCTATCCGTGCTGATTGTTCCGCACGCGCAGAGTATTTGTCCCCTCTTCTACCATTTACGGAAGCAGAATTGAGCCCATTACTACCGGTAACAACAACAGCAGCACCATCACGCCCAGAAGCGCTATTCGCCTGTCTATGGCGAAGATATTCAGCCCCAACGGAACTAGATTGCCCAAGCGATTTTGCAATGTTGCGTTCCCGCTCTTGGTCCGCGAGGCGCTTCTGCATGCGATCCAGCTTACTATTACCACCGCGCTGAAAGTCATTCGCAGCAGCAATGAACGGATCATCTGCATCGAGTAGGCGAGCCGCTGAGAAACTTCCTGGAACCGGAGGGGCAACGTAATACGTAGATCCTGTAGACCGGTCTGTCTGCGCGCCTTCAGACTTCAGTCCATACCGGTCCCGATCTTGAAGCGCGCGGCTCCTGCTAAACATGCCACTGCGGGAGCCCGAACGCCCACCCGGTCCAAAGAGGCCGGGTCCGCTGTTCACTTCCATCCGCTTTGCTGTTGTCTTGCGTAATTGGAGGTCGATGTGGAACTCACAGAATTCGGTTTTTCGGCCGTCGACCCACGATTCGCATACTTTTCCGTCTTTTTTTACGGATTTGCAGAATCCGAGGTCTTGGGATTTGCCGATTTCGAGAATAGTGTCGTCAGATGAGTTTAGGGTAAGGCTGAAGCGGTTGGTGTCGACTTTGTTAGGCGGAGGTGGCATTATCGACGGGTTTAGGATGGCAATGACGGTGCCTGGGACGAGTTTGTAGTATCTGGGGAATGCGGTGGAGAAGAGGAAAAGATCTATGGACCATTTTAGGTCCGTCAGGGTGAGAACCATGTACTTGGAGGTATTTTTTGAACCGTCATCGTCAGGATCTGCTTTTTTGCATGTGCCCTTTTTTACATCTTGGTGATCCTTCGGGGTTGACTTCGAGGCGATTATGCCAAATACAACGTAATCGCCATCCGTGTCTGGGGGATCAAATTGAGGCCCTTTAATAGTTTTTAGAAGGTCGGGAATTCGCATTGGACTTTTGGAATCAAGGGTTCGGGTCAGGAATGAGTGAGGCAAAATGCGACTTGAAAGGCGAAGGCCAGAAAACGGCTCAAACTTGGACGGATCAGAGGATTTAGTAGGGTTCATATCTTGCTCGTCTTTCCCGGTACTGTCATTGTTCTTCAGTGATGATTGTGCAGCACCCCCGTCTGCCTGGCTTGGAAATTCCAGAGTTTGGTTAGTAGCTCCATGTACAGTGGTTGGTACTCTAGCAGAGGGACTTGCGTGAATGCTCGGTATGTTTTTGGTTTTCAGTAGTGCGGATCCTGGCCGATGAAAAGATTGAATGACATCGGCTCTAGTAAACTCCTCAACGTGGTATCCTCTTCTTGGAGACTCAAAGCCGGATGCCTTGCCTGATTCCTCCTTTGCCGCAAGCTGAAATCGCTCCATCTCCTCCTTGTTCACCGCAAACGCAGAAGTTCTTTTACGGTGCAGAAGTTGTGCCCTCTCTGTCCTGCTTTTATCAATTGATCTGCTTTCAGCAATCCTTTCACTAAAGCTCTTGGGTCTTTGTACTGCTTCATCAAATGCAATGCCTGTGCTTCGACCGGCTGAAGAGTGTCCCCTTCGCAATAATACATCATCCCTGTATCCTCCCGCAGAGCGTATTGGTCTTCCCGCTGGCCTAGAAGTTGGGGGGCGCCTTAAAGATATCTCGTTTCCTTTCTTCCCCTTGTCGATTCCAAGTACAATGCGTCGCGGTGAGACTGGTTCAGTAGTGGGTACCACTCTTTTTGTGGGCGACACTGGTACCTGTACGTTCTCCTGTTGCGATATGTCTGCTGCTTTCCGTTTGCGCTCCATAAGGAACCGGCTGGATGGCCGTGAGGCAGCAGTAGCAGGTATACCGCCGTTGGATCTCGCCTCAAAATCTGATGGTGTTGGTTTGGACTTGCTCTGCTGTAATTTCTTCAGTTTCAATCGTGCCTCAATCGCGGCCAGTTTCAATTGCAGTGTTTCCTCATCATCATCTTCCTCGATATCATTTCCCAACCCATCTTCCAACAGTTGATGGTTGGCTTTCGTTCGCGCGTACGGTGTGGTATCGATGTTTTTCGCTGCGGACTTGGCGGCGTGTCTACGGTTTTGTATCTCTTGAATTTTCTTCCGGCCATTTGGGGAACTCATGAGAGCCTCGTAGGGAGATCTGGGAGGCCAATGTAGATCCGCCACTTTTTCAAATCCGTTATTAAATAATGGGCTGAGATTGAAGTAAGGGTTATGAACATACTATCGTCAACCAAGCACCTGAGGTGACAGAAATCTGGATAATTTAGAAGCTAAGATTTGTATTGTTGCCCCTTTCTTGCTCAGCCCATAGCTCGTTCGTATCAAACAAATCGATGCCACAGATTCATCCAGGAGTTCACCAGCGACATTAAACCGTTTAGTTGACGGCAAGTAGGAGGAGTAGGATAAATCAGTTCACATATCTGACTCTACGGCCATAGACGGTTGTCAGCTAACCAAAGACAGTGTTATCTTAGTAGTGTTGCAGTGTTATGGTTGTTGCAGTGTTTGTATTTTTTGTTTTCACTTCATATCATTATTATTCTCTCTTTTTTTTTCGTCCCGGAAAATTAACCCATTTCCGCGTCTATTTCGCGTTTAGCACGACGCGTCAAGGGGGGGGGGTAGCGAAAGTTTTCATTCCATCACCAAACTTTCTGTGCTCAACTCCAATAACCTTCAACAACCCACAGTCGACTCCGTATTAAGCACATCATGCATATGTCTTGACTCTACAACTGTATCACCCGTTTTAAGTAATTATGAGGACAAGATCTGCGCCTGCGAGGAACTTTTCAAATGATGAAGTCGACCAAAGCACACCTGCTTCCGTTCCTTCGAAATCTACTAAAACGCTCATCCTCCCCTCCAATGCAAGTGACGATGCTCGATTCATCTCCCTGGTAAACCCACGAACCGGTACCCTAAGTCGATACTTCTTTTGTCCCAAATTGGGTCTCTACGAGTTTACGGCGATATCCTCCTCCGCTTCCAATCCAAGGAGCACTCTCTTCACCAGGATGACAACAATAACAACAAAAGCCAATGCGAGTCCAATAGCAGATGAACACGATGGTGAAGCACAAAACAGGACGGTATCTAGTGGCTCCAGCGTAGAAGCAAATGAGGTCATTCGTCAAGTGGTCCAGGACTGGGCACCAACCAAAGCGACGGTTGCAAAACACGCCCAATTGCTCGTCACAACGCCCGTTGACCTTTTGTTTTTTCTTCTGCCGATATTAGCACCTGCAAGTGGTTATTCAACAGCCCAAAAATTGTTCCAACCGCTTGACGATATGCTCGATTCTCAAGATACCGTTTCAAAGCCCTTAAGACGAATTCTACTTGGCTCGCTCAGATCAAAAGCAGTGGCGAGAATGGCAGCTGTATGCGACACTGTTGAGGCTGGGGAGACAATGTATAGGCTCAATGAGGAAAAATTGGTTCGAGAATTGGTATCCAAGGCGGAGAGGATGGCGGCAAATGGGCTGCCACCAAGCCTGGAAGAGCATTTTATACATAGGGCATTGGAACTTCCAATTCTCAGCGTGAAAAGGGAAGACATTCTAACGTCAACTTCAGACGTGTCCGATGTGGCTAGTGGGGCGAATAATTCGTTTGAGAAAGTCGACTCGCAGACCGCGGATTCCACAACACCAATTACAACGTCATTTGCTACTTCTTTTACGTCATCTGATGTCTCTACTCCAGACACCGTCATTACACCGCCTACGAACGAATCGCTATCACCCAATTGTGACATCCACCAATTACTCCGTGTCCACACAGCAATATCATTCCTGCAATCATCCTATCTCCCCAAACATCTCTCATCCCGGGTCGAAAACATCCTCTCATCATCCGAAAAAAGCCCCAAGGATTTCTCCCCCCTCACCCGACATCTGAAACACATTGCTGAACTGCGCGAGAAAGTGCTAGCGTCTCGCTCAGCGAGTGACTTCTCCCGCAAACGGGGCGTGGAAGATGACGAAGGGGCAGAAATCAGGGCGGAGAAGAAACGCAAGAAGGAGGAGGAAGAGAAGAAGAAGTTGGGTGAGTCGAGAGGGGTGAGAGATTTGAAAAAGGTAAATGTTAAGGGGATGAAAAAATTAAGTGCCTTTTTTGGGAAGAAGATATAGCGTAGCGTTACCATATTGATAGAGTGTGATGCGGGATCAGGGATTGCCTGAAAATCGTCACTGACAGCTATTTTAATCCACATACACTGTGGTGAAAGAAAAAAAGAAAGAAAGAAAAAGAAAAAGAAAGAAGTTGGGAGGGAGGATAGTAGGGCTAGCTCGAGGGGCTAGCTTGATGATTCGGGTATACCCGTCCACCACTCCCGTGTCCCGCTTTACCCTTGAAAGCAACCTCCGGACCAACTCAAACCAAGGCAATAGTTCCTGCATGTCAATTTTGCCGTTCATCTGCAGGAACACTGCCACGTGGTTCGTGGAACATCGTTACCCGGTCGTTCCGGCTCTCCGGGTTCAAACGAGCGAATTATCCCAATCAAAGGGGACTGCTGCAAACACTATTGGGTTGATGGAGTGTCCAATCAACGAGGAACTACTGTTCCAGAAAATGTGTTCACCCTTGGTGTAACCAACGACAGATCCGCCCTCGTAAGTAAATGCGTGAAGGTTGGGGGCTTGCTTGACGGGTGTTTACTCACGCAGACGACCTGGCAGCTAGTGCACAACAAGGCCATGATATGATGGAAGTCTTCATATTAATTATCCAGGTTAATGGCGGCTATCTACCTGGGTAGTTACACATGCCTGAATGCCATTCATCATATGTATGTACCATTACAAACCTGTTAGCATTCCTTCAGGCCATGAGCCATTTATGCATTATTTACAAGGAAGGAATTGTTTCTAAAACTCCCGCTTAGATCTGTACATATCTTTGTTACCAAATATCGCTCGACAATATAAAACAGCATACGTAAAAAGTGTCATGAACACCATCAGGTGTCCAAAATATTCCCGCTTTGTCCTAGGAAACCTGGTGTGAAAGGCATACCTGAATGAAAAGAAGGTATTCACAAGCTTATGCGGCTTCCAGAATCGCAGCTCCAGAGATCCTAGTCATCCAATCCCCCAAAGAGGAAAGGGTACTATTAGCAAAAAGCCGTCCCAATCCTGCTGCAGACAAAACCAATCCAAGCGAACAAAAGACGAAGCACTTACACAAAAGAGCCATTCGATGGCTTGCTAACAACCATAGCCTGCTCCAACATCTCCGGACTAAGATCCGGAAACCTCTGAGAATAATACTCTCTCTTCAACGCTTCCATCACATCCGCAACTTTGTCCTGCAGAACCATATGGACAGTGCATCCACCCCAACCGGCCCCCGTAATTCGACTCCCTAACGCGCCAGCCCGCAGAGCAATCTTGCAAATCTCATCCACCTCGGGACAAGTACAGTCGTACAGCTCTTGGCAAGAAGCCATGGACGCATTAAGTAATTGGCCCAGGTATTGGACATTGTGATTGTCCAGATGGCCCTGGTGTTGAGACCGGGCAAGACAGGCCTTGAAGTCCAGGACGCGTCTTGCTTCCTTGAAGCAATGCAGGGCACGTTGGCGGAGAAAGAAGCGCTCCGCTTGCACAGGGAAGGTGGAGAGGAATTGCTTCTCGAGTTCTGGGACGGATATTTCTAGCAGTGCAGCAATGTCTTCGCGCGTATAGCCTTCTTCCCTGGTCAGGTAATCTGCGGCAGCCATGATGATGGAGTCGAGTTGGTATTCCTGAGGGTCTTGGAGACGGCCTTCTTTGCGCATTAGTTCTTCATGAAAGTTGCGCAGGCTGTAGCCTAGCGAGCTGGAGTCCTTGGGGAGCGTGAGGTTGTGCATCTTGGCGAGGACGATGGTGGCTAAGGTGCATTCTGCGACTCGCAGGTTGTAGTGACGTGGAGCGGTTTCGGCTTTGTTGGATGTGATGAAGCTTTGGGCAACCAGGAAGGTTAATTCTGGGTCTGATTTCGGGATGGGGACGTGTTGGATGTGAAAGGTTGGGAAGAAACGGACGTAGAGGAGGTATCCGCGGCGGGAGAAAATGGACGCTGCTTGGTCCATTCTGGGAAGGGTTTGGTCAGACATAATACATGCGTTTTATTGGGTGAGGGATAGCGTACCCTCCAGAGTATACTCCAACAGCACGCTCGGAAACGATAGCTATATCCTGAAGCTCCTGCTTCGAAATATCATAGCCATTGGCCTTTACTCCGGCCAGCGCACTGGAGCAGACGAATGCCGCGCTGCTGGATATTCCTCCTCCGGGGGGAACATTGCCATCCACCAGCACCTCAAAACTAACAGGAGCAAAGTCCCCAGACTTATTCTTTTCCCGCAGGCATTTCAATGCCACCCGCAGGCCTGCCTTAAAGTAATTAACCCACTCATGCTTCTTGGGATCAATTTCTATATCGCTATCTTTAGGAATAGTAAACTGGCTAGCGGGAAACTTGGCATCAGTGATATTAGCCACTTTAGCCCACGATTCTTGATTCTTTTCTGCAGGATGAATCTTGATGCCAATCAAAACATCGACGCTGACAGCAGTTGGAAGGACATCGTATAGTGAATAGTCGATATGTTCACCAATTATATTGATTCTGCCAGGGCTCCGGGCGACAAAATCCGGAGCCGCACCATACAGCTTTTTGAATTGGGCAATGAAATTGTTCCAGCGGAGTTTCTGGTCGGAGGAAACGCTAACTCCACTCCCAGGATCGTTTGAGTAGACGTCTGTTATGGATTGGGTTTGCGGGACAAACTCCTCGTTTGGAGCTTCCATGGTTATGATGATGGAATGGCGGTATATCGCGGGGCCAATCCGGGGGAGTGGGGGGTCAGCTCACACAAAACTAACACCCAGCAACAAAGGCCACTGGTTCTGCAACTGGTTTACTATTATTACAATAGGAGTGGAGGTTGAGAGGTAAATAAATAGGAGATTAGTTAGATCTTCTCCTAGATCACCCGTTCCTATATTATCAAGCTTGCTTGCGTGGTTAAAAAGAGTGTGAATGGATTTTCGATCTGCGCGGGGTTGGGTCTAAGCGCCAACAAAATGGGCTCTACTGCACGTGATCCCACGGACGTTCTGCAACCGTTTCATACAGGAATCCCATGGACCTGATCCATGGAACCGACTTAGCAATGCTGGATTTTGGGAGCGGGAGCTTCAGCCTTGGATTGGAACAAAGATTAACTAGTCAATAGTAACTAACTAGTTAATTAACTAGTTTTGGCTGCGGAAACAATTCTGCAATTTAAAACAAAAACTATCATAAAAACAGGAAATATTCCCGAAAGTATTTTCTCCGCAAATGAGACTCCACATATGATATACGGTGTTAAAAAAGCAAACAGTAACGAACAAGCAAGTCGGTGGAAAAGATGGCAGAAATGATGAAAGTGGAGAGAGCAAACGAAACAAAACACAAAAAAAAAATAAAAATAAAAAATAAGCGACAGTTGATGGAACTGCATTACACGCCATGCAAAAGACAACAGAACTCCCAAGCGGATTCAGGAAGTGAGTAAATAAAAGAGCGGTGGGGGGGAAAAATAAAAATAAAAATAAAAATAAAAGCGATTGAATATAAACATAGGAAAATCTCGGAGGTGTGACAGGAAATTGCGAATCCGCTATATATGATCGGACACACTGGGCAGAAACTGCGAATAGGAATATACTGCATTAATGAGCGTGGTTGTTTATCTCGGAGTGAGGCTGTTCAAGACATTGGCTTCTGGGCATATATACGATGGCTGCAGCACAGATTAGCTTGTGAACCCAGTTAACCCTGCGCCGTAGGAATAAAGCCTTGTCCCTTACAGAATGGTATATATATGGTAATCCATATTCTTAAGATCGTTCCTTGCCCCAGCGAGCAGGGCTTGTATCATGATGTTGTCCCAGTTCAACATCTTCGTAAACAGAGCAAGGGCATAGGGCTCCAGAGACTCTGACATGGCCATCTGCATATAGTTACCGAGCCTCCTCTGTTTCTTATCCGTTGGCCAAGGTGATAATGGTATCTTTCGATTGTCCTCCCCAATATTCACGAAACCTGCAGTCTCCACAAATCCCCGGAAGTCCCTTGCCACGTTTACCGGCTTGCCGAACAATTCCGACGCTTCTCCCAAGAGGGTCTGAAACTGATTATAAGCTGACGATTCAGGAAGGCTGTTATCATCAGTTGAAGCCCACGCATCAAATTCGACCAATTCGATCCAACCTCCTGGTGCCAGGTTGTCATATGCTTGCTGCAGTAACCGTGGCCAATCCTTTATCGATCCGCCCATACCCCGGATATGAATGAACTCAAACAGATGGTTATACTGCCAGTCCTCCTCAGCGTCGTCAACCTCGAACTGCAGGTTCTCAGGGATGTAGCCCGGTTGTATGGCAGAAAGATCTGTACCGATGACTTTGGCTGTGGGGTGGGCATCCGCAAAATCTATAGCCCACTATTCCCGGGGTTGTCAACAAGTTAGTATGCCGTAGCTAACTACAAGTTACAGACGCCGGAACTGCTCACAATCCCTGTGCCACATCCAACATCTAGGGTGCGCCCAATGTTCTTTGGAATGGGGGCACTATAGAGCTTTTCGTCGTAGCTGAGGAGAAACAAATGGTGCATCAGATCCAAACGTTCCTGTTCCTCCTCGTCGTTCGGCATGAAGTATTCCCCAGCATGGTAGGCATGGTATCTGCGATGTCCGAAATATCTACAGATATTGCGACAATCGGGTGTTAGCTCCTCAGATCGAGACGGATACCCACACGTCAAGAAATAATACCGAGACATGAAAGTAGAGGGAAATATAACAATACTAACTCGTGATTTCGAATCGTCGAGGTGAGGGAATATGTTTCCTCTTCGTCCATGAGAGCGATATAGACTGGCGAAGGATTCGATAATGGTTCGATCAAGAAGGGATATCAACGAGTATTAATATAAATCATGGGTTTCAGACAGTGGTGAACAAGCGGTCTCGTTGTGCTTCCCGGTGGTTTGGTTGATACCAAGGATGAGGTTTCCCCATGCTCCTCGCAGGAGACGGGGCGAACGATGAAACTGGCTAGCGGCAGCTAAGGCACAAGAGAAAGATAAAAGAATGCCACGCACTTCTCGACCGGTTAGCTGGAGCCTCTGTTGGTTGATCAGAGCCGTGCCACCCTATGAAGAGGCAAGAAATTGGTGGTGAGAGGACCTCTTGTGGGGTTGGGGGGGTCTGGGCACCGACTGGGCAGATATGGCGATTCACGTGACAGAATATTGGGCCTCCGATTATTTCTCCAAGCTTGAACCTTTTGTGGGCCGTTCGGAGCTTGTGGAGAAGCGGTCTGGTGATGGAGGGAATCTTTTTTAGGAGGGGTTTGGGAGTCGGAGTCTGGGACCCCAACAGGGAATAATGATGGGAATCGAAAACCCCAAACCCTTTCTAGCCTCAAGAGGTGGTCGGAGCGCTGACACCCAAGAGAAAGCCAACCTAAAACTTAAGAATACTTAATATCATTGTTCTTCAGCATCCTGTCAAACATCATGTCGAATCAGAGCAGGGTTTGAGATAGAGACAAAAGCCCTTTCCCGGCGTGATGGAAAGTAATAGCCGTGGCAATTGCCCGACCCCAGACCATAACACCTTGCATTAAGAACGAACGGAAAACCTCAGGCTGTCCCACTGTGGTGGCTACAAGTTCCAATCCTGAAGGACCAAGCCATCCTAGTCCTGAAGCTATGATTGCGAATGCTGGTCCAAGGGCTGGCAGGCGGGAGCACAAATCGGTAGCAATGCAATTCACATCCGCTGCTCCAACGCCCCTTGCCAAATCATCCACTTCAAAAACTCACCCAACCTCCGAAATATGATCATCTGCTTAAACTTCCTAATCCTGAAATAACGCTGCGTTTAAGTTCCCGCTTGGTGCCAGCAGTCACCTACGAACGCAACCAGGCTTGAGAGACACAGATTCATTGGTTTCTGCAAGACCCATAAGTCAGGAAAAGGCGCTCTCAATGGGACCATGGCACAGGAAGCTTCTGGGGGTTGGTCCTTGCACAATATGATTTTTCTTCATCATACCGTTCCATGGGCTATGGCCTGTGACCTTGCAACAACTTCAGTGAATCGCTCACGATGTCCGTGCCAGTTTGGACGATCTTAAATGCTACTGCAACCTACACCCTATTAAGTGCGGCGTATTCTTTATCAAAGATAGACGCTGCAGAGATTTCATGCGCCGTTTGTGTGTTTGTGTGTGGGGGGGGGGGGGGGGGGGGGGGAGGTGGTGGAGCGTGGACAAATACAATACGCCCCACGCACTCCGATGTCCTGTGTGGAACCTGCGGTTTGCCATTCTGCGTGCTGCGGCAATGCTGCCGAACGTGCTGACGGTACGCTCACATCCTCGGTTAGAATCTAAGACCCATGGGTCCCATGGATTTCGTATTGACAGATGCTGCGGAGGGGCTAAACTGGTTCTGAAAGTTGATTTCAGCCATTCAAAAGGCGCTGCTGGGTCAAAACCGAGTCAAAATCTTAGTCTATGTATGCTAGTTCCGCTCGATGTTCATAGTCGAACACTATCAGTCGCGCACTAACCCCGCAGGAGACAGGAGGAGACCACCGGGGAATTCCGAGAAACCACACGGTCCTTTTCTTCACCTCAGAAAACCCAGCTTGCTGGGTCAGCAAATATTGGGAGAAAGCGTGAGATAAAAGTAAATCATAATCGTGGGCAGCACTTCCCGAACATTTGGATACAGAGTTTGGGCGAGGCCTTTTTAGGGATCCCTCGCAAAGTTCGTCGGGGCCCCTGCGCTCCACATGCAGCTTCAATGCAGCCTGTGGGCACAAGAAGCTCCGGTCTACCAGATTACCACCAGAGTAGCCGTGACGAGGATTTTGCTAGCGCTGACACTATCTAGGTACTTTATGAAGAAATTCTTTGCTGCCTCGCTGCTTAATAGCACTGCTAAAAATAAATAAATAAAAATATAAATATAAAGAGAGAAAGAAAGGAAGAAAGAAAGAGAAGAAAGAAAGAGAAAAGAAAAAATAATAAAATATAAAAATAAAAAGAAAAAGAAAAAGAAAAGATACCCGCAATCCAAGTTCTCAGGAAGTCGTGGGGTGGAACAAAGAGGAAACAAAATGCACATAATCAATCCATATCATTAGCGTATGTATATCCCACGACATGAGGCTTCAAATTCTCACATCCATCAAAATAACATATTAACTGCTATTATGTGGTCTTGAAACTGACACTGCTATGGCAGGACGAAGAAATGAGATATCCATGGACATCATACATGTGCATGGGTTAGATACCACCGTTTTTCGACGGGTCGTTAACTAATAACTAAAAAATGTTACCATCAGTGGTAATTATTAGTTGGCTACTGCTTTCTAGAGGCAAACGGGGACGAATATCGTCAACGTCCCACGTACATTTCCCATTCCCAACAGCTATTGTTGTGCTCCGTCTTTCTATATTGTGTTTGTTTTTCTCCACACATGATGTGAGATGCATCCATGGATCTGTCTTCGATTCTGATACGCAGATATTTTAAAACTCTGTGTTACAATTGCCCAGTCAGGGACTGGGATGCAGGTCCTGCGGCGTTACTCTCGGCCCGAAAAGTTAGTCCATCCCTGGGATGCGAGTATAGAACGTTTGGAGATCCGCGACCGAACTCTATTCTTACAATTTCCTAAACTCCCCGCTTTAGCCCGCCAGCATAGAAGAAGCTAGTTGGAGCAAGAAAGTGACGAATTGATTCCAGAGCATCTTGCTAACATGACGTGGCTCCAGCATTAACACCTGTATGAAGCACCTTCCGATACCCACTGCAAGACTAAGGGGTTCTATCATCATCTGAGGAACAAATACCCTCGTTTGGTGCGCTTGTGGAACTCCTGGTCTCTCCATAAATAGCCCCGCACCCGTTTAAGTTACCACTGCCTTAGTCCGCCGGGATTGCTCCTAACTTGCTGCTAGGGAGCAATACGTGGCCTGAACTGATTGATTTTGAGGCTGAAGTTGAGGATTCGGATGGAGGTGGTGCGGTCTAGTGGGAGGAAGGGGGAGGGGTAGCGTGCAGAGATAAATTGATTCAGAAAGATGTGGGACTTGCTTATTGCAAGTATATAGGCTGCGTGATATCACCGGACGACGAATATCCATGATGTTCTTGAAACCACCTGCGGAAAGGGGGATAAGCTTTTCCACCACCAAGTGGACAGAGGATCCGATTATATACATCAAATGCACATGCATCAGAAGTTGGATCACCGTCAAGCCTTACCCGCTTTCTATTTTTAGAGTTTAGCTTCGTCATGCGTGATTCCGATATAATCCCGCTAGCCATCATCGGATTTTCAGCACGCTATGCGCAGGAGGCAAGCACTTCGGAAAAGTTCTGGGAATTTTTGCTCAGGGGACGTCAATCGACAACTCCAATCCCAAAGGATCGTTTCAACGCAGCTGCATATTATCACCCTGACTATGATCATGGCGGAACGGTTCGTTTTATACATCAAAAGCGTCGGCATCTACAGGGAAGGAATTATGCTAAGGTTCCCTGCAGTTTCATGTCAAGGGCGGGCACTTCTTGTCGGATGACCCCCTGGGCTTCGACGCGGGCTTTTTCCGTATCAGCCAGACTGAAGTTCTCACCATGGACCCTCAACAACGCCTTGTGATGGAAAATGTGTACCATGCCCTTGAGAATGGTAAGAATTTGACCTTTTTAAGGGATATATTTCAAAAGTTCTGACTTACTTTCAACTCAATAGCTGGGATTCCTATGGAGAAAGCAGTGTCCTCTAGAACTTCGGTGTTTGCTGCTGGTTTCAACCATGATCACAGGAATCTCCTGAATGCAGACGTTGAAACCTCAATGAAGCACAAGTCAACTGGTTCTGAGCAGTCTATCATTTCAAACAGAGTCAGCTGGTTTTATGACTTTCACGGTCCCAGTATGACAATTGACACCGCATGCTCCAGTGGACTTGTTTCCCTCCACCTAGCTGCTCAGAGTTTGAAGTATGGTGACAGCGAGATGGTGCATATTCCGTTTTATTAATTGGTTTATCCGTCTTCACCGTGCTGTGCTAATAATATCCTCTAGGCTGTTGTGACTGGTGGGAGCGTCATTACCCATGTTGGTGACATTATCTCATTTAGCCATGCTGGCGTGCTTTGCCCCTCAGGGAAATGTTACACCTTCGATCACAGAGCCGAAGGGTATGCCCGTGGAGAGGGGGTGGGTACCGTTATTATCAAGACCTTGTCGGACGCTCTGAGAGATGGAAATACAATCCGTGCTGTGATACGTGGAACCCTTGCGAATCAAGATGGCCGTACGCCAGGCATTTCGCTTCCAAGCGCTCAGGCACAGGAATCCCTTATTCGCCAATTATACAGCAATTCGAAACTTGATCCAAAAGACACAATGTTTGTTGAAGCACACGGGACCGGCACGCCAGTAGGGGATCCCATAGAGGCCAGAGCTATTTCCAGCGCCTTCGATACAGACCAGCGTCAGGAGCCGCTGTACATTGGAACGTTGAAAGCAAATATAGGTCACCTTGAAGGCGGCGCCGGAATAGCCGGGATCATCAAGTCAATTCTGATTCTGGAAGCCGGAATTATACCTCCAAATGTGAATTTTGAAAAGGTAAACCCAAATATTCCAAAGGATGAGTGGAATATCGAGTTTCCTACAGAATGTCTCCCTTGGCACAAACCAGGAGCTCGTCGGATATCAGTTAACTCATTTGGTTTTGGTGGAACTAACGCACATTGCATTTTGGATGATGCGTACCACTTCCTTAAGGAACAAGGTCTCACTGGCACCCACCGTACTCGCATATCGGTGCCAACTGTTTTTGAAATCAACAAGCTGGTTACTTCCCTCAAGAAAATTTACAAAGACAAACCTGGTCTTGTCAATGGAGTCGCGAAATTAACCAATGGAAGGGCCGTTAACGGAACGAACGGGGAGATTGTGAATGGAATCAACGAGGTGATTGCAAATGGAACTAGCAAACATATTGTCAATGGCACGAATGGGAAGACTGTGAACGGCTCTCATGATATATCCAAAGCTTCGGCCAAAGACGAGACACCAATTCCTCGCCTATTCATCTTATCCGCATTTGACAAGGAAGGCGTGAAGAGGACGGGCTCAGACTTAACGGATTATCTTCACAAAAGACAGTCCTTGCCCTTGGATGACGCAAAGGATTTCCTAAGTGACCTAGCTTACACTGTTTCTCAAAGGAGATCAGATTTTCGATGGAAAGGCTACGTGATAGCGGGCTCAATCCGCGAGCTGGAAGAGAATCTATCCGCTATTAACGCTCGATCCAAACCCACAAATAAAGATCGTCCGCCCAGAATTGGCTTTGTCTTTACTGGCCAAGGTGCTCAGTATCACGGGATGGGAAAACAATTCATGATATACCCCGTTTTTCGAAGGAGCTTGGAGGACGCGACAGCATACATGAAGACGCTTGGAAGCCCATGGTCTCTAATTGGTATGTATTATCGGCTGTTCAGGAGCGGAGTATTATGGGTTTCTTTTTCTTTTTCTTTTCTTTTTCTTTTTTTTCTTTTTTTTCTTTTTTTTTCTTTTTTTCTTTTTTTCTTTTTTCTTTTTTCTTTTTTTTGCTAATTATGATCCAGACGAGATTATTCGTGACAGCGACAGTTCAAATATTCATACCCCGGCCATTGCCCATCCTGCCTCTACTGCTATCCAAGTTGCTCTTGTAGACCTTCTAGCTTCTTGGAATATTTATCCTTCTCGCGTAGTTGGACATTCCTCAGGTGAAATTGCCGCAGCGTATTGTGCCGGTAGGATATCCAGTGAATCCGCATGGAGGGCTGCTTATTATCGTGGGTTCGTCTCTGCAAAGCAACAAAGTGTCCCTGGTTCTATGATCGCGGTTGGTCTGAATCAGGAAACGCTTCGGTCGTATATGGACAAAGTGCATGCCAGTAACAGAGGGGAATTAGTTATTGCATGTTTCAATAGCCCGAGAAACAATACCGTCTCCGGTGACGAGGTGATGGTCGATGCTCTGAAGGAATTGCTCGACGCTGAAGATATTTTCGCACGCAAGCTCAAAGTCCAAAACGCCTATCATTCATCTCACATGAGAGAACTTGCCGAAGAATACTTGCAGTTGATGAGTTCGCCCGCAGCAGGACAGCTTTTCAATTCAGAACATGATATTCAGATGTTTTCGACAGTTACCGGGAAACGAAACAACGACCCCGTCCTTGATGCTTCATATTGGGCGGAGAATATGGTGTCCCCTGTCCGCTTTACTGATGGTTTGCGTTCTATGCTCTTCAAACCAAACGAAAGCGACCTCGAGTCTGGCAAATTCGACAGCGCATGGATAGATGAGATCATTGAAGTGGGCCCTCACTCAGCACTGCAAAGTGCTATTAAGCAGGCGATTGCAGCCAATGCCCCTGCACCTCCGGTTTCATATACCTCCCTCCTAAATCGCCAAGACCCCACCACCCGCACCATGTTGGAAACTGTTGGAAACCTAAGCTGTAAGGCGGCTCCCATCAACATATATGAAGTCAACCACGGTTTCGAACGAAAAGAGGGGCAAGTGCGGAAGCCGGAGTTACTTGTCAGTCTCCCACCATACTCCTTCAACCATGACGAGAAAGGCTACTACGAGAGCAGGCTGAGCAAAGGAATCCGTTTCCGCGAATTTCCACGACATCAACTTTTTGGTGCGCCTGTACAGGACTGGAATCGCCAAAACCGTAAATGGCGACATTTCTTAAGAACTTATGAGAACCCTTGGCTGAAGGAGCACGCGGTAGGTGACATACTGAGCGCATAACAGTGAATTTAGGAGTGCTAATTTCCCCTTTCCAGGTTACTGGACGTTATGTTCTTCCCGCAGCTGCATATCTGACGATGGTGACTGAGGCTGTAAGGCAAGTTACTGGTGATGCAATCAAATTAACCGGAATAAGGATGAAGAATGTGTCCATAAAATCGGCCCTTGTGGTTCCTGATACGAAAGAGGGTGTCGAGGTGTCCTTATCCATTCACCCCGTGAACGAATCCAACCACTGGGAATCTACCGTGTGGAAATGGTTCCAGATATCTTCGTACATCTCAGCTCATGATGATTGGATTGAGCATTGCTCGGGCTACTTTTCTGTGGAATATCAAGCTCCTCCGGATCCAATCGATAATGGTCGCGAAGCTGAAGCAGCTATCCAGTCCTGGAAAAACGAATTAGAGCAAGGTGCAAGGAGTTGCCAAAAGCCGCTGGATATTAGAAAACTCTTTGACAATTTTGAGACCGTCGGACTCAAATATGGCCCTCTTTTCAAAAACTTGTCGGAAATTACAGTTAACGATCAGCAAAGGGGCGTCATCATGGGCACATTTGCAACCCCGGAATTGGCGTCTTCAATGCCAAAGAATTACATGGATGCTCATGTCATCCATCCTGTCACGTTGGACAGCATGTTTGTCGCTGGACTCGTAGCAATCTGTGACCACGGAGGACAGGCTATCTTGAAGAGGCTGATGGTACCGACTTTTATCAAGGAGTCATGGATTTCCACAGATAACGATTCCCAGGCAGGAACCTGTTTTCGCTATTACGGGCAAGTCTCACCAGAAGCGTACGATTACTATAGTTTCGACCTCAAATGTTCCGATGAATCTAACGATCAACCGCGAGTATCTCTGACGGGAGTTCGATTCATGCCTCTTTCAGATGAGGATGCTTCCCTGAGCGGCACACAGCAACATGGTTACTCGATGGACTGGACCCTTGATATCGACATGCTGGAGACACCAGAATTCCGCGATTCAGTATCTGTTGAACCATCAACGTCCTACGAGGAGCAACAAAATTTGTTCGAAAAGTTGCAGCTCGCGTCAGCGCTTCTTATAACTGATGCACTCAATGAGCTCAAGGATACCCCCGTCCAGCCTCCTGAGGGCCATTTCCAGAAGTATTACGAATGGATGCACCGGATTGCCAACGATGTCACCGCAAACTCAGTTGCCCACGCCCCGCATGACTTATGGAAGAAATATGCTGAGGATCCAAGTCTCAAAGAGGAGCTCTACACCGAAGTCACAAAGCTTAATCTGGATGGACAACTTATGATTCGCCTCGGCAGACAAATCCCAGCTATCATGCGGGGTGAAGTTGACCCGCTGTATCTGATGTTTGGTCAAGACGATATAATGACGTCGTATTATGAGGAGGTTTTGCATGAGGGCGACGCTACAGAGAATTTGGATGCATATTTGTCTCTCTTGGGTGAAAACTACAGCGACCTTGAAATCCTTGAAGTAGGAGCTGGAACCGGAAGCTTTGCCAGGCTTCTTTTGGGTATTCTCGCACCCCGATCCGAAAACGAGAATTCTGATAGCACAAATACTGTTGCACAGTACACTTTTACGGATATTTCTCCTAGCTTTTTTTCTAAGGCAAAGGAGAATTTAGGCGAATGGACGGACCTTCTGACATTTGAGAAGTTAGATATCGAACGCGACCCAACAACCCAAGGTTTCACTGCCAAAAAGTACGACCTAATCATTGCGCATAATGTCCTTCACGCCACGCCTGATTTAGGTAAATCTCTCGAAAATTCACGCCGTTTGTTGAAACCCGGTGGCAAGATCTTGGTTCACGAAGTGGTCAGACCCGATATTGTGTGGCCTTCACTTATCTTTGGTCTTCTGTCTGGGTGGTGGCTGTCGAATGAGCCTAATCGCAAGTGGTGCCCTCTTATCACCCTGCCGGAATGGAAGAATCTTCTTCGTGAGAAGGGTTTCTCAGGGGTTGATATCGAGATACCCAATTCACGATATCCCGAGTTTACAAAGCTCAGCTCAATGATCTCCACTGCTCTCCCAGACCCATCTGATAACATTTACCCAGGAAACAATCTTGTGATTCTTGCCCCCGCGTCCAGGGTTGATCACGAGTTTAATTCCAAATTGAAAGCTGAGCTCATGCGAAGTGCTGATGTTACCAACTGCACTGTCCTGCAACTGCACGAGTTTGCTGGTAAGAATATGACAGGCTCAATTTGCATATCTCTTTTGGAACTCGAGAGCCCGGTCCTGCTTGACATCTCCGAAGATGATTTCCGGAATCTACAACAGTTCTTTTCAACCTGCAAAAGGCTGCTGTGGATAACAGGAGATCCAATAACCCGGCCGGCCTTCAATATGAGTACCGGCATGATCCGCACACTCCGGTGGGAGCGCGATGCAGAAAGCCCAAATTTTGTTACCCTCGCTCTCTGTAGCTTCAGCTCATCCCCAGCTAAATCAGTCCTGAATTCCATTTCAAAGATATTCCGTTATCAGTTCACCAGTGGCCAGACCAAGCACCAAAATGCTGAATACCTTCTGCGGAATAACTTGATCCATATTAATCACGTCCTCCACCATCCTAAAGCAACTGGTTTCTTGCGGTCGAAATTCTCGGCGCTCAGTCCTGAGATGGTTCTATTTAAGGACATTGGACGCCCAGTCAAACTCCAGAACAGTTCACGAGGAGTTCTCAATAAGCTGCAATGGGTAACTGACACTACTTCGACACTGCCACTCGGAGACTTTGATGTTGAGATTGATATTCGCGCTGTGGGACTCAACTTCGTGGATCTTTTAAGCATAATGGGAGAAGGGGTAGGTGATGTTGCTGGAAGAGAAGCGGCCGGAGTTATCTCCAGGGTTGGGCCAGGTGTTAAGTATTTGCGGGCCGGCGATCGTGTCGCCTATCTCACAGACTCGCCAAAAGAGGGCACTTTCAGAACCCATGGAAGGGTCAACGAATCGCTAGCCGTCAGAATACCTAACGATATGAGTTTTGAAGTCGCTGCTGGGCTTCCAGTTGTCTGCGCCACCGTTATCTACAGTCTGACCAATGTAGGTAGACTGTCAGCTGGGGAGAGAATTCTGATCCACTCTGCTGCTGGTGGTGTTGGCCAAGCTGCCATTCAATACGCCAAAGAAGTTGGTGCCGAGATTTTTGCTACTGTCTCTACCGTTGAGAAGATGGAGTTTCTCAAGAAAGAGTATGGCATCCTTGAGGATCACATATTCTCAAGCCGAGACACCAGCTTTGTTCAGGGAATTATGAGAATGACTGACAATTCTGGTGTTGATTTGGTCCTCAACTCTCTTTCGCAAGAGGCTCTTCGGCGATCTTTTGAGTGTGTTGCCCCATTCGGCCGATTTATTGAGATTGGGAAAAAGGACTTGCGGGCCGGAGGCAAATTGGACATGAACCCCTTCATTCGAAATATTACCTTCACTGGCGTGGATTTGCTTACTCTTGCGGAATTCAAGCCAAAAGAAGTCCGAAAACTTCTCGAGACGACTATTCGCCTGTGGGATGACAATAAAATCAAAGGAGCTTATCCGCTAACAGTTTTGGGGTACTCTGAACTTGAAGATGGGCTTCGCATGTTGCAATCTGGCAAGAACATGGGTAAAATTGTGTTTGTGCCTAATGAGAACGACGTGGTGCCGGTTATTCCCGAGGTCACATCCCCATACACCTTTAACCCCAATGCGTCTTATGTACTGGCTGGAGGTCTTGGGGGCCTTGGAAGGAGTTTAGCACAGTGGATGGTGAGTCGCGGCGCAAGGAATTTGATATTCTTGTCACGATCAGGACAAATCACGCAGCCAGTTCAAGAAATGGTTTCTACTCTAGAAACCAAAGGTTGCAAGATTCGAATCTTCACCTGCGATGTATCCGATTTATCTCGGTTACAAGAAGTCATAGAGGAGTGCCAGCAGACGCTTCCCCCAATAAAAGGATGTATTCAAGGTTCTATGGTCTTAAGGGTAAGTAATTAAGGTTCTCATGCATGGATTTGCAAATTCTAAGCAACGATGGAATAAAAGAATTTTGGTGGACAATCGGAGCTAATGGGGTGCAGGATTCACTCTTCGAAAACCTCTCGTATGCCAACTGGACAGGGACTATCAAACCAAAGGCGCACGGCTCACAAAATCTCCACGATATCTTGCCCAGAGATCTTGAATTTTTCGTGATGCTCTCATCGCTAGCTGGAGTCATGGGTGGGCGCAGTCAGGCCAATTATGCGGCTGGCAACACATTCCAAGATGCGCTTGCCAAACATCGCGTAGCAAACGGGCTACCAGCCGCCAGTTTCGACATCGGAGGTGTCCTCTCCGTCGGCTTCGTTGCAGAAAATCAAAATTACGCCCGCAATGCGACAAAGGCCATGATTCCAATCCTAGAAGACGAAGTGCACGCAGTTGTGGAATATCTGATAGACCCACGCCATGAAATAACCGAAAGCACTTGCCAAGTTCTTTTTGGCCTAGCCACGAAGAAGTCATCTCAGGAACGTGGAGTCCCGCCACCGGAATGCTTCGACTACCCTCTCTTCACCTTGCTACAGAAAGCAAGTGGAACCAAGCAACAGGGGCCAGAAGAGACCGATACCTATCGCATTGACGCTCTGCTCGGAGCAGCGAGGACCAGAGAAGAGGCGCTTGAAATAGCGCTGAACGGCATATTGAACAAGCTCTCTGTGCTTCTCAATGTGTCAGTGGACCAGATTGACGCTGGCAAATCGACCCGTTCAAACGGTGTTGATTCATTGATTGCTATTGAGTTCCGGACGTGGCTTGCGAAGGAGGCGGGGACTGAGTTATCGCTCATTGATGTTACGGTCGGAGGCAGTATCAATGAGCTCAGCCAGAAGGTCGCAACGTTGAGCAGGTTCGCTGAGGTAACATAAACGTGTGATTGAATAGCAGGCGAGCTTGAATGGACGGTAAAGGTGGCATTGGAACTTTTATGTTATGAGCCCCTTTGTTGGAAGTTATGGACAGGTTGGCCTTTGAAGTGGAATGGTAGTCATGGCAGCATCTAAATTTGGTATCTCTTATTTGTTTTTGATATAATTTTTTTTTTTTACCTGCCTCTTTTTATTTGCTAAGCTTTGGATTTCATTTTGGCATTGCAAGCTCTATGATTTGATGAATTGACTAATATAGCCCAGAATTCTCCCTTTCTCTTGTTAATATATTCCCACCCCCAATTTGCTTGGAATAATCGATTCAACATAAATTTATTCCAGCTTTTTTTCATGCAGAACCTCAACCAGATCCAGCAGTTGGTCCAACAGAATAGCTTCATCATTGGATTATGAATTATTTATCCAGTTTGAATTTATGATTCTGACGATAGTCCTCGATTTCTCATAGAAGCGCAGTGTCTTTCTCTCTCTACCCCATGTTTGGCCAATGGATATATCCGTTGCATGCATGTGTCTCTATATATATATAGTAAAATCTTTTTTATAATAATTAATCTTGGAAGCGTATTCAATTCGTTATAGAGGAATTCGCTATATAAAAAGTTGTGACCGAATTGCAAGCTTGATTGGTTGCAAAAGGTTGCTAGCTACGAGTAAGGATAATAGTCACGTGCTAGAAGGGTCTTTGTTCCTCTTGTTGCTCGGGGTTTGACCCAAACCAGTTTTTGCCCAGGAATGAGTCATTGGGATGGATTCTTCTCTGGCGCGGAAGAGCCCACTAGTCCCGATATGGTCTAGCTCGCCGCCGTGCATCTACAGTTGATCCTTGATGACTCAGCGTATACATGGGAACAGACGGCGTCTTGGCAGCCGGGAACCCACCTTTTTGGATCGTTGGGGTGTGAGTCAAACGCAACCGGCCAATGGCGGGCGCCCAAATTAGTCCGACTATCGGCATCACAGTCTATACGGACCCCGATTCTCGCGCCGAATCAGCTGCTTGGGCACACACCAAGAGGTAACTTTCTGCAGTCGAAAAGGTGAGTAAAACCCTTTGAACGATAACTAAACACATGGAGGAGGAGGGAAGCTGTCTACCACACTGCAGAATCCTGGCGGGCAGTGACTGAGATTTTGATCTCATCTACAACACACTTCGAGGGAGACGTGGATAAAAAGACTGCAGCTAATACAGAAAAGCAAGCAAACAATAATAATAGGATTTACAGAGAACTGGTTGTGGATTGAGTTCTGCCCTCTGCCCTCTTCTTCTGTCTTTCGTTCCCTCTATTCATTAGTTCAACATTCAATTCATCCTTGAAAACACCTTATCCTCCGCAAGTTGGATCTTACTCTAAACCAAATCACCTCCTTCGCTGCACTTTTCTACGTCTGGTCCTGGCAATTTCACTCCTTGCAAAGATGATGTCCATACGGTCATCAAGGCGTGCGCTGCATGCCCTTCGGTCTCTAAGACCGACATCTGTTTTGTATTGTCCAAGATCATCCTCATCCTCTCCTCTTGCCTGTTCACTCTCTTCCCTGATCAATCCGTTGGCTCAACATCCCCCAACAAGGAATGTGTCAAAAAGAGAGCACAGCACTGCTGCCTCTGCTGCATCTTTGTGCGTTAATCCTTTCTTTACGTTCTTAGTGCGCTGAGTGTCACCTGCCTTCAAAGCTCGTGAATGCTGACTGACTGCATCTGGATAGACAAGTGAGGCCACGTCCTAGTCCTGCTTTTAACCAATATGTCCCTGCAAGTGACATTTCACCTCTCCAAAACCAGAAACCATCAGCTTTAGATGACTCGTACGTTTTACACTCAATTGGCACACCTTGCGCGCCTTGATGTATCTTGTTACTCACGACTCTCTCTCTAGATTTGTTGGAATGAGTGGAGGCGAGATTTTCCATGAGATGATGCTGAGGCAAGGTGTTAAACATATCTGTGAGTCGCCACCAAAATATAGATAAAATGAACCAGAAGAAATTACATATCTGATCAACCTCCATATGCTAATTTACAACCACAATTGTTCAGTTGGATACCCTGGCGGTGCTATCCTCCCCGTTTTTGACGCCATTTTCAACTCGCCGCACTTAGACTTTGTGCTCCCACGACATGAACAAGGTGCTGGCCATATGGCTGAGGGCTATGCTAGAGCTACAGGAAAACCAGGTGTAGTACTTGTCACCTCAGGACCAGGTGCAACTAATGTTATCACTCCAATCCAGGATGCTTTCTCGGATGGGACTCCCATGGTTGTCTTCTGTGGCCAAGTCGCTACAACTGCCATTGGCACGGATGCTTTCCAGGAAGCAGACGTCATTGGCATATCTAGAGCTTGCACGAAATGGAATGTCATGGTGAAATCAGTGGCAGAGCTCCCAAGACGCATCAAGGAAGCCTTTGAAATAGCTACTGGTGGCCGTCCAGGCCCCGTTCTTGTGGATCTCCCAAAAGATGTGACCGCTAGCATCCTGCAAAAGCCTATTCCGATGAGCAGCTCTCTCCCCACGCAGCCAAGCGGCGCTACCCTTGCTGTCCGTGAACTTAACGCCCGCTACCTGGAGGCAAATATTGGGCGTGCAGCGAAGCTGATTAACATTGCGAAGAAGCCAGTGCTCTATGTTGGTCAGGGTATCCTTGCGCGCCCGGAAGGACCACAGTTGCTCAAGCAGCTCGCGGATAAGGCAAATATCCCGGTCACAACCACTCTTCAGGGCCTAGGTGGATTCGACGAGATGGATCCTAAGTCTCTCCACATGCTGGGAATGCACGGCTCAGCTTACGCCAACATGGCCATGCAGGAAGCAGATTTGATTATTGCCTTGGGCGCCCGATTCGACGACCGTGTTACTGGCAGCATTCCCAAATTTGCTCCCCAAGCCAAGGCCGCTGCCCATGAACAGCGTGGTGGCATCATCCACTTCGAAATGGTGCCTAAGAATGTCAACAAGGTGGTCCAAGCAACGATATCAGTAGAGGGTGACTGTGCCGATAACCTTGCCCTTTTGCTTCCACAGATCAACACCGTCGAGGAGCGACCCGAATGGTTCGCGCAAATCAACGACTGGAAGAAGCGATTCCCTCTTTCATCCTATGAGAAGCAAACTCCAGACGGCCTCATCAAACCCCAAGCCCTCATCGAAAAACTCAGCGAATTAACCGCGCACATGAAGGATCGTACCATCATCACCACTGGTGTCGGCCAGCACCAGATGTGGGCAGCCCAGCATTTCCGATGGCGCCATCCACGCACCATGATCACCTCCGGCGGCCTTGGGACAATGGGATACGGCCTCCCATCCGCCATCGGCGCTAAGGTTGCACGTCCCGAGGCCCTCGTGATTGACATTGATGGCGACGCATCCTTCAACATGACACTGACAGAGCTGTCAACGGCGGCGCAGTTCAACATTGGCGTTAAGGTTATTGTTCTGAACAACGAGGAGCAGGGGATGGTTACGCAGTGGCAGAGTCTTTTCTACGAGGACCGCTTTGCGCATACTCACCACCTGAATCCGGATTTCGTCAAGTTGTCTGAGGCTATGGGGGTGCAGGCTAGGAGGTGCACGAAGCCCAGCGAAGTGGAGGCTAGCTTGAAGTGGCTTATTGAGAGTGAGGGGCCTGCTTTGCTTGAAGTGGTTACAGATAAGAAAGTTCCTGTGTTGCCCATGGTTCCTACGGGTAAGGGCTTGCATGAATTTCTGGTATATGATGAAGGTTAGTGACCACACCCTGGCTGTTGCTTCTAAACTCTTAACCGTGCTTCCTGTTGTTGTTGTTGTTGTTGTACCCATATAACTAACTCAATATTTCTTTTTATCCGCCCTACAGCCAAGGAGAAGGAGAGAAGGGCTCTCATGAAGAAGCGATCGGGCCGTTGAAAATTTTCACGTTGAAAACTGCACCAGTCAACCAACACCGGGTATTTCACCTGGCGTGTACGCTGCCCGTGACGGATAGACCTGTGTAAGAAGCAGCAGTCCCATTGCATTACTCGGCCTCAATATTTGTATCTCCATTTTTTTTGATCTCTTTACCTCCTTTTTTGCCTTTATAAAGGTTTTCCCCCTTTTCTACCTCTGATATCCCTGGCGTTGCGGAAGGTCAAAAACAAGAAGGAAAAAATCACACACGAAAGTTGGCGTGTCGCGTTTAGCCCAAAGTATCTTCAAGGCGAAAGGAAGAGCATAAAAACAGGTTGCTCGTGCTTCTTTTCAGCTCTGAAGTGTTGATACTGGTCTAGAAATGTTTTCAGAAGAAGTTGATCAAGGGGATTTTGTTCACCGTCATCTTCGTCCCATTTCAAATGTCTGTCCATCCATCCGTCAATCCATCCATCCATTGATCTGTATAATGTCTTTTTCTGGCTGTTTTTTGTAAATAAGTAACATTCTCTTTTGCTTGATAACTGTTTTATATATAGGCCTGTGGTTTTAATCTGTAGCGCTCTCCCCCTCTTTTTCCTCTCTTTTCTTTTTTTGATTGATGGGATTTTCGTATTTCTCCCGTAAGGTACCCCCCGCACATATCCGTTAGATTTCTGTATGCGGTTATATCTCCATAGCCTCTTTGTCCAAAACTAAAATGAATGAGAAAGCTCCGAGGTTAAAAAAAGATCATATCACGTGACTTCTTTGCCTCTGACGTCTTGAAGCCGTTTCTGGAGAGAAGTTGGACAGTAACCAGCATCAAATATTTTCAAAGAAAGCTTTCTTCCGCCAATACCACTCTACTCCTTGTTATATATACTGCTGCCTATCTGTGCAGGTAATATGGCGGCCTGAATTACACAATTATTGAAAAGATCTTATTCTCGACAAGGATACCCGTTAGCTGCAACTACATTGATTCATTCCTTTCACTTATCTCATACAGCATGACATCTTTGCCCCAGCAGCCTCCTGGGGGCAGGCAGCGATCATCAGCTGCCCTCCAAACAATTAACCGCACCACATCATCCAGCGAGAGAGATGAAGCGCCTCAATCTGAAACGGATTCATCCTTTCTTACAACCTCTTCAGACGTCGTTTTCCCGAAAGTTTCGAGAAGTATCGCGGCACAGACACCGGAAACAGAGAACACACTGCATAAATCTGATATACCACCACCACAACAACAACAACAACAACAACAACAACAACAACAACAACAACATCAACAACATCAACAACAATGGCAAGAGGGCGAACAACGGGAGCAAAAACAGACAGAACCCCAAGATCCAGCGCCCGCAGCAATGGACGACCCCTCATCCTCCACCGCAATACAAAATAACGATACTCCTGCCATTTCCGATCCACGCAAGTGTTGGATCTGCTACACCGACGAAACAGAAGATACCCCAATGAACACGGAGTGGCGTTCCCCATGTCCCTGCGCCCTAACAGCCCATGAAGCCTGCCTCCTTGACTGGCTGGCCGACATCGAAAACCCCGCCTCGCGAAAACACACCGGACGGCCCGCAAAACTTTATTGTCCACAATGCAAATCCGAAATCGTCATATCTCGCCCGCGCAGCTTGGTTGTTGATATGGTCCGGTCCGTTGAGCGGCTGGCTAGTCGCCTGGTGCTTCCGGGAATGGTATTCACGCTGGCTGGCACGGTGTGGGCGGGCTGCTGTGCGCATGGCGTGTATTCCGTGTACTTCGTTTTTGGCTCAGAGGATGCGCAGCGGATATTCCAGACGCGGAGGGAAGCGACGTGGAATCCTCGGTTGAATTTTGGATTACCCCTTATACCCATTCTGCTTATACTTTCGAGAACGAAATATGCCGAAGGCCTGCTGCCGGCCATCCCTGTTCTTTTCTTCGCCACGCACCAGGCGGGCAGTCAGGAGCTGGAGATGGATTTCTGGCCTCCCAGCGCCTCTATGGCGTTTGCTGCGCTACCTTATGCTAAGAGCTTTTACGGTTTGGTCTACGAGAAGCTTTTTGGGAAATTGGAGAGGAAATGGATTGCGGAGGTCCAGCCCCGTTCGGGGGAGGATGGTCCTGCCGATGGACAGGCCGGAGCTCATGGTGTCGCTGAGATAGGCCATGGCGATATTCTCATGGAGATCGATTTGGAGCTACAACTTGGGCTTGGTGGAGGAGGAAACGACGATGAAAATGCCGCTAATCTACATCCGTTACCTGGAGCTGGTGGAGAGGCCCCTCAGGTGAATGGTGCCGATAATGGCGAAGCTGCTCAAAACCAAGCTGCCGCGGGTGGAGCTGACCAAGGCAACCAAATGCTCGGTCGGCGACAAGATGCCATCATCCACGACACCAGCAGTATCGCAGACACAATTCTAGGGGCGTTGCTATTCCCCGCCATCTCCGCGTCGATGGGCGGCGTGCTAAAATTGGCCTTGCCGAAGGCGTGGACAACGGCTCCCTCTGCAGCATCAGGGCCCGTACTGGAGAAAGGGAGGGTGGGCTTGCTGCAGAGCAAATGGGGACGGAGCGTGGTTGGAGGGTGCCTGTTTGTGCTTTTGAAGGATGCTCTGGTGTTGTACTGCCGGTGGAAGCTGGCTAGTACGCATCGCAAACGAAAGGTGCTGAATTACGATCGGTCGAAGAAGAAGGTTGTGGGCAGGAGTGGGTCACAGTAAATAAATAAAGCATTAAAAGAAAGTACTAAGAGGAATTACTGGTGCCTATACCCACTACTGCGCTACGGCTATCTTTAAAAAGCAATGCTTGAACGCGATTGGCAAGTTCTAGGTCGTCCTTTTCTTGACCTTTTATTCCCATACCTTTTTGATTTTCTTCAAATAGGACTGACTCACCCCTTTAATTTTCTCTCACTGTCTACTCTGTCTCTTTTCTTTTTTCTTTTTATCAGAACCGAACTCCACGATTAGCACGATATCTGTATTCCTAAGCATCTTAACGGCGTTTTTTTGCTGGCTTGTTTGCTAAACTAAAGGGAGATAACATAAATACAGTGGGCTAGTTTCTGAGATACGATTCTACGAATAGCCTTTTTCTAGGCAGAATTCTTTCTTTTCTTTCTCTTTGATTCCCGTTGTTGGTACATTAAAACTAAACAATCTTCCTATCGACAGTTCCCTAGGCAGCTGCCACAAAAATTATCAAGATTTTCTACTACAAAGCTTCCGCAGCTATTTCTGTCCCTCAAGGTGGCTGTGGCTGTGGCTGTGCCAGTGGCTGTGGTGTATGGAAGTGTAAAATGTGGTAAACATACCGTAACATATAAGCGCGTGTGATTCAGGTACGGCGCCTAGCGGTTAATTGGACAAATCATAATTCGCCAGTCCGCCCGCCAGGATTACCAAATTTCCTCAAAACCTTCTCGATCCTCATAAACCACCCCGACATATCAGAAGAGGCACTCTTGCTCACTTTATCTATATACCTCTGTCTTTGTGAAATGGAGTGAATTGGTTGCTATGGACCAAAAAAATAATGCTTAAAACGTATTTTTCAAAAAAAAAAGACAATAAATCCTTCTCTAACCTGCCTCTCCCAATCCCACCACCTTCGCCATATTGGAAACTACAATGAGACAAATCTCCCCCGTTCTCGCATCGCTCGCTGGCGTTTTCAAGATTCCAATTACTCGTCCGCACGCACACTTTACGTCCCCATTGTCCTCACCCCAATCGTCAGTATTGTTGTCGTCCTCGTCAAGTCGAGTGTGCGCTCAACCTCAAACATCGGCATTTTCACGGCAATTTTCCGCCGGGCCCTCTTTGTCGGCGAGAAAGGGGAAAAATGTTGTTGATAAGCGCGTTAGTAAGTACAGTTTGATGTGTATATGATGGGGGAGTTTGATTGATTGGGTCGGGCTGGCGTGGAAGGGTAGGAGAGGAAGACGTTGATATTGAATGTTACCGACTGCTCAGATGTATATACATGTCTCATGTATTAATACATGGGGGCAATGCAACGGAGACATGCAAAGGGACGCCAGCCTGGGGAAAACCTCAATATCTTCTCGCATTCGCCATCCCATCCCATCCCGACTCCTACTCCCTTCCAAGCCCAAACCAAAAAGAACACCATCCGTTAGCAGCCAGAAAGTAACTGACCCAACCCAACCCACCCCCTCCAGCTCTAATCCGCTACTTCCTCTACCACCCCCTCACCCCACGCCCTCTCCGCTTCTCCCGCAACCGCTATCTGCGCCACTGGACCATCCACCGCGCCTGGCAACTGTACTGCGCCAAGAAGCGTGAGGCACTCCATCTCGAGCTGGAACGGCAATGGAACAGCATGCGCGATGCGTGTGAGGAGCTGCGCACGGGCGTTGGCGATGAGGGAAGGTTGTTCCGTATCTCGATGAACAAAAAGGGTGTTTTCACGGATCAGATACCGATTGAGTATGGGAGGATGCAGACGGAGGGGCCGAGCAAGGAGGGATGGAATTATGATTGGAAGAGGTAGATGGTGGAGTTTATATGTTGGACATGCATTGCGGTTGAAGGATTGTATAGTACATCGATGCAGCACATGTTTCTCTTCGATCTACGGCTTGTTTTGCCTTTTACTTTCCATGTATATGCATGTGCTGCACGTTTGATTATTAGACTATTCTTCCATTTCGTTTCTCACGTTCAAGATACTGCGCTGCTCATTATATTTTATGCGGAGGTATATACACTTGGTAACAGGGACATCGGCCTGCTATTTTAGAAACAAGTTGACAAAAGCCATGCCAATTGTAGCCTTTCATCGTGTACAAAATTATACCAACGGAGCATTCCTCGTCATCAACTTCTGTCTGGGAAGTCAAATACGTATAGATATGCCTTTGCATGGGTTTTAAACAAACGGCTAGATTCATCCAGTGCTGTTAAGATTGGTGCAGTGACCTCAAGAGTCTTAGAAAATCAGAAGAAACGGTGAATTAGAATCTGGAACGAGTCAGGGGCGTATAAAATAGATGGAACAGAGTAATAATCTCGTAGGTAGACAATCATGGGGGTTGATCAGTCGCTGTCGTTCATCACCGCTAAGGATGACACGACATCTAGGTAGATAATAGGGGAGTGGGAAAACCGACATGTTCAAGGCTATAATAGATTTCCAAATAGAAAACCAGGTTGGAGATAGGATAAAGGGAAACAAGACCTGGGGGGGGGGGGGGGGAAAGAGTTTGAAGGATTGCTTACCAAGCGAAGCAATAATGAAATCAAAGCAAAGAAACGCAAAGGTATTAGTATGTTATAAGGCACACAGCCATATATTTGGGGTAGAAACTCATGCAAAGGACAACAGTTATGTTATAGAGGAATTGAAAACATGGCACGGCATACAAGAGGAATTAGTAATAGAAAAGAGAAAGTAAAGGTCTCAAGAATTCACAAGAAGTAAAGATGTGGAAAGAGGTGGGAAACCAGGAGGGCATCGATGGGGCAAAAGAATGAAGCGAACCGAAAAATTAACATCCAACAATCGAAAGTCAGCCATCGAAAAAGAAAACCCCAAGAACGCCGCGAATGCATGATAGTACTAGTTTGAGTCGAGTAGAGTACGTCGCATATAACATAGAGTGTAACTCAGTTTCCCTCTTTTCCTTTTCCACCAGACATTATTTTGCGTAAAATGATACAACCGAAATTTTCGAAAGGGTTTATGAAATGAAATATTCGCCGTGGGGCGGGTTGGGGCGGTGATGTGCGAGTAATGTTTGTTGTTTATTTTCGTTAAGCGACAGTGGGTAATAGATTGATTGGTGGACAGGATAGAGGCATATAGTCTCATAGGATAACGCAGCAAGACCCTCTGTCCTTTTCGAAAGTTAAAAGAGCTGCGCGGGTTGCAGCTTCGAAAACGTCATCGACACCTTCGCCGGTGAGGGATGAGCATTCTAAGTATTTTCTTGCCCCGACCTGGGCTGCTGTGTCGTGGCCTTCCTTCGAGGAAACAAAGCGCAGAGACTTCTTTCTCATTTCTTCAATTGCAAGGGGGTCCTCGCGCAGATCTTTCTTCAAGCCCACCAGTATGATTGGGACATCGGGGCAGCGTTCATTTGCTTCTTCAATCCACTGCGTTATATTAATATATATTAATTATGAGGTAACAACGGGGAATAGATTTGCAAGTCAAGCATGACAAGGGTGGTAAGTTTACCTTATTCCGAACGTTCTCAAGAGAATCTGGAGTATCTACCGCGAACGCAATTAGGAGAACATGGGCCTTTGAATATGCAAGTGGTCGTAAACGTTCGTAATCTTCCTGCCCAGCAGTATCCCACAGAGCGAGTTGGACTGATCGACCGTCAACGCGACAATCTGTTACGTAGTTTTCGAAAACTGTAGGAACCTTTTCGAATGCGCTATATCATTAGAAGAAGTCATGGGGTCACAATGGATCATGGATACTTTGTATCTCGGTTTACACTCACATAATGCTAAGTTTTTACAGGTTAGTTTGACTGAGGGACTCAAAATCTCAAACTGGAGGAGAAGCACTTACAGTCGGGAAATAGCCAAGAGTAAACACACTCAACAAACTTGTCTTGCCGCAAGCACCATCTCCTATTATCACCAGCTTCCTGGACGACCATTTATCGGATCAGATCAGTAAAACCAAAGATCAAAATCCCGGTCCAAAGGCCCGTAGATCGGGAATATCACCAGCTCCAAAGGTGTTTTCCATCCACATACCTTCTCATGACATTCTCCGTCTGCAGCTGCTGCAGCTGTTGTTGTGCCATGGTTTCCAGGAGTATGCATTCACCAGATCAGAAGCCAGCAAAACAACCGCAGCCAGATAGTTCTGTAATATACCTCCCCTCAGATGTCTTCGCAGTATTACTTTATGTATAACCAACTGACGAAAACGGGGCCAGGTTGGTTGGCTAAGCTGAGACGATAAAGGGTGTTTAAAATGAAAGGGAGACCGCTTAAACAGGAGGAATGATGGGGGACGAGCTGGACGCAATGGATTCGAGGGGGTTGTAAATATGCCGAGTCGATTGGGAATGGCAGAACACCAGCTGTTTCGCTTTCTTCAAAAAAGAAAAAAGGGAGGCACACGAAGCCCCGGAGTCACAGTGGAAGGAGAGTCGTTTGGCAACAAGAACAGACCAGCTGCCCGCATGCGGGAATGTAGGTCAAGGGGGGTCGAGAGACGGGGCGTGGGTGTGGGGGTGGGCTGATTGTGTCGATGAGAGACAGAGATGGTATTTATTTATTTGGGGGGGGGGGAGAAGGGGGTCAGAGAACGCGTTTCCAGATACTCAGGAGAGGTGATGGGGTGTAGTAAATAGGTATTATGGCAGTTAGCAGTTTCGTTCAAGTCGTCCAAGGCCAACGGGACAGGGGAACAGGCTGCAGACGGTAGGATTTGAACTGGAGGCCGCTGCAGGCAGGTCTTGGGGTGGTTTGGGGGAGGTTTGTGTGAAAGAAGGATATATAGGCGAAGGGAGGTATGTATGTTCCAGTCGGGAATGAGGATGCTCAGCCAGGGAGTCGGTTGTTGCGGCGAGTGGGTTGGAATTTGGGGTTGTTGTTTGGCTTGGATATTTAGCTCGCTTTCCCAAGGCAGACTGGATGAGGTGATTCGATGTTTTGGCCTCTGACGGGCGCAAACGAAAATGTTGAGCTGTAAATAGATAACCAACTTCCAAGGACTAAGGGAGGGTGAGTTTACTCTGGTGCAGGTAACAACCCGCGATATAGAACAACATATGTAAAATTGCCTAGGTATATTTTTAACCCAGTCACTCTCCCACTCCCACTCTAGTACATCTTTCAGTCTTGTTTCTTGTTGTTTGTGTTGCTTGGAGCATGATGAAATGTATGATGATATCTTCAGGTAATCAGATTACCGGTATTTAACGTATGGCTCTGGCCTCTGTACTGTATATACTGTATGGTAACGCCTGCAGGGGTCTTCCCGAAACAGGTTAGTGCTTATCGCCTATCGCGTCTAATTTAAGGTCACGTGGATTACCCTTCAAACCACCCAGACAGAATATTCCACTGAGGTTTGATGATGATGATGATGCGATGATGTTTCTGAGGTTGATGATGCCGATGATGCTGGAAGCATAGCTTCAACTCCTCCCCTTACCTGATCATTCCTGCTAGCACACACACAGGTCGATGCCGCGCCCCTGATCTCCCCTGATCCATCAGCTGCGGACTGGCCGTTTACCCCAATTCTTCACCACTTCTTCCCTCTCCCTCCTCCTTTCCTAAAGTCTCTATCCACACCCACCACCGCCCGCCTCCATCCCTCCACCTCCTCACTCTCTCCACACCCCATCCGCTCCGACGCCTCTCCCGCCGCAGTCCCCACTCCGCACCCCATCCACCCGCTGCGGACTCCGTGCCATTCGAGTCCGCCTGATCTGCACTGTGTGTACGACCTATTCTTTCCCGTCTCCCCGCCCTTTCAAAATCTCCCCCTCGGATCCATACTGACAGCCTCTTTGCTTCAATAGCGCAATGCCGTCCAACTCAAAGCGCCCTGCACCGTCGCCCGCAACCGAATCCAAACATAAACCAGCTACAATCACTTCTAAATATTCTGCCCCAAGATCGTCACCTCCAGCGGCTAACAGCAACAGCTCTGCTGTTGATGATACGATGCAAACGAGACCATCCCAGGATACTGCAGCAAACCGCAACGTTGCAAACCTCGTTGCTACAACAACCACAACCGCCACAACCACCACCGTCACTGGCGTAAACAGGAAAAAGCAGAAGAGACGGCAGAAACAGGCTGCACGATTAGCTGCTGAACAACACCTTAAAGATGGAAGTCAATCCCCAGGTGCCGCAAGCCAGAATGGTTACACCCGTAACACACACTGGGATGATCCCGATGACCACCTCCCTTTAAAGGAATATTCCTCTTCCCGTCCAAATCAAAACTACTTTGACTCGCATCTAGACGATCCAAACCACTATGACCCCGCAGAAGGCGACGATCTCTATTCAACTGATGACGAGGGTCATATTTACGCGCAACCCCACAGCCAATCCCATTCAGATAAATTCAACATGGTTCAGCATTCTGATCTAAGTATGAACAAATCCAAGAAGAAGAAAGGGAAAAGGCATCGATCGACATCCCACTTAGCCGACGGGAGCTCCACGTCACTGCCAACACCATCCGCGTCCGCGGCCCGGCCTGCCCAACCACCTCCGCTATCTAACGCTGCGCTTCGATCCGCGCATAAGATATCTAAAGATAGGATATGGAACACGTCGACCCAGGAAGAGCGGGAGAATATAAAGGAGTTTTGGCTTCAGTTGGGCGAAGAGGAGCGGAGGTCGCTAGTGAAAGTCGAAAAGGAGGCTGTTTTGCGGAAGATGAAGGAGCAGCAGAAGCATTCGTGCAGCTGCACTGTTTGTGGGAGGAAACGTACAGCCATTGAAGAAGAGTTGGAGGTCCTGTACGATGCATATTACGAAGAGCTCGAGCAGTACGCGAACCACAGCCAAAATTCTTTTGAAAATGGTGGCCCAATCGTCCCTCCCAGGCTATATCAGCCCCCGCTCCGCCCACTAGAGAGGCATTCCCACCTGTCAAATAACAAAAATCCGTCACGGGGGAGAGTCCAGGAATTGCCTGACGACGATGAGGAATTGGACGAGGATTATGACGAAGATGATGAAGAAGACGAACCTTACAGCGATGATGAGCTTGAAGAGGCTGCTCGAAATACCAGGGCCGATTTCTTCGCGTTTGGAAACAGTCTGACAGTTAAAGGTGCGCGCTTACTCAAAACATATAGCCCATATGTTGACAGTTGCAGCTAACCTTCATTAGATGGTATCCTCACTGTGGCGGATGACTTGCTTAAAAACGACGGGAAACATTTCATTGATATGATGGAACAGCTAGCTGAACGGCGGATGCAACGTGAGGAAGACACACAGTATGCCGCAGCTTCTGCTGCACATCAATCCCTACATGCTGGCCACAACCACGCACCCCCGCTCGACGAAGAAGATTATGATGATGAGGAAGAAGATGATTACGATAGTCAGGATGATGAGGAATACGAGGAGGATGAGATGGTTTGTGTTAACAACAATGGTTCGATTTTTAGTATAAAGCTAATCCGTCCCCAAAAACGCAGGATGCGATGACCGAAGAGCAACGTATGGAGGAAGGAAGACGAATGTTTCAAATATTTGCTGCTCGAATGTTTGAACAGCGTGTTCTAACCGCATATCGAGAAAAGGTCGCCCACGAACGGCAAATGAAGCTTATTGAGGAGTTAGAAGAAGAAAATAGGCTTGATGTGCAACGGGAGGCAAAGAAAGCTAGGGAAGCTCAGAAGAGAAAGGATAAGAAGAGACAGCAGAAACAGGCAAAGGAAGAGGAAAAGGCAAGAAAGGAGGCTGAGAAGGCCGCTGAAGCTGCTGCTGCGAAAGCTCTCGAGGAGAAAAAGCTGGAAGAGCAACGGCGAAAGAAAGAGGAGCAGAGAAAGAAGAGAGAGGCGGAGAAAAAGGCCCAGGAAGAGGAACGTCTCCGAAAGGAAGCTGAAAAGCAGAAACGTCTTCAGGAGGAACGTGAACGCCAGGCTGAGTTAGAACGGAAGCAGCGAGAGCAAAAGGAACGGGAGAAGAGGAAACGGGAGGAAGCAAAGAAGAAAGAGCGGGAAGAGCGGGAAGCAAAAGAACGCGAACTTCGAGAGAAGAAGATGAAGGAGGAAAAGGAACGCAAGGCTCGGGAAGAACAAGCCAAGCGTGAGAAAGAGGCTGCGCTCAAGGCTGAACGTGAGGCAAGGGAGAAAGAGCGGGTTAAACGCGAAGAACAAGCTGCCCAGGCTGCTCAGGCCGCAACCACTCAAGCTGCCAAACGGATGTCCCAAACAGGGCCAACGCATCTCCCTCCGGGACTTCAGCATCCACAGGGCCCTTCAGGGCTGCAGTCGCCACATTTCCAGGTTGCGACACCAGTCGTACCGAAAGCTCCAACTCCTGTTCGTCCACGTCAAGCATCTCAACAAGGATCCCATGCCTCTTCTCCTAGATCTCAACCCGCCGGGACTGATACTTCCCAGTCCATTTCTCCTGGAAATGCTAGTGCACCGCACTCATCAGGCGGCTCAAGTTCGGTTTCAACAAAGTCCCATGTCCCGACCCCGATGCTCCATCACCCTCAACCGTCTGCTCCCATGTCACCGTTGGGCGGAGTAGGTCGTAGCCCGCATTCTATGGGGTTCAGCTCAATGCCTGCATTAAATGGAATACCATCCAACATCGCCGGATTGCCAGGAATTACGTCCCGTCTTCCCTTGGGCCATGAAATTCCAATGTATCCAAACCAACAAGCTCCCCTGGGTGCGCAGTTCAGAGGCTTTCCATCTCCAGATGGCATACCAATGGCTCCAGGAATAAATGGTGCGAGACCGATGATCCCTGGTCGCGGGTTTCCTCTAGAAACTGGCCACGGGTTGCCATTCCCTCCAACAGGACCTGGGCCGATCTCCTCTCCGCAGCAACCTCAGATACCTCGGGAAACAGGACGAGGTCAGACACACTCAAGACAAGCATCAGCATCCTTCGAGAGAAATCCACTAGAAGCTCAACCCCAGAATCAGCCCATATCTCGACCCGCTCCGATTCAGCGCCCCTCGAGTACTGCCCCTCATGATACCCCACGAGACCAATTGAAACCGGGAGAGTCAGAGATTGACAATTTGAGCGCACAGCTTGGCAGCAGTGCGCTTCTTGATGATACCGATGTGCCTTTAACCTCCAGCCTGTCTCAACCTATCCCCACAGGCGGTCTTTCCAGTGCTCCAGGAGCCGGGAGGATGGGATTTGGAACGTCTCCATTATTTTCAGAACCCCTTGGAGGTAAGCTCATCCTTTACTGCCATTATAAACTTAATCCAGTTTGACATAAACTAACAATTCCGTTTAGCCAAGCACCCGAATTTACCCCTTGGCGCTGCAGGCTCAGGGAATACTTGGGGACCACAAGTGCCTTTTGGGGCTCCCGGATTCCCTGCAGCATCCTCGTGGGGTTCGGTTCCGGCAACAGGTTGGTCTCCCTTGACGTTGAATCATAAATCTATCTTACTAACTTTTTCATAGGATCCGGGTGGTCAAATAATGCCTTCGGCATCATTGGAGGGACTCGCCCGCACACCTCGCGGCCAGTTACGATTCGTTTATTGGTAGCACAGGCTTGCAAGCAGCTCAACGCAACGAGTCCAACGAAAGGAAACTCTGGCTTCCACAATGTGAACCATGTCCTGCGACAAGTTGAGCAATTGAATCCTCCAACGGAGCCTCCAATCACTCTCGACGAGCTGTTGGATATCTGCGACACAGAAGGCAACCCGCAAAACGGCGGGGGTTCATTCGCGATCAAAAACGAAGGACCCCGTGTTACATTCGTTAAATTTGAGCCTGATAACAACAGCATGTCATCTGCTCCTAGGGGTAGTATTGCTCCAGGGGATATCGGCAGTCCTATCCCAAGCAGCACCATTCTGGCGCTTGGCGGAATTGGCACAGCAGGGGTCTCAAGACAATTTCCCGCTACTTCAAATATGTCTCCTCCAACCGGATTCTGAAGTCTGCGTCTTCTCCGTATTCGCTTTCCAGAATTCGCCCTAGGGTTGAGCTCCTGTATAGTCCTTGTGCAAGTCGCGTAGATGCTATCTGTATTGAAATGGTCAACTTGTTATTACTATGCTCTTCTTGCCCATCTCTAGCTGCGTCAAGCACTCTCCCATTCACTCTCGCAGAATGTCTGTATGTTATCATACGTTGTACAAGCGATTAACGTCTTCCCCCGCTCTCCATTCTCAACCACGAAACCTCAGGCAGTCATATTCCTCTCCCCCCATATCCATCAACCAGCCATTCCCAGTGTCGATATCATCAATCATCGATTCATCCAATCCTCTTCATTCTTGCCCTACTATAATTAATCATAGTTCCACTTGCTTGTTCTATTCCTCTCTTTTCAGTTTTCTCAGTCTAACGATCAGTTCTTTTCTCTTTGTTTTCTCTGTTTGCTTTTCTTTTCTTTTCTTTTTCTTTTTTATTTTCCTTTCCTAAGTGTCGCTGCCTGAGGTACGGCTTTTCAGGTACTGTCCTCGCAGCCAGAAAGTCACAATATTCAGGCAGGCAGGCGGGCAGGGTTTGTTATGGCAGCCGGCAAGCTGTTAGGGTAGTCAACTTTTGTTCCTTAATATTTATTTTTTTCTTCCTGTTTTGTTTTTGTTTTGTTTGAACTTGTTTGTTTGTCACTTTTGATGAAACTTGTGACAGACTATGGGGGTTTTTTCAGAATTGAAATTCATTATGCTTCTTTATCAGAAGTCTATCAGTGATTCTACTTGGTTTCCCTTTATTTCATTTTCCGCAAGTGACAAAATTAACTGCAAAATCAGAAGGTCTCTCCCTACTTCCTACTCAATAATCATCTGAGGCACCCTTTTTACATGCCCAGATACTTGATGATATAGCAGCTAGATGGTATGTTATAGATTGTCAAAGAGGCTCTTTTATATCATTCCTCAGCCTTCCATAGATGGTTGGCAGTCAGTCCCTCCCAGCGCTTTTATGTTTCCATTCCCAACGACAAATGGCGGAAAACCAACTACATAGCTACACAACATACTCAGGTTGGTCCGTAGAGGCCCTTGGACATCCGGCAAGTTGCGTATTAGCTACCTCGAATTTGGAGGGGGCCTACCATATCCATAACTGCAATCCCTTACTGTTCAGCTCCAGGGAATGAATTCCCTATAAATAGTACCTAAGAAGCCAGCTACGGGAAGTTGGAAAGCATGTGACTTCTAGACGGCTTCTGGTTCAAAGATTCATAATACTTGACAGTTAATTGTGGGAGGCATAATAGGAAATTGATGACACATAGGTTGAAAGGTGCTTACACGATAGGAGGTGGGTTTAACATATTTTCTTAAAATATTGAAAGGTAGATTGATGAGTGGTGAGTGGAGAATAGCGTAGCAACAACAGCAGAACTCATGTCCTTAGGACGATATACAACCCACCACGTTAGGCCTTTTAAAAAGAACAATTCGCTCTTAGGCTAACAATGTTGTTTCATTGTGTTGGGTGACGTATCGTTATATTTTCGTCGATTGTGGAAAAGAATTATCCCCGCTCTCTACATAAAAATAGATAGGGTATTTAGGTTGGAAATACATGGAATTAAGGTGAATAAACCTAAGTAGGTCGGTGATGAGGGCAGGGAAGTATATACGAGTAACAAAATAGTGACTAGTAATGAAAGGTTGGTAGCGTACAAACTCCCCTTGACTAAATAATACGAGATGGTAAATAGACAATTCTTGTTTTTGACATGCACCCAAGGGTAGAACGAGACCATGATAAAGATAAAAACAGACCAAAAAGAGAGAACAGTAGAGAAAAGTAGAATTAAGTCCCCAGATCTGTAGTTCATCATCTATTTCATGTACAGGAAAGCCACATCGAACAGGAATCAGAGCGAAGCGAAAAGAAGAAGCAACAAGACAGAAACAGCCAGACTCTATAAAAATTTTATATCCTTGGCTCGGTCACTACACCCTCATAATCGCGGGACTTGATATAATCCAACGTGCGCTGGAAATGGCGCTTTGGGTTATCAAGGCTGGAGTTTGGCACTCCATCGTTCTGACTTGTCTGCAGGTTCGATTGGATAAGTTCAATTAGCCCGTTCAGGTATCTAGTTGTTACAGTCTCATTCCCTTGGTCAAAGTAGTATACATAGCGGTTGAGGATTTCGACAAAAAGCTCCACAGACACAGCTGTGTCCATACACGCGTCCGCTACGCGCAGAGCTCTTTGGAGGCATTCAAGGACCCGCTTGCCATCGCGATATAGCTATGAAAGTAATGTAGTAGGTTAATTTATCATGCATAAACTATTTGATAAGAGATATCAAAGATATGTGGTGCATTAGAGATATTAGTGCTTACATATTTCGTCTCCTCTTCGCCTTTCTGCTGGTTGTCAACGGCCCACCAAAGATGACTTGCAAGATACACGGCGCGGCACTGATCCGGCTTCTTCAGAAGCTTGCTACCATGCAGCGCAGCCTTGGTAATTAGGGTATCGTAATTTTCTTTTCCAAATCCTCTTGTGCCGTGCAGTGCGCTCGCAAGGATGCATACGGCTTGGAACTGTGCTCGTGAATCACTTATTGAATCCTCATATATAGTAAATGCTTGTGCGAAAAATTCATAGCTGAATTCCTCGAAGCCAGTCTGGTCGGCCACCTGGCCACAAAGAACGAAGAGAGGAAGAGACAGCTCAGCGCTGCCGGGATTTACTCTTTGGTATAGATTGCTGATGCACTGGTGCATGAATCGGTAGAGTGTTGAGGATTGTGCTTGCCAGTTGTCATCATAATGTTCACGCGATTTATATTTTCGGGCCAGCTTCAGTGAAGACGTAATTATAGCAGGTGTGGTGAATCGGATACGTTCGTTTCCTTCCGAATAGGCCTTGCAGGCCGCTTGCAAAAGCTATTTCATCGTTAACACGGAGAACATATTAAGCATAGCTGCGACACTCACCTTAAGCTGGGTGTCGTTGTCTGGGCCTTGGATGAAATGGATTATCCGTGCAAGCCATCCTTGTTCCTCAATTGTCTCTTCTGTCTCTCCTGCACGCCGTTGTGACTGAATGCCTGGATAGCCCACCGGCTGCTGCATACCTTCTTTTATTAGGACCTTCAAAATCTGTAACACGCCCTCAAGATGCTCTGATGTTGAGATTATTGTTCTGTTTCTTAAAATCCCTCGAGCAATTTCACCGGCAACAGCTCTTCGCGTGGAGTATGATTGGGCAGTGAAAAGGGGGATATAGTTTGGGAGCGAAAGCGCAGTGAAAATTGAAACATATGAACGGATTGGCGCGAGGAGTAGATTTAACAGATTCGACTGCGCAGGAACGGAGTGTAGGTCAGCTGTATCGGCATGCTCCATTGTCTTCTTTGTGGCATATTCGAGAACTTGATCGACATATTCTACAAGATTTGTTAATAAGAAAATCTGGACGACAAGTTTTGGGCGGGCAACAGTGTCTCCGTACCTAATCGCTCGGGGTAAATACTCCTGTCTCTTGTTAGTTGACGCCAAAATCGCGAGCGGAAAGTGAAACTTACAGTGCAAGGCTCACTAAAGATACCAATAAGGCTATCGTGTCGTGGATCGGGATGTTTCTCGTTTTGACCAAGTTAACAACTTGCTCGTAGAATATTTCATAGAGTTTGAAATCGGTGTTAAATTTTGATTTCGGATTCTCTTCGCTTTCGCCATTAGGGACCGGTGCAGCTTCCTGCTCGGCATTTTCTGTGGCATCTTCTTCCTTATTGGGCTCTCCTTCTGCGCTCTTTGTATCTTCTTCAAAATCCACTCTATCCGCACCGGATCTCGCTTCAGTTTCTTTAGCCAGTCGCAATTTTTCCAGTAGTCTGACAGTTGCTTCCTCCTCCGCTTTTTGCTTGCCTTCTGGTGTATCATTGCTGTCTGTATCCCGTGCCGCGTAAGCAGATAATCGGTCCATAAGGCCTATGACAATTTTCTTCATATCAACATGCGCGTTAAGCCTAGATATAGCGGACAGCAAGAGGTCAAGAGTATGTAGGTGGTATTCATCAGGGAAGACCTTAGTCATTACTATTGTCGTTTCTAAAATCAGACATCCAATTTTTCCAATGAGGGGTAAAGAGTGCAATACCTACCTTCCAGCAAATACTCTTGCGCCAATACATCTCGGCATTGGACGACTTGCTCCAGAAGAGGCTGTAGTATTACAGATTGATATGTCTCCAAATCCACCAGCTGGCTCAATCGCACTAAGTTACTTCCAACCAGTAGTTCCAACTCCTTCCTCTCCTGCATTCTGAGCTCCCTTTCCCTCGAATGTCCTTGATGTTGCAGCCTAACCCAGAGTTTATTCATCTCGACAAAATTGGTAAGTATAAAACTAATTGAATCCTGTAGATTACCCTGCGGGCCGTCTCCAGAGCCAGTGGGTAGATGGTCCTTCGCTTGGCCAGACAAATAATATCTCAGGAATAAACCGCGAATGGGATGTTGAACGCCCCTACTCATTTCCATCATATCCTTCATGATCTCTTTTACCGGCGCATCTTCAATGCCCATATACACAGTTCCGACAGTGATCATAAGATACAGGCGCGGGATGATATTTCCAGCGTATTGCACCAGTTCGTATAAATCGGCGAGATGATTGACCGGATGGCTTTCCTTGAGGTAGACGGAAAGGTGGCGGAGGGCGTCATGAACAGCCATGTACAGCTCGTAGTACTGTTTTGGACCAAGGCTAGGCGTACGGAGTTCTGAAACTAACGTCGACCTGGTATTGGGGTGGGGGTAATTTGTTAGCAGCGACATTCTCATATTGGGGTAACTGTCAACGCCGATTGAACAAGCGGGCGCTGTTCCGCTATGCTTCGTTCCTTCGTCCCTCCACATACCCGCATTTCAGTGCGTCCATCAGCTTTCCAGGAGTCTCAAGACATCTTCGCATCATATGCGACTGCTGTCGAACGACCCCAAGGGCATCTTCGAGCAAGCGGCTTTGTTCCTCTGAGATGTTAGGCGGGCTGGCCATTGATAGCAGCAGCGGGACCAATGGGTCCGAAGTTGTTTAAGTCAAGCTTGAGAACGTAAACGAGGCGACAATAGTAAAACTTGACTGTGGGCTTGCAGATGCAGACCCAATGCTCACTCACATCAAAGAGTTCCCGGGGAGACTGATGATGTTGTGCTTGTTGTTGTCTTGTCTAGCCGGAGTTGTATGGGAATTCGTTTGTCTGGCGTTGGTTTGGCGTTGGCGTTGGCATTGGCTCTGGCTTGAGTTTTATGGATGTTTGTTATTCCGGAAAGAGACCCAACCCAGCGCCAGTTGGAACCTCATACATTAACCACGCTTCAGGGTCATTCAAAGCCCATCAGAATTACATATTTCTTCGATTGCTGTTGCACATGGCGTTGGGAGGCTATGCCGCATAATGCTCTTCTAGTTGTCATTTTAGCTATTTAGATAAAAAGGCTCTAATCATAGCTATCTACTCTGGTCAGATGCGGAGTCCCCGCAGTTCGATGCAACGATGCGGCATTAGCTATCTAATATCCAGCAGGATACATGAAAATCCTATGAAAAGCGTGAGATAGGATATCTCATTACCGGGTTGGTCCAGGCCTCTTTGGCTCCAACCGAGCTCACCCAGTCTCCTGTCGTTAGATATAGCGGTTCCGTCGGTAGCAAATCGATGTATATGGACGGTATGCTAAACCAGTGGACAAGGTTTCTCCTTAAGTCCTCAGACAGGAAGATCACAACAAATGTATGAGTTCCGCAGAAGCCCTCAATGGCTAGCTGTGGTGCCCTGCGATTACTGGGACATAGATTAGTGACAGAGTCTGTAGACTTGTTCAGAAAGCTGTCTTTAAATATTTCAATAGGCATTTTAATTCTGTGAAGAAGCTTATCTTAATATCATTATCTATAAATTCATCTCATTACATTCGTTTCATTAAAATAAAAGAAATAGAATGGAGCAAACACATAATACTTCAACTCCATCTCTTTTCATACATGCATACATTCCAATCATATAAGCCATATAATATATTCTATAACACGCTCACAATGCCTCCCGTGATTGCTTTTTCAGTTTCTATGGAGCCCGAAAAGTCTCATGCACCGATAAATGCCCGTCTCTACCTTAGTCACTCATATAGAGAGAGCATAGGGAGAAAATAGGAGAAAGGGGGAGAAAAATTTTGAGAGGAAAAGACCTGGTAAAACGTGGAAATTAAACCCTTCAGTCGAGGCTGTGCATCTCGCGCTTAGCCACGTAGTCGAAATTTCGTCCGTTGTTAAAATAGATCGTAATACATTTCAGTTCATTTTCGAATTTCACCTGAGAAACCTAGGGTTTGCAGTCGGCTGGTTATACGTTCCGGTCTTCGAGATGTGTACCGGCAATGGCATTAGCGATGCCGTGGGGTAGGAAATTGGGACCGCAATTTGCGATGAGTGCAAGGCCAGCCCAGCCGTTGGCCCTGGCTTGTGGTAAGGGTATGGCGGAGGTGGGTATGAAGACAAGGCCGCATAAAAAACGTTGGTCGAAGTTGGGGATGAACATGCGGAGGACGTTGACAGATGTAGAGGTGATGTGGTGACGGTAGGAGTTGCAAGGTACGGTGTTTCACTTGGTGAGCTGACGGTGGGTATGGGGGATTGGGACATAAGATGTAGAGCTGATGCCGTGATGGTAGGAGCCGCTAGGTACGGTGTTTCGCTTGACGGGCTCATACTGGGTGTGAGCGAAAGGGAAGGGGACACAGTTACTGTGATTGTGGAAAAGACAGTTTCCGTAATTCCAAGGGGCGTCGTGACCGGGTTTGCTGGTTCTGTTGTCGTTGTAGGTTTTGGGTCTCCATTAACGGGGACGACTGAGTATCGAGCTCTTCGGGCGATCTCTCGCTGTGGTTTGGGAGACAGTGGGAGCGAAGTCGTCAACGTAGACAACATCGCCATGAACAATGTTGTTAACATGTACAGCCTCATGGCAAATGGAACTGTAGCCAACCTTGAAGGCACTGAAGAATCTGCTGAATTAAAAGATGAAATACCCTAGATTCAATTGTAATGTTGTCAACAGAAGAGAACTGATACGGGTGGAATGGAGCTAAATAAGTGAAGATCGAGGTCGCAGAGAAGAGCAGAGAGAATAAACGCGTCATAAAAAAGAAAAGAAAAGAAAAGAAAAACAAAATAAAAATTAGTATGATTATTGTTCCATTGCCAAATTGCAGAGGTTGGTTAGATCCACTCCTGGTTATCTTGTATGGAGATGGGTGGTTGGGAATTCCCAGCCCCCCCAATTTTGCTCATAATATCTGAGAGAATACACACTGTCACGGTTAATAAAGATGAGCATTCCCACATCAATAAAAGTAAAATCAACAACCTAATTCTGGTTAGAATTTTAGCTGAAGAAATGTTGCATGAAACCGTGGGAATAGCGTATATACTGTTGTTGCGACAGAAGAGAGAGAGAATAAAAGAAATGTCCGGATGGATGTGAGATGTTTACATAATCAGAGGCAATGGTTGCCAAGACACCAAGACAAGCCTAGAAAACTCGTGACTTGAGAGTCGACGACCATTTAGCGTGGAAACCGTACTCGATCCTTGGATCGGACTACAGGATGCTACGTATATATTCAGGAAAGGAATGGAACACTCAAGAAAAGCTGTGATATCGCTCTATAATTGACCTTATCTGATATTATAGCGGTTCTGTGCTGTTAGGAGCTATGGGACAAGCTGAACAACCTTCTCTGATTAGTTACTTTGTTCCGTTATTTGTGAAAAGTACTGATATTCATGCAGAGCAGCTACTCCGTATTTGGCAGGGAATTGAAATTATGTAGGTGTATTTTATGCGACAGAGTAAACATCTTCAATATCTCCTCCAAAGTGGGCAGAAGAATTCTATCGGAGAGTTACATCCTCAACCCGGAGTAGCCCACAACCCATCCCAGCACATGCCCAACCCGCACACTCATTATTCGGGTTCCAAGCAAGTCCGGTAATCGCAGTCCCTTCTTCAAAAATCGACACCGGAAGGTTTCCATTGACAATCCTCCTATCTCCTGTCAGCTTTCTGATCAACTTCGGTATCTCCGCTTTAAACCCGTCGTAGAATTTGCTGACCCCGGGACCAACCAAAGCGCCCTTCTGTTCAGCGCCGCTTTCCACAGTTTTGTCGGGGACCCATTCATGGGTAAACCATGTCTGTTGCCAGTGCTTTTCCTTTGGATTCATCACCCTACGAAGAGGATTTGTGACCGAAACAGTGCCGCTGACATTGCCGGCCAGAAAGGATGGATGGCATAAATTCCCCGAGGCAATTGCGGATACCAAGTCGTAGGTTTGCAATATAGAGGATGTGGAGAAGAACCGTCGGAGTGGCTGAATACGAACAAATTCCGTGTCATCAGAACATATGTACGTTCGCAACAACGGTGAATAGGATACTTCATACGAGCCCAGCCGTGAACGCGAAGCCTCTGTAACGTCGGCTCTGGGATCCAGGAGGGAAAATAGTTTGGTTTTACCGTCCATGCCAGTCGTAACAATCATATGCGGATATGTTGGGTATGACGAGGTGATGTTGAGTATGTAGGAACTATGAACTGGAATGTACATATACGGTAGTGGAGTTGCCTCTGGTTCGTTGACATTGGATGGCGATGACAAGTTCCACACTCCGACAAAGCCATTTGCTGTACCAACAGCGAGGTCACTTGGGGAAAGCCAGCAGAAACAGGTGCAAAGCGTAAATGGTGGTTTGGACACAAAAGCTGGAACGTGGACGTGGACTTTGGTAAAAGAGTTAGCTTTTGATTATCTCGATTAAAACAGCAGTGTTTACGAACCATATTCTGCCTCGCTGGCAGTCTTGTTCAACTGGACATCTAAAACCTTAACAGTTCCATCCCCCCAGATCCCCGCCAAAAGTCCAATATTGACCTTTTCATCAGTTTCGTCTTCCTCTCTTTTTTCACGGCCCATTGGACACCAGGATAAGCGCCTCACATCACCATTATCAGTACATATTACTTGTCGTAGACGCGGCTTAACAGTCATGTCAAGTTGACGAACATCATCTTCTTCCTTTGTAGATTCAAACGACCAAATTTGTATAGCAGACGGATATGGCGCGGACGGTGTAAACGCCGGGGCTCCTTGTGAAGAAGTTCCATCTATCAATTGCTTTTGTAAATCTGATATTGGAACAGCTATCGCAAGATATTGCGAAGTACCTGAACAGTTTGGAGCCCATGATAGACACTGAATCTTGTTCCCTAAGTTGAGAATCCATCCTTCACGGTTTCTCCGCGGCCTACGCGTAGAAGCATTTTCTATCCGTGACATCTGTTCCGCTTCGAGTGGTGGAGACCCATGAGTATCCGGCATTTCAGGAGATTGTCTATCACCTTTTTTCGAGAGTCCTGCCCTCTTACCCTTTGGCCTGATTTCGCTCCATGCTTCTCCAAAGTCAAGCGATTCGCCCACACCCACTTCAAAAACTTTCTGGGACGATGCAGGCCCCATTAGCACAGTGTGTTTCTTTGCATTTGCTCTAGGCAAATACTTTTTACCCTCTTCTGCTGTGAGGGTCCCTGTTCGCTGTCTCTTTTTAAACCGACCACCGGTATTTTCATCATAATACCAATCCCAGCCAGTTGTCGCCTCCTTACGAAACAAGTCTCCATTCACACCAAAGGCAGCTCCAATTTCATCAGTGGACATGTTGAACGCCCCTCGTAAGGTCTCCCTACTGGGAAATGTCACATCTCGTCCTTTAGTCCACCGAACCCTGGCGTACACCATGGGCAGCAGGTCTTCATCGCTAGCCCCGAAAGTTAATTTCAAGTACGTGACTTTAGCACCATGTGCTGACGACTTGTAGATGCCTCTTGAATGGGTAGCCAAAGCATCTTGCTCATCAACACGCCCGATAGGTATGGAGCGAGCCTTTGGCGGCTTATCTTCCTTAATATCAGAGTCTAAAGCAGAGATTAAGTCATCTTCTTCGGCCAAGCCTGTTCAACAAGTGAATAAAAAATTTCCCATACGAATCGATTATTAGGACATACTTTACCTTCGACATAATTATCACCATTTTCTTCGTATTCATCATCGTCATCCTTTCGACGCTTTTCCCGTCGTGTATCTTCAAATGGCTCAGATGCTTCATCCTCTTCGTCACTAAACCGCTCACCTTGCGACGATCCAATCTCAAGCCCCGCAACTTCGGAAACATCCGTCACATATCTAGGAACCGCAGTGCGGCGGCACCTAGATCTTCTGGTTGGCGACGAAGCCATAATATACCGAAACAGTTAGTTGTGTTACGTAGTCAAATTCAATACACATCCAATATAAATATCCGAGGAGCTGACGTGAGGGACTCCTCAACCACCAATAACTTGAAGTTTCCACGTTATCATTAACGGCAGCACATATCTTCTAGACAGGAGCACATCGTTTGATCTGTTGATAAACAGTGGAAGACTTCAAACGAGTGGCGTTGGATGTTCTTTATAGGGTTCGCGATAAATAGGAGATGGTGCAGGTTAACTAGTGCCGAAGGTTTCACCCAACCTCACCCAGAAAACACTCAGCCCTTGTCTCCATCAACGCTCAATTAAATATTCGACCTACCCCAATTCAATTTTTAACAAGACGTGACTATTTTAAAATGGACACAATATTGTATCAAACATGAGATAATTATAAACGTTATTTTAACTATTGCACTACGATTGTCTGCAAAGCCTTGCACACTTTATTTCCGAAATGGCGAATGAATTCGAAGCGGGTCTGCAGCCAGGCATCCTGCACAATTATGTATGAAATCCGCCCCCAGAGGTAGCCATCACTTATATCTCATAGTAATTGAACTGATTAGAGAACACTGCCAGACTCCAGGACTCACAGCTTTTGAATATGTGTCCAGGCTAGACGCTGGAGACCACAAACCCCACAGCCTGCTATTTATTGGCGGCTTAGGTGACGGATTCTTCACGGTACCGTACCTCAGTGATATCTTCGCGGGTCTTCAATCTGGAAGCTGGTCTGTGTTTTCGGTACTTCTTTCCTCATCATATGGCGGATGGGGGATGGGTAGTCTAGACAATGACGTCGAGGAGATAGGTAAATGTGTCGACTATGTGAAAGCATACAAATCCTCCAAAAAGTCCGATCAAGCTACGGCGCATGGCCCGGGCAAAATTGTGATTATGGGTCATTCCACTGGAAGCCAGGATGTGCTTCATTATCTCTATTCCCGTAATCCAGGTCCCCAAGCTTCAAAGCCGCGGCCTGCTGTGGACGGTGCTATAATGCAAGCCCCTGTTTCCGACAGAGAAGTGATCCTCAACGCACTGCAATCAGGAAACGAGCAAGGATCCCCGGAGGAACTAAAGAGAATCTACGATGACCTTGTTGCCGTGGCGAAAAACCAAGGCACAGTGGAGGACAGGGATACTCTCTTACCCCTCTGGAAGCTTGAGAAGATGGGATTCCACAATACCGCCATCTCTGCTAAAAGATTTCTGAGTTTGGCAAGTCCTGATAGCCCTGAAGCTCCCTGGGAGGATGATCTATTTAGTTCCGATCTTACGGATGCTAGACTTGAAGAGACTTTCGGGATGGTCTCTACTCGTGGTCTACTGAATAAATCGTTACTTGTTTTACCAGGGGGCGCCGATGAATATGAAGCCCCTTGGCTTGATAAAGAAAAACAATTGCAGAGGTGGAAAGCAGCAATTACAAAGGGTTCATCCAATCCTCATATTTGGGATCCGAGTAGTGGTATAATTGCCGGAGCTACTCATTCGCCGAGTGGACCCGCTCAAGCTCCGCAACGGGAAGAACTGGTTGCGAGGGTCAAAGCTTTTCTACGAAATATTGAAATGGAGAATTGATATTTACCATATTGTTATTACGTTACTTATTGGCTTGACTGGAATAGCTACCATATTGATAATCGCTTTGAAACTGCGATATGGTAATGGCATGCTAGGAACGGTATTAAATATGCAACAGTAGAATTATAGAATGGGTATTATTTACAAGCAGACGAAGCCATGGTTATAAAATATTTTTGCAGAGCCTCCTGAGAAAACTAGGACACCATTTGACTTTTGGCAACATACAGTCATCCGCTCCCACGTTAATTTGCCAGGCGGAGATACAAATTCAACACATAATGGAACAAGAGAGGGAGAAGTAGGAAAATGAAAGAATTTCGCTAAACCTTCAGCCACAGTGTAAAAACTCCTTTCAGGTACTCCACGATTTCATCACCACCAAGTTTGCTCTCGCCGTAAAGACGGTCAACAAACGTAATCGGGCATTCCTCGACTTTGAATCCCATGGCCTTTGCTCGAACCATCATTTCCATCTGGAAGGTATATCCTTTGCTCTCCGTGCTCTTAATAACCTTTTCGAGAACAGGTTTCTTGTACAATCGGAAGCTTCCCGTCAGATCGCTGACCCCGGGCATCAACATCATGTCGGCAATCAAGTTTGCGCCACGTGAAGTGAGCTTGCGGACCAAATCCCAGCCGTAGACTCCACCACGCAGGTTCCCGCGGGAAGCATATCTAGTTCCAGTGACAATGTCGCAGCTTGTTTCCTTTTGGATTTTTATCATTTCGGGAATAAACTTTGGGTGGTGGCTGAAATCGGCGTCCATGATAATTACGAAGTTGCCTGTCGTGAATTTCAGGCCGTGGACATAAGCGGTTCCAAGACCAAGCTTTCCTTCACGGGGCTTCAGAATGATGTGCTGCGGGCCCCAGAGTGATTGGAGCTGTTTTGCAACTTCAAGTGTTCCATCCGGAGACCCATCGTCCACTATAATTACCTCCCAATCTAGGTTACTAGAAATGATTGCAAGCCAAACTTAGCTTCAATCTAGACATTGGCAAACCAAAGGGGGGATTCATACTTTTCTCTAAATGTTTTCTCGAGCAGCCAGCAGATTATTGGCAGATTCCTGCGCTCATTGTAGGTGGGTAGAATAACGGAGTACTTGTTTTGTGAAGTCATTTTGTTGTTTTGAACCACAGAACAGGGGGGATTGAAGAATTGGGAGACGGAATTCTGTTCCACGACTTGGAGGGTTGGGCGGTACCGTGGGCCACGGATGGGCATGCGGAGCTCTGTTATTCACAAGCTGGACGGCGGCGACATCGGTCAATGAACCGTGGCAATTGACAGCGGATTTTGTTGTTATTGGCGATTGCAGCAGCAACGTCAACAGTTCGATGTTGCTGAGGACTCGGATGTTATCTTATTTCCGGGCAGGGACAGGGGCCGGTCCGTGCGTCGGAAGGGTTAACTCACCGCCCGGCAGAATTGCGGTGCCCAACCAATTGCCATTACGCTTTGTGTGTGTTGTGCCTGGAACGGAACATTTCAGATGTTGCTGGCTCTGGAGGGGTGATATATATATTATCCCAGACCTTCTTGAAGTTGGCAGAGAAGACGAAAATATTGGTGTTGTTTACGTGGAGACTTATTGAGATTCAATAGCGTTTGCTGAAAACTACCCAGACTCCAATACTGAACTCGTCCCCATTTTGTTATCAACAACCATGGAGTCTCCAGGTTCCAGACATCGGCGTAATGCATCAATAAAAGGTACAGTGTTTAACATACATATATCTACTCTAATCATCAAACCGTCCGATTCCAGGCACTAACGATGTTTTCTTAGCTACTCGCCCGCGAAGCGCTACCAAGGGGCCTTTGGATGCGCCAGATGAGTAAGGTTTATTCTACTTTCAGTTTCCTATCACTATGAAATTTGGCTGAGATAAGGACAAATTCAGCGCTGCGCCGGCGGTTACCACCGTCCCCATACGATCCCAATCCCGCACTCCTCTGGGATGCACAAGCGCGTCTCCCGCATCTCTCCCTCTGCTATCGATGTTGTCAATTGACGATGCCCTATCCGTTTCTACGGATAAAAGCTTCGCATACCTTTTACGGCCCGATATCTACCATCCTCTCTCTTTACTAAATATATCACCAGCTTTCCGTTCGGAGATTCCCACTCCTTCTCCGGATGAGCCCTTACCAACTTCCCTGGCCACTCTCGAAAACCTTTTGAATGATGGTCACTTCCTTCTTGCGGCGCATTTATCAGCGGCTATTCTAACGTCATCCGCCCTATCCCACGACGATCATAAGAAGATATTTTCACTCCTATACATTCGCCTAGCTTGTCTAGAGCTAACTGGGAATACCCTTTTAGCGGCACAAGAGGCGAAAGCACTGGAGGATCTAAGTTCGGACTTTTACTATGTTGACATCAAGCCAGAGGCTGAGGGGACATCTAGCGACGCTGGTCAAGGTGTTCAGACTCAGCATATCGTCCCATGGCCCCTTCGTGTCCTTGCTGCGAGATTACAAAGCATTGGATTTGGAGACTCGAGAAAAGGTATCAGTGGCTTGTATGAACTTGGGCTAGAAGCTAGAAAACGTTTATCGCACAAGGGACTTGGACAGGACGAGAGGAAGGTGTGGAAGTCTAGACTGGCAGATTTGAGGATCAGGGTAGTAAATACGCTGATAGAAATGAACGACTTGGACGCTGCACGGAGATCTCTTGCAAACCTGAAAGTCCCACCCAAGGAACAAGCATTAATGACCTCACGGATGACGCTATTATATCTCAAAGTGGGAGATGTCGAAGCGGCACGACAACTGTTGGATAATTCTCCTATTGAGGCAGGAGGTGTCCTGCATTGTTTGTTGTGCATGGCAGAGGGTCGATATGCTGATGCAGTCTCCGGGTGGGAAGCGCTTCGGGCAAGCCACGTTGGAGAAGAAGATGAAGCTCTAATTGCACAAAATTTAGCAGTGTGCTTATTGTATACAGGGAAGTTGAATGAGGTAATTAGCCTTTAGTTTATGATGTTTTGTTTCCATGAGACAATAGTGCGTGCTAACACTTTACCTTGTTGGGTGCATGCAGTCTCGCGAGCTCCTTGAATCTTTGGTGAACAACAACCATTCGTTTCAGAGCCTTACGTTTAATCTAGCGACAATATATGAGTTATGTTCTGAAAGGTCAAGATATCTCAAATCCGACTTGACTGAACGGGTTGCCAGCCAACCACTCTCGCGAATCAGAAATTGGGAAAGATCAAATGCGGATTTCAAACTATAATATTTTGTCCTCAAAGACAAAAGCGCAATATTTGTACAAACAGCTCTAATGCTGGGATCCATTTGCTAAACTTGAAACTCCTCGTCTGTGGTATTCAGATACATTAGACGCAGTCAAACACCGAAACTCCGTGCGCCTGTATCTATAAAACACCATTCACAAATGGAAACTTCTCACGCCGTATGCGGAGGCTCGAACGTATACCTTACCAACCAATACTCCGGTTCCGTGTGATGGTTCATGCTATACAAGATATATATATGTTACCTTTTTGGTTCAGCTATCGGCTTCCTAACCCTTATTAGAACTTTGTCATCTTCTCTCTTCCACCCCAGGCCCTCCCTTTCCACCAACGTTTCCCATGTCCAACCTTCACTTTCTCCTGCGCAGCATTCCACCAAATAGTTCACATCTACTGATAGATATGCTCTCCCAACAGCCTTCAATGCTCGCCTGCGTACACTGTCGACAGCCCAGTTCAACAAGGCCTTTGTATACGCATTCTCGTTCCGTTTAGTCCTCCAAAACAACACCCAGTCATCGTGCATTAGCGCTCTGAGTGTATGGTCCACGGAATTATTGCGGTATCCAAATGCCACTTTTGAGCGTGCCCGGAGCTCATATGCCGCCGGCATATCGCCTTGTCGACAGGCGTAGTCTAGGATCAGATATGTCGTGAATTCGTGCAGGTCAGATGGATCTAACGGATTCGCAGAGGAGTGAAGGTGTTTCAGCAAACGCTGTAGAGGGGGGTAGTACGACGGTGGATGCTGGGCGAGGATCGATACTCGAATACAGAATATATGGACTCGCTGCGAGAATGCGATGGGAGTTTTTGAGCTGGTCGCTAGGATTGCTTCGCGCAGCTTACGGAGAGAGAGAAGAAGCGTGGAGAGTTCTTCTGCTGGTGGTGGAGGCTGTTCTGGCGGAGCAGGGGCCTTGGTCCCATTTGGAGCAGTGGGTTTGCTTGGGGGCTTTGGTGATCGGGAACGGGATCTCGATCTAGAGCCTGGTCTTATGGGTATAGGAACCGGAGGGTTCTTCGTTGGATCTTCGGATCGGTTTCTTGGGAGTGAGCCAAATGCGGCATCGAGGTTCCCCGAATGGACGTTGCAAAAGTGTACATATCGATCTACGATCTTCTTGTAGTACTGTTCTTGGGCCTTGGGTTCAAGGAGCCTACGCAGCATATCGTCAATGCCCGCCATGAAAACAACACATATGCACCCAGGTATATGTATACCCTTGGTTAGTATTTGCCGACCACCTACTTTGTATCTCCTTTGGAAGTAAATCCCACCTGGGCGAGGGAGTCGTTCGATATCCTGCCTGCCCCACCAGTCCAACCTTGCGTGACCTTTGGAGGCCGCAACGTATCATCCATTGCGTGTTCAGAGAGCAGCCTCCCAAGCCGTCAACAAACACTATAGGTTAATCATGACCCTGCGATATATTGTGAGGTGAGATTTCAATTGGAAAATGCCGCGGGGGGAAGCTTCGAGCTTTGAGCCCACAACATCATCCCGGTGTTTGTCCTGTTTGCACTCGCTTCGCAAATACTATTATCCGGCGGCGACCCAACGTTTGCCGAGGCGCAACATCTCGAGGACCATTCCATGATTTGCGACGGCGGGATTAACAATCAACCATTGCGATGTTACCAACGCAACCGCTGGCAAGCTGGGGAATGGGACTATGTCGGCATTGTCGGGTTGATCACAGGGAGTTTCATCCCGAGCATCTATTACGGCTACTACTGCTTTCCCAAATCCCAGGAATTGTACCGGACAATTATATCCTTTGATCAGGACGCGATGCACTATCATTTCGTTCATGCCCACGCTTCAGAACGCCCGCGCGGCGACCGTTTCGTGCCAGCATGTTTGTTGCCATGGGACTGGCGGCGATCTTTCATGTGATGCATGATCTATGAGCTTCTGGTTTAGAGCAGATGTTGGATCAAATCGGACTCTTCTGGCTCGTGCTGCAATGGGGTTTGTACATAGCTGGCGCTGCTATACATGCGGCACAAGTGCCGGAACGACAGCACCCTTGAAAATTTGACATCCGGGGAAGCTCTCGTCAGATATTTCATGTCTTGTTGTTCTTGCGGCTATCTCACATTTAACAGGTCTGCTGCAAGCGTTTGACTATCGCATAGCGTTTTGGCTCCGGCATGTTTATAGACGGTCTGTTTATATGTAACAATGCACACTCCCCTTAGATTGTATATTAGGTTTTGTATATGTTTGGTCTCTGGGAGTTTTTATTTCTTATCGGGAATTCAGATCGAATAGTCGTAATTGTAGTGAGAGTCAAACCTTAAAAAAAGTTAACAAAATTTAGGGCTATCTAAACCGTAAAGACTAATACAATATACCACCTTTTGTACAGTTCACACAGACACATACTCGTAATTCTTGTCTCTTTTGACTCTTCATTGCTGTCGGAAACGGCAACAAAGTGAGAGCAATCTTTGTTCCTCGGCATTCGGCGTTCATTCCGGGTTATTTTGGCGTTCTCCAACACACTCCCCCGCGAGTAGGGGAACTACATAACCAAACACTTTCCAGAAATTTTTAAAAATTCCATTTTGTATTTGTCACCTATATATATATATACCCATTGTTTATCTGCTCCTGTGTCTAAGATACTGCTGCCCTATTCTTCTGTACCTTGCTTTAAAGCTACAAATATATTCTGCTCGGATCACACCAACCCTCAATCACCATGGCCCCTCAAGACCGCATCGCACAGGTGTCCTCCCACCTTAATTACCCGCAGGGCATGCTTGCTGGCAAAGTTGCCATTATCACTGGAGCTGGACAGGGTGTTGGCGCTGAAGCTGCTCGCTTGTTCGCCAACGAGGGCGCGAAGGTGGTTGTTGCGGATCTCGATGCCAGTTAGTAGAATCCATGCAACCAATCTATGCTACCTACAACCATGGCAAGGCAGGCAGGGCTGATGTATATTGAAATTATGAACAGAGAAAGCAGAGGCTGTTGCAAAAGCTATCAATGACGCCGCACCCGGACGAGCCATTGCCGTAGTTGGCGATGTGACGGATGCAGCATATCTAAAGAGGGTGGTTGAGAAAGCTGCGCAGTTTGGAAATGGAAAAATCCATATCATTATTAATAATGCCGGCTATACATGGGATGGCGTTATCCATAAGGTTAGATACTCTGTCCTGCTTCTTTTGTTATGTTACATGGCCACTTCTATACCACTAACATCAGCTAACACATTGCCACGTTATTTCAAATAACCAGCTCTCAGATAAGCAATGGGAAGCCATGCTAGCTGTCCACGCCACAGCTCCCTTCAAGCTTGTCCAAGCCGCATCTCCATATTTCAGAGTTAAGGATGGCGTAGACAGAGTTGTTGTAAACATCAGCAGCACCAGCGGTATCCACGGAAATGCGTCAGTTGTCCCAAATGGTTTCTCCCTTCCTTTAAAATGTTATGCATTCGGAACCCTTTGCTTATTGCCCAATATAACTAACACACTCACAGGGGCCAAGCAAACTACGCCGTCGGCAAAGCGGGGATGGTCGGTCTTACTAAGACCATTGCGAAGGAATGGGGTCCTCAATTCGGCGTGCGTGCCAACACCATTGCATTCGGCCTTGTTTTGACACGGTTGACTTCCGCCAAGGAGGCTGGCGCGTTCATTACAACGCCTGACGGTGAGAAGGTCGCTCTGGGGATTCCCTCTAAGCAGCTGGCTGCTAGAGCTGGGAACGACGAGGCGGAAAAGTACCCAGATATCCCTCTGAGAAGAGGGGCTACTCCTGCGGAGGCGGCGAGGTCGATTTTGGCAGTTGCGAGCCCTTTGTTTAGCTATGTCAATGGCCAGACGATTATGGTTACAGGTGGAAGAAATATGTGAGTCGGCGAGAGATGTAATTTAAAAAAAAAAATGTGGACTGTGATGAGGGTTAAGGGCATGAAAGTGTCTTCTTTTGGGACATGCTTGTTATATGAATGCTAAGCCCCTTTGTTTATTTTTATGAGTGAGTTTGTGTTCCCTTGCGCTCTTGGTCTATGCTAGCTCATTTCTTTGCCTTCCATGTCATGACAGAATAGATGAGGTTGGTTAGCGATCCACAAACCTCAATTTGCTCGTATACATACATACATCCATACATCCATATATATATATACTGGAGAAAAGTGCTGCCAACGGGCCCAGCATCACTTTTGTGCTTGAGCAGCGGAGACCAGATAAAAAGGATTGAATGGCCTGTCGTACATATGAAATGAAACGGTAGATTGGGAATGATGTCCCATTAAAATTATTCAGACAGCACAAACAGAACACACTGCGATAGAGAGACAAGACGCTTCATGTGAGTGTAATGGTGATGTATATATTATGCCTGAGTGCCAAGTCATCAGTTGCGCCACAGTTGAAACAATTCTAATATACAGAATAGAGAGCGCAGTCTAGTGGAGATAAGAAACTATAAATAGATAGGATTCTTTAAGTACAGATCTAAGGGTTATCGACATTCTTCTTCAATGCATCAAATAATTATACAACCCATCAGGTTTATTAAACCCAACCTAGGGCATAATGCAAGTTAACTGTTCACCAATAGATTCAAGTAAAGAGATGGAGGGCTGAATGTACACTAAAATTTCTGGCTGCAGGTAACCATCATGTATGCAGAGTACAAAGGTGAATAAATAAGGTATTATATATGACAGAGAATATAAAAAGTTCTGTTCGCCTTTTATATGATTGCAAGTGCAAAATAGGGATCGACATGGGTATCAGTAAGGCAAATGTACAACAACAACAACAGGCAGGGGAATATGTGAAATAATAACAAGACATCAGAAGATATGGACAAGAAAATAAAGGTACCATCACTTTTCTGAGACGGAATGAAGGATGACAACAAGCAAACACTGTAAAAAAAGCAAACACTGTAAAAACAAGACCACCAAGCCTCAAAACAGACAATCGCACTCCCTATATAAAGGCGCCAAAAAGAAACCCTCAGAAAGATGGGTTAGACATCATTCATATTCGATTGCGATGCACGGATCCAACGCCAGACAAGAATGTTTTCCTTCCAAAATAGAACGAGACCAACCACCGCAGTAAAACATACTTTGCACAAAGTTGTCGCCTTATGTGGAAAGAGGAGTGATTTTTGTTACAATGTGAAAAGGAGTGGGATTGCTCCCAAGAGCGTAAAGAATGGACAGACCCGGTTGCGGAGAACGAGGGAGACGGGAGGGCGACCAAGATAGGTTATGCGTGATAAAAAAAGATGAATGGCCAAAAAAATCACAACAGTAAAGAGGGAAATCCCCAAGTGGATAAATCCAATCCAGATTGAGACGGGACGAGTTTGCAAGTCCAAATGGCCAGCAGATAAAATCCAGCAAAAATAATTGTTGTTTCCTGGTTTGGCAAGATGATTCCTGAGTGATTTTGTATTAGAGAATGTAGGTAATATCCATTGGATATAGATAATCAAATCCAGTACTTGCGTACTTCGGAGTTGCGCCAAGGTCATTAAAAAGAAAAAGGAAATTCGTTCCGTTGTTTGGTATTAAAGAAGAGGTATGTGGGTTCTTCCAAGGAAATTTTTAAGGGGAAATAATGGAGAGTGGGGAATGTTAAGTCACGGGTGTCTCTCAATATACGGCAATTGCGGGTTCCATGGGGTGTTGTCGTGATATGTCCTTATCGCCAATGTCGCTGAGTGGTATAATGGAACCCCAGAAATTAGGTACTCTTGAAGGTGGGGCGTATCCAATTCGATTCGATGCTTGGCTGCAACGCGTATATTCGGATGAAGAAGATGAAGACGAGATAGAGGACCCGCTATCAGAGAGAGAGGTATCAGAACCCGCTGACAGCGAATATTGGACGTTGATTGGTTCGGCTGGAGGTGAGACTGGGCATGGAATATAGTTGAAGAGGCCAAAAGATTCCTTCGGAGATTGGTAGCTCAGACAAGCAGGGGTGGAGGGTGCGGATAAACAAGAAGACCCGGCGCGAACGGTGAATCTAGGACATTCCACAATCAATTTCCTCAGTTCTGGAATTAAAATTCTCTTCTGGGGGTTGCACTCAAAAATGCGCCTCAAGATAGAATCGAGCTCGGGGGACAAGGGTAAGATTGTCCTCAGAAACTGTGGATCCTTGAGAAAGGCGCGGAAGGTGGTATCTTCCGCGGATGCTCTTTTCCATGGATTCCGCCCACAGCAGAGATTTACCAGGATGACTCCAAGACTCCATACATCATTTGGTGCAGAAGCATATGGTCGCGGGTTATATTGTTGGCACTCTATGTCGCAGTTAGATTTAAAATGTAGAAAAACAGAGGCTTTCAATAGAGAAGAGAACTTTTTAGATCAACGGACAGGGGGGATTATAAAATACCTGGTGACATATAGAACGTTGAGCCACATCCAAAATCAGACGTGTAGAAATCAGTCGTGGCAAGGCCAAAGTCGGCCAGCTTGACTGTCATTCCATGATCCGTGACCAAAATGTTTTCTGGTTTGAGATCCCGGTGATAGATTCCAATGGAGTGGCAATACTGCACGGCATCCAAAATCTGGAGAAAAGCCCGCTTGGCAAGGAAATCGTTTCCAACGAACTGACCTCTTTCGGTAATGTTGGAAAACAGATCGCCTTCTGGGCAAAACTCGATGACAACAAAAGTACACTCAAGAGAATCCATTATGCGGACCAAAGAAACCACATTGGGATGTTGACTAGCCAAATGATGAAGCCTGATTTCTCGTTGTTGAAACTTTAGCTGTTTGGGGTCGAGTCCTCCCTTATTGAGGGCCTTGACAGCGTACGGCACATGGGTATGGATGTCGATAGCAGAATACACAACACCATAGGCACCTATCCCAAGAACGCTCGTGAGTTCCAGCCGGTTGGCAAGCAACAATCCGAGCCTATCTTCCGGAGCATCGCATATTGAAACAGGCGGTGGTGATGGTGGAGGTGTTGGTAACATTGTGGGATACATTATACGGGGCCGCAACTGAGGTTTGAAGAGGCTCCGTAAACAAGAGGGTTCCAATATCAACTTTCCCGGGTCAGTAAATATTATTGGTTTAACCTGGGAAACGGAAACCTCCGAATTAAATATATAACTAGGGATCCTGATCCTCAAAACTGTATGGACGGGGTATAATATATGTGTGTTTTGAAGTAATTTGTCAAAAAAGTTTTTTGAAAAGGAATGATTATGGCAATGTAGCCCAGTGATATGTCATCCGATATAGATGCGCGACCAAAGCAATGACAATAAAGCGGGATGTTTGGGCAAATTATTACGAAGAACAGAGGAAAAAAAAGACAGCAGTGTTATGATTGCACAGGTAGATAGAAGAGGTCGGAAGAAGAAGAAGAAGAAGAAGAAGAAGAACAAGAAGAAGAACAAGAAGAATGGATGGATGGATGGATGGATGGATGGATGAGGGTATAGAGAGGCGGATGTATAAGAAAAATGAGCGAGCGACGGAATTGAGGTTGAAGCTAAAGGGTAAAATACGATCATAGTTATCCAAATAGTTGAGAGTTTAAAGTAGTTTTCACCATCGGTGATGGAACTTTAAGGAGTTATGATCTTAAAAGGGGGTCGCATGCGGTTTAGCCGGGGGCCCTTCACAATTTAGAAATAAATAATCCTTAATTATCCACACTTGACACGGCCCATGCTTTCTTTAAACTCCACATAGTTCATCGAGCAAGGCGAATTAGGCCACAAATAAGAGGCAAGAGTGCCACCGCCCCTCTCTCATGGAAACTTTGCTCTTATATCGTTCGTTGCTAGTGATGAGAATCATCGCCTTTTGGGGGAGGGGGGGGGGGGTTGTCAAGCGCTATTCCACAAGCCATTCTCTCTGGGCGAATCAAAGAAAGACACTAAATGTGGTGAGTCGCCAGATATCGGCAAATCCCATTTCCAGAGCCACGCATGATTGCCAGGCTGGGATAATGAGGCTAATAGCCAGCCCGCCAACCCCCCACCCCGCCTCCTCGATGACTTCAGCCGATATGCATATGAAATGTTCGAAGGAGGCTTGGACCCCACAAGCGTGATTCCCTGCCCCAAAATTCTTCAGGTAAAGTTGGGAGTGTCAAATCCTCTGTCCTAACGGTTAGTGAGCCTAAAAAAAGGCTAAGTTCACCTTTTCAGAAACTTTAGGGCCTCCGTAATACGATCGTGTATACTTCCGTGGGTAGTAAATGTAGTTGCTATGATCCATGGAGCCAAGTAGCCAAAGGGCCAAGGACGGTTTACCTTACCAGGTAACTGGAGTAATGTATGCTTCACATAGGGCCAGCGGGGGTCATGACCGAAATCAGTTTGGTTGGTTGCGTGCGTGCGTGCGTGCGTGCGTGCGTAGAAGAATGATGATGTGGGTGAAAATGGATCAAAGGAAGCTTTCCACTGGCTATTATTGGTGGTTTTGACAAAGGAGTCTGGAAGACTGGGCAAAAGGGGGGAGGCAAAAAACTTGGGCTGGGTGGTGGGATTAACCATGGATCAGCCACCAGCCAAGGGAACAGTAACGTAACAAAAGAGATGACACACTACTACTGCTTCCGTTGCTTCTGCAAACTGATGGCAAAATGCAGGCTTTTTCATGCTTAGTGCTTGTCGTGGCGGTTAGGCTCTGCTGATCGAGCAAGCATTTATGAATAAGAGCGAGAGCGTCGAGTCAGAGACGCATAAAAAGCGTAGTTTCCAGCACAAGCTAGCAACACCCCCTTGGAAGATTAATATTAATTACTCTGCTGTTGGATGCTTTCTCTTTGTTAGTGTGCATAGTACGGAAGTACGAAGGTAGTGAGTGGGCTTTGCCTGCCTGGCTGCTGGGAGACTTGAAGCCGCAATTTGTGCACACGCGCTCTGCTAATTGGGGCTTGATACCACGAAGAATGTCCGGTGGTGTTTATATCTTTCAAATATATATATATATATATATATTATATAAATTCCCGATTGCTGGTCGCAGGTGGTGATGATGTTTCTGGTGGCTTGGTAGCCCTCAAATTCAGGAACAGGAGTATTCCCGTAGAATCTGCCACATTTTAGTCGTTTTGACCAAGCAGTTAGTGGCAAGCATCCACGGTCTATGGATTTGATTACTGGGAAAGAATGATGATGATCGACCAGCGGTGTGGTGGTGCCTCTATTGCCTTGGTAACATCCATGCCCTCAAAACCCGATTTCTGAGCTTTCAGTATCACTACTCTTGGGCTTGAAGCTTAAAGACAGAGAGAATGACATCGTGAAACTGTAAGAAGCAGGTGACAAATTCATAAACCTTACTCATGTTTGAATTATTGCCTGAGTGCAATATTTATCCGTCAGTTAGACTTTACTCCACGCACGCAATAGCACATACAATGGGAAATCCGTTTGCAGGCTGACACTGGAAACGAAGGCCTCAAACTTGAGAACCAAGTCCCCTCTACGAGTGATATTTTTTTCACCAGTCACCACTCTCCATGACAAACTTGTTTTGATCATGGCATGTTGTCAAAAATAGAGCCAGCCACTCTTCAGAGAAAATGATGGAAAAAGCAGGAATTAAACATCCAGTTTGTTGTTACGTTCGGCACAAAGAACCGTCTGCTAAAGGGCGACCGAGTCATTTGTCATGCCGTGCAAGAACAGTAACTTGTTAACGCTTTTTCAACGGTTCTCTTCTGTCATTTTTCCATAGCTTTCACCGTGAGCACGCACACTACACTCTGCCCCCCTGAGCCATCCATTCATTTGGTGGGGTTCATAGGCTGCATATGCGCCAAACTCGGTGTATAGATAGTATCGCAGGTTAGCATAGTATAAACTGCCACAAGTATTCCTAGTCCTAAAGTACAATTAATTATTGGTTGCTCGAACGAGAATGCAGAGCACTGGACCCCACGGAGACCGATGGAAACTGATCCATCATCATGAGACTGGTAGGATGGAGGATGTTGATTCTTTGCTTGCATAATTCCCATCCTAGTTCGATGGAACCAGCGCAAATACGTCTCGAAGTTAAGTGGACGAACGACCAGGGTCAACAAAATTAGCACATTAATTTTTACAAGTGGGAGCGCTATCATTGGGCGGAGTTTCTGCCGAGACTGCCGCGGATGTTTCCCAGCCTGCCTGAGACCAGCCGCTGGGGGGTTGTCCAGTCCCCTGGCACCGCTCCATCGCTAGGAACGACTAGTCGCAGTCAGGTGATGGGGAAGCGTTCTGAAAAATACTGAAGGCTCATGATCCCCAGGGAGGAATATGGAAGGGCGCTAGAACGACATGCGTTATTGCGTCTTATTTGCCCGAACCCTCCAGGGTTATGCTATTCTCTTTTTATTTCCCCGAGTTGGTGGTGGCAAGTTGGTTGGGCTGTTGGGGTTGCTGTCAGACTCTGAGGGCTTGCCTCCCCACGGAAGTCCTTTTCAGCTGCCTTTAAACTTATCAAAGGGCTCTTCTACTGGCAATATGGTTGCTGCCTGGACAGTACCCGGATGCATTGTTAGTCTGTCAAAAAGGGGTGCGATGAAGTTGACATTGAATGTTCCTTGGCTGGTGCCGATGGTCCGTCCTCCCTCTGGCATCGCTTTTGTATGTCTGAGTTTAAACCTTCCTTCGCCATCAGAAAGACTGGCTGCTGTTGCTGAAAATGGAATTCTCGCAAAACTTAATCAGGCTGCGGTCGAAGAAGCTTTGATATTTATCTGATTTACCAGGAATAGGAGTTGGGAACTTGATCTCTGAATGAAAAGCTACTTGTGTATTTTTGGCATTAGCCTCATCTTGATCAGGAGAACAATATAACGTGGCGCGGTTACGTCATCCCGCTCTTACCAGACCTCTGAGTCAATCAACGCCCAAAACCAGTGAGTTGTTGCTACAAACTTCTCCAGGGACTCCAAGGCGATGGATGAACTTAATATCACGTGGGAACTTAGCCACAACCTTATTTTAATCTGGTCACATGAGTTCTGTCGGAAAAATGACTGGGCGCAAGTGTCTCTATTTTCCACGTACTTAAAGTTTATCGCAACTGCAGCGTCTGGTTCCTCACACAGTCACGTTTTGAGGGACAATCAACGACTGTTGAACGAATTACAAAGAGTCCTTATCTCCACTCTTGGATGCTCCTTGGTATGGTCCAAGAATAACAGCAGACATCAGATTTGGCTCATCTTACCTAGATATGATTTGAGGCTCTCCAAGGTTAGAACTACAGGCAGCCCTTGGAGGGTAGATACGTATGTCCCTACCAAGTTTTGAGTAAGTGTACGGCGTAAAATTGCATAAAACCCTTGCATCTTCCTGTGGATTCTCGAGGATCTGTGTATCGATAATAAAATCATAATGGATAATAAATATTAATTAATAGTGTCCTAGCGCCGTCATGGTTGATGGTCCGCGTCATTTGCGGCATGGCAGTCAGCCTCGACCTGGCGGTCTAGGTGGGTACGCTGCTGACACTGCAATCCCCAGCAAGGCGTTATCATGATTCATTCCCCTCGCGCTGGTTGCATGAATGGAGCAGTACGACTCGGTACGGAGGAATGAATCGGTTTTGGCAGAGATGCCTGTGAACGAGAAGCAAAATTAATCTATGCACTCTGTACAAGTATGTACCTGTATGTATTGTACACACAGACGCATCCGAAGATCCTGGAAGAGACAACCGTGTGCCATCCACGATTTGTTCAACAAAAAAATAAAGAAAGAAAAAAGAAAAAGAAAAAAAGTGAGGCTGCAGATACGGGGTTGGATTCTGGAGTCTCGAGCCTGGAGTGATGTGGATTGACAGGGCTGCGGGCTGTCTGGCTAAAATAAGAAACCTGGGAGGGCTGGTTGGTTTCCGCTAGCGTGCTCTGTGACCTGGAGTGCATTGAGCGAGAGTTGAAGGCTATGAATAAAATAAAGTAACAAATGGGCCAGCATTGAATGCACAGACGTCTCGCCCAGGATTTGGCAATAATAATAATAATGATGATGATGATGATGGTGGTGGTGGTGGTGGTGGTCTGGAGCAGATCCTCTACACAAGCCTACCAACAATCCACAAGCCGCCGGCAATGCGTTGTGTGGATGTGATATCATGCGCGCATTGCAAGCCAGTCAGGATCCTTGCTTTATCAAAATGGAGGGAGTCAAACTTTACCAGAGCGCATTCCGAAGAAGCATTCTGAAAAGAAGTTGCGAGAATTTTCTGGAGATTGCACCATGGGGTAATGGAGTATTGCTCAGCGATTCCGTTGGCAACCGCTCTCTAAGTATCCTAAAAAATAATGATGAAAAAGGACCTGTCAACGAAAGGTTCAACTTTACTCCCTGTCGAAAATAAGTTCTTTTTCCCGGCTGATTCTTTGCATGTCCCCCCACCAGCCCCGTTATTATTCCCATGTCCATGTTCTATTGATCCCAGGAGATTTTTCGAAAACCCGCCGACATACCAGGATGTCCAATTAGTTATCACTTGCAGTGTTCCAGAACTAGTCTTGGCCACACCAAAGAACAGTTTTCTCTCTCTTGTACCTCAAATTTTTATTTTTTGCTTTTCTTGTCTCTTGACTCTTGGCAGGAGCAGTTGGTGTCGTTGGACTGGAGGTTTGTTGTGACATACCCTGGTCCCAGATATTGAGCTTTACATGCAAGGATTATTCCCAGCTCCTTACCATGATTATTCCGTGGTCAACCTGGCCAAAAACAGGATTCACCTCCGCGGCTAACGCCGATCCTGTAACCCAGTAGTGGTGATCGAGTTTCGAGCACTGACGGAGATTTTTGTCAGCGCAAAGAGACAACTATAGGAGGGTCAGGCCGAGGGATGTTCCAAGAAAAATTTGGCTTAAAACTGCGTTTCTTGACAACAAGAGCCTTTTTCTTCATTGGGATCTGCATTTATAATGGTTACCACTGAACGGAGGACATGCATCCATGAAGATCTCTCTTTGAACCAAAGGTTTAATGATTTAGATCCAACTGGGATAAGGCACGGTGTACATTGTAACAAGGGGTCACTGAGGAAAGATGAAAATCACAATTATATTAATTTCTTTAAACCCATCATCTTCTGTGAGTCTGCCTTGAGCAACATTTTTTTGGTTTCAAAATGATCGTCCGGCATTATTATCATTTGGAGAACTATTGTGTGATCTGGTCTATGCTCTCTCAATGACATACATACTTGAAAAACTTCAATTAATTCCACGAGGAATTGAACAATTTGCGGAGGTCGTCCACTTCAGCTCCGAGCCATTCCGCAAAAGGTTAAGAACCTCTGTCACCTAACGTCCAAAAAAACCTGATTGCTGTGGTGGTCAAGATATTGGTCGAGAGTATGGGTGTTTGGAGCAAACTTTGGAAAAGGCAAAAGGCATTACAATAGTATCAATATCATCCTGGCTCGCTCGTGAAACCCTGAAACGAAACAGAGAACCGACACAGGTTTCTGTGGTAATCATGATGGGGACACGGGCTGAATCCAAGATGTTTCGGTTCTGCGAGGCAGCCAACGCTTGTTTGTGACCAACAGTTCTTCCGAAACGCATGTGTCACTGTGAGCAAAACCTATAGAAGCAAATTTGATGTTTCACTTAATTTGTCTATAGGTTGACTCCAAATCACCAAAAGGTTCGGTACCGGAAAAGGAATTATTGACATACTGGATGGCATCCAAGCCTTTTGCAAAGTTCAAAAGGTGGAGTGAATAGTTCGCCGATACAGAAATCCTTTCGTGTGAAGTCTCGGGACGAGCGATTCCCGAGGTCTCATACCAGGGATGTCAGTTAAACAAACTCTCCTAATGAACAAAACTCGACTCCCATAGGCAAACCCAAAAGTCCTTTTGGCTGGTTCGATCACTTGGCATAAAATAATTACTAATTTTAGGTTTTATCAGAGCGATCCCAGTGCTCTGGACGCTGGACTCTCTCCCGAAAAGGCCAATGGCTTGTTGGGTCTAACCACCCTCCGTTTGACAGCGTTTGACAGCAACAAAGAACTATCAAAAGCGCGCACGCACATGGTTATACGGAGTATTTAATGAGTAGTTGTTGGGTATCCTAGCCATCCAACCAACCCTATTTGATTTTCCGGGATAGGAACATATTGTTCTTCCAAGTTTGTGAAAGACAAGCCACCGAATTTTTTTTTAAAAAAAAAACAAATAAAGTTAATAATGAGGTTCTTATACTAGGAATAGACAAAGACAGGGAGCTCCAGTGAATACCTTAGGCAAAATACCCATGGGTTATTGTAGTTCAGTTGACCGTTGTTTCTCAAAAATGTGGCAGTACTGAACATCTATTGCAGACAATCAATCCCCTTTTGTTGAACAGATTGCCTCTCAGTTGCACAGGGAAATAATAATCAATGCCGGCAGTGAGCCCTGCAGGCGACTTGGCAAAGGATAATATACGCACGCCTTAGCGATCTGTGATCATGAGGTTCTGAATTGTAGGGATATGACTCATTTTTGCAAGACAACTTAAAGCATTAACTCTCTAGAAACAAGGCAGTGAGACTGGTTGTTGTCGGCATGCACAATCTCTGACTCATTGTCCAAGTTCTTTGCATATCAACTTTGATCCTTGGGCACATTCGAATAGATTACCATAGAGACAGTTGGCGGAGGTCGAAAGCGATGGGCATGTGAAGCGGCTGTATTTGAGGCCGCATAATCGAGAAGCAGTGAGAGTGCCCCAGTTGAGATCGAAATAGTTCTAACCATTTTGAAGCAAAACCTCGATATTAATAAACTAGTTAAGCGGGAACTAAAAAGCTTAGCTAGCTAACGTAATCTACCCCCCGAGTCGGGCCACCAAATTCAAAATACTTTCAATATCCTAATTAAACCACTTCAACGTGCAATCATGCCACCAATTTGTTGTAAAAATGCTAAAAATTCTCTATATAGACAGAGCGAAGACTTGAACTCGCGATAAATGCTATTGAAAAGCATGAAATAACCTCAATTCGTGAAGCTGCATACCTATATGAGGTTGCCTCGTACTTCTCTGCAGGATCGACTTAAGGGCAGGCCTGCAAGGGTGAATTTACGCGCAAGTTCAGTTAAACTAGCTGAATCCGAAGAGAATCTGCTAGTTCAGAAGAGAATCTGCTAGTTTAGTGGATTCTTGACCTCGCAAAATGAGGAATACCCCACCAGCTGGCATTTGTTGAGAATAGGGCTAATCATCTTCTTTACCCTATGGCATTCCACCTCTACCCCTCCCCGCGTTGGCAAGAACTGGGTCTATAAGCTGATTAAATGATGTATGGAGCTCCAATGCCTCCATTCTAGACGCTATAATCATGAGTGAGTAAAATGTGAGGATATAAGGGTTTTTCAGGACTGGTTTATGACTCTGGGAGATATAATTGCTGAGCGTGGGATTCAAGCTGAAGATATCTACAACTTTGATGAGACTGGATTTGCAATGGGGCTCTGTGCAACTACCAAGGTCATCACCAGTGCTGAGCGCTACGGCCGGGCAAAGCTTCTACAACCAGGAAATCGAGAATGGGTGACTGTGATTGAGGCAGTCAAAGCGTCGGTCTGGGCCCTACCCCCGTATGTGATTCTCGAGAGTCAGAATCTACAAGAAGGCTGGTTTGACAGGCTTCCAGATGGCTGGAGGCTTGATGTTAGTCCTAATGACTGGACTACAGATGAGATAGGACTTAATGGCTTACTAGGATATTTATTCTTGCTGCAAATCCACGCAGGATTTGCACTCACCTTCTTCTTATTTGGAGGGGCACGGCAGTCATCTTACCCCAGAAAAGAGGTCTACCTGCAGAATCCAACAAGAAGGAGGTTTAACTAGAGAGGAAGTTCAGGATCTAGTTATTCCACCTGCTGAGTCTGTTGAACTGTCTATCATTCAACCCCCTGTGCCTCCGCCAGCAGAATTTAGACCACGCACACGAGCGCCACAGAGATGCAGCAATTGCGGCACGCTCAGGCATACAAGAATAAATGCCCTGGAAACTAGTGTAATTTAATCCAATTTAACTAGGGGTTTTTGAGCATAGATATTTCGGGTTAAAATTTAGTTAATTACTGGTGATTGTGGTGGCCTCGGAGGATTAACTACGTTAGTTAACTAACTAATCACCTACCACAACACTGTTCCGTTTCAACCACCTGAATCCACCAAATCATTCAATATGGCCACCAAATCAAAAGATCAAGCTTCCAATCAGAAGGGAAGGCTTCTTTTAGCCATTAGTGCTTATGAAACTAAGCTATTTTCAAGCATGCGAGCGGCTGCCAAGGCGTATAATGTTGTTCTCTCAAGCCTATCCTACCGACTACGCAGTTCGAACCAACCACGCGAATTCTCAACAAGGCAATTGAAAGCTGATCTCAATTGAAGAAGAATCTCTAGTTCGATGGATAATATCCATGGATGAGAGAGGTCTATCCCCCTGAATCGCAAGCATACAGATATGGACATTCAACTGCTAGACATGTATGGAATCTGGTTCATCACCTAACAATTGGAGAATGCTGGGTTCGAAGATTCATTCAACACCATGATGAGCTAAAAACCAGACTCATACGCAGATATGACCATCAGTGAGCCTTTTGTGAAGACCCAAAGATTATACTTGCATGGTTTAGGCTGGTGGAGAATACCAGAAAATATTATGATATTCTACCAGAGGATATATACAACTTTGATGAAGTTGGCTTTCTTATGAGGGTCATTGCAACAACATGAGTGGTCACTAGACCTGAAAGACCTGGAAAGGCATCTCTTGTACAGCCTGGAAATAGAGAATGAGTGACTGTGATTGAGGCAGTCTATACAACGGGATGAGCTCTATCTTCAATGATTATTCTCAAGGGCAAGATGCATCAGACTTCATGGTATGAGGACCTGCCTGCAGACTGAGTGATTGAGGTTAGTGAGAATGACTGGGCCACTGACCAGCTAGATCTAATGTGGTTGAAAGGGGTGTTCTACAAGCATACACAAGCTCGACCAGTCGGCAAATATCAGCTTCTTATTCTAGATGGTCATGGAAACCATGCCACAGCTGGATTTGATCAATTCTGCATGGAGAATGCTATTATACCTTTTTATATGCCACTGCATTCATTAGATGTAAGCTGTTTTCCTCCTTTAAAGAAGGAAATATGGCAAGCAGGTTGAAACAGGCATGAGACTTGACATCAATCATGTGGATAAGGGATGAGTTCTTGGGTCTATGTGCTGTAGCCAGAAAGGAGGCAATGAAGGATATGGCTATTAGGACTGGCTTCAAGGCCACAGGCTTAATGCCATACAACCCAGAGGGGGTTCTTACGCGCCTACAATCTCAGCTACATACACACAGTCCCCCTGGCACATCTCATGGATCTCAGTCTCCCTGGATCCCAAAGCCCCCCTGCAATGTGGCTCAATTAGAAGGTCAGTCCGACAAGATCAAGCAGCGTATCAAGCGCCGTACACAAAGCCCTTCTAGTCCAACCAATCAAGCCCTAAATCAACTGGTTCGATGGTGCCAGCTAGCCATGCATAGTGCTGCTATTCTGACACAGGAAAACAAGGTCCTATGGGCTGCAAATGAGAAGCAAAAATGCAAGTGAGAACAAGGACGTGCCTACATAGCTCAGGAGTGTATTTTAAGAGCAGAGGAAGGATTAGCTAGGGCTCAAGCTGCTCAACAAGCTGTGGAGGGGGTAATGGAGGATTCAAATCAGCCTAATAAAAAGCGAGCACCAGCACGCTGTAGTAAAGGTGATAATACAAGACATAGAGCGCCTGCATGCCCATGGGTTAGGGAATAATGTCTATAATTTCCTATGTGTAATTCCATATAATTGTTGCTTGATTTGAAATTCTTTTACTAATTAGGTAGGTGATCTGTTCCTGTAGGTGATTCGCTTACATTAAACCAAAAGTGTGTCCTTTTTGTATGAACTTCCAGATATGCCATTGATAGATAGCCTTGCCAGTTCGTTCTGACATGACTTGCAAAATTGCAACTTACATACCAGGAAAATTCCCAGCAACTAATGTAAGGACAGTGGATAGCGTCAAAGATAAACCCATACGATCTGCGGAGGAGATTCGTTAAGGTATCTATCTCACTGGTGCTACCCAGTTATGCAGACGGCTAACCGACTTGATTGCCTGACGATGTTCAACTGCATCTCGGCAGGGAGAATGCCCCATTACACTACCTGCACAGGGGGTCAAGCAAGGGATTGCAGTGACTGGAGCGTATCATGCTCAGTTCCGTTGGGAATCGGAGACAACAATACGTTATCCACGTCTACACATGCTAGACTTAAACAGATGGATGGATCTGCTAGTTATATTCACAGTACTAATTTTCATTCGTTCCATTGGCAATGGCAATGGCAATGGCATTGGGTGATTCCCATGATTGAAGCAAGGCTTTCAATCCCCAATCATTATCCTTTTCAAGATAAGACTGAGCCTTACATATGCTGTCCCTAGAATACTGTTCTTGCGCATGCTCCACTACGGCCTCTTCCAGGGACCACACCTCTCGCTCAAACGCAACAACCGCACGACCGGAGGGTGAAAGGGAACATTAGATACCAACAGATGTCAGGGGGATAACCCGAAAGCGAATGCGTTGTTTGGTAGTTCAAGAAATGGAAACATATGAAAACGTCCACTGGTACTGGAGAAGAACGAGCACTTGTTTGCAATCTACGGTGATCAGTATGGCTGCATCCAACCGCGCGTAAACAAATTAAAATTTAGTTGGACGCAATATATTTATTGTAGGGCGTTTTTGCTTCGCTTACCCGGGTAATTGGTGTTTCCGTATTTTGATTATATGAATTTACAGTCTTAAGCATAAGGCTTTCTGATGGTCTGTAAGAGCTGCCCTTGACATTAGCCGGGACAGGTTTCTGTTCAAGTGCAAAGCCTTTCCATCACTAGAAGCTGCTGGTGTCGCTATCTAACTAACTACCAGTAAGCTTTCCTATATATATACGTATATGGATCGGCGGGAAATAAACATGATATTACTCCAGTCAGGATGCTGAGGGAAATCAATCTATCAAGGCATTCACACCGGACAGAAATCCATTCTCTGTGACTACGGAGAGGCCATTGGGTAGCTATGTTAAAAGTTGTAATTAGAATACCTGGACGAGAGACAACAGGTCTGCTTCATCCAGCGATATATGTATTTGCAATGAAAGAAAAAGAGAGAAGAATTGAATCCACGCCCACAACACCATGCTACGTCTAGATTTCCACCCGACCTCCCTATCCCCCATCCCCCTTCAAACTTTATTTCGAGTGATGAACGGGTGCTTCAGTGCTTCCGAAGGTGTACACCTCTTCTCAGGATTGATGTTCAGGCACCGATCCAACAAATCGGTAAAAAGCGTAAGCTCCTTTATCTCCAAATCACTCAACCCTTTCGACCCTTTCCCCATCAACCTCGTTTTCAAATCTCTCGTCGGTTTCTTAAAGTCCACAATTCTCGTCACCATCCGGCCAGTGACCTTATCCTCTTCCACGCTGCGGAAGTTCAAAAACTCGTCGAAATGGAGATAAGTAAAGGTGCCCCGACGGAGGAATTTGGGTGGAAATTTACCGCGGCATTCCATTATGGAGCGGAGCATTTGATTGTTAGTACGGCCTGTGAAGAGGATCTTGCCTGTGTACAGCTCAAAGAGGGTACAGCCAATCGACCACATGTCAATGGCGTAATCGTAGGGGATCCCAAGGATAATTTCGGGAGCGCGGTAAAAGCGACTGACAAGATACGGGGTTATCTCGTTCTCGGATGCTGGAGATGCGGAACCGAGATCGCATACCTTGAGAAGGTTTCGATTTTCGTTGACGAGAAGGTTGTCTGGTTTTAGATCTGCGTGCAAGATATTGCATTTGCGGAGCAGGCTGAGGCCTAGGAACATTTGATGCGCGTATGTGCGGATAGCACGGAGATTGATACCAACATCACGACCGAACTTCTTGAGTACCTCGCGAAGATTCATGCTAAGATTCTCGAAGACAATGCAAAGATGGCCTTTATGGTCGAAATGCCTTTCAAATCGGATAATGTGTTTCTTGTCATTTGGGTCCGCTGCCAGAAGCTGTTCTAGTAATTCTATCTCTTTCATCCCGGCCTTTCTCATCGTATCATTATTGCGAATGATTTTAATGGCGACGAGCTTTCCTGTTCTCGAATCCGTAGCACGAACCACTGAAGAAAACATGCCCTTGCCCAAATTTTGCTGCACATGATACCGCCCATCTACGAGCTCCCCCAGCATGACATTATAGTAACCTTCAGGGTCATCCCAGTTGTCCATCATACTCATATCGAGTTCCTGTGGTATACTTGGTTTAGAAATGGCTTCAGGTGCTTTAGAGGCAACAGGCACCTCTTCAGCGAACATATCATCATCATCTGGCGCAAACATATCTATATCTGAAACGTTTCTAGGTTCGCTTTGCCCTGGGGTTTCCACGATTGGGTTCGATACGGGAACGTCTTGCTTTGCTACTTTAGTTTCACCATAAACACCAGATGAGATATTTTCACCAAAATGCCTTTTGTCATGACGCATCTTATCCTCGCGCATGTCCTGGGTGGGATCGTAGTCGTAAGAGGATGGTTCCTCCTTATCAACACCGTTTGCAGTTTCAGGATTAGCATTAGCAAGGTCCTCATCCCGCGAAACTTTCAAATCAGTAGGAGAGGGAGCACCGGATATATCGTCGGGTGTCTCTAAGGGTGTATTTGGACGGGAATCTGTAGAGTAATTAGCCAGAATGCTATGATCGTTTAACTGGAGGCATAACTGACCTGCTTTGTCATTGCGAGACGAGGATTGACCTGAATTCTGTGGTGTAGAGTCTATCTCATTCCCAGCTTCCAGGGCCTTGACGAGGAGAGGTGTAGACTGATTACGATACTTAGCTTTGATGGCTTCACGGCGCTTTCTGCGTTGTTCAATCAGTGTAGCCTCATTGACAGGCTCTGGTGGGGGCTCATTGGCTTCATTATCATTGCTTGGAGCAGACGTACTAGATGTGCCGTTAGAAATAGTTCTGTCTTCGGGAGGAGTGACATACATATCCGATCTACCCGATGTAACAGCTGTGGGTGAAGATTGTCGCATCTGATTTCCTCGAGATTCAGCCAGTTGTCTCTCTTTTCGAGCGTCACCTAGGGGCTTCCCCCTCTCGCTCACTAACTGTTCAGTAACCTGCCTTCCGCCACCAGTGTAAGATTGACCATTCGGGTCACGGACCCTGGATATTCTGCCACTATCATTATCTCGTTCATCACCTGAATATTGCTTCGGCTTTCTAGTATCGCGGATCGGAGATCGGCTTCGAGTCCTAGGCCGTTTCCTAGAATCGTAATAACTGTCATCTCGATCGAGATCGTGATACGCTTTCCGGCGCTGTTTGGCGCTATATCCATCATGATATCTATCATCATATCTTGAAACTAAATGTTTTGATGATATCGTTCGGTCACCCCTTCCAGAGTCTTCAGCAAAATTGCGGCTGCGTTTCTCGGCCCTGGATCCACGATACGGGGAGCGGGATCTCGACCTCGATCTCGAGATATCACGATGGTACGATCTGGGAAGCAAGGCGGGGAATCTCGGAGCATAAGTACTGGTTCTGGTATTACGGTCAACGTTGATGCCATTAACAGAAGTCTGCGACGTAGTTGCCTTCGTGTCTGAGCCTGATTCGATGATCTCACCCTCTGAAGGGGTCGATGGAGACCTCGACCGATGCGACGCCATCATGGCGATTCAAGAAGCAACAGGGCTATCTTCGACCAAACGTGGCGGGACGAACTTGGAAATGGTGATATTTTCGGTTAGCAAGAATTCAATTCTCGAAGTGTCAATGATGGTTTGGGTGATGGTGAAATGTCCAACCCGACTAGATATGTCCCAAAACCACACGGCGCACCACTAGGAGCAACCCATGTGGTGGCTAACGGCAAAGCAAGGGGAAGAAAGGCTATTAAAAAGAGTAAAAGAGTTCCGATGGACTTGATGGTGATGTGATGGCGAGGTGATTAGAATGAAGCTTGAGTCTGAGGTCTAAGATCTGCGTGCGAGGTACAAGAGCAGTTGAATGCCAAGACAGTCGAAAGACACTAACCATATTGGGATCTAGCGCAGCGTCCGAGTTCTGTGGCCTCAGCCAAACTTTTTTTTTTATAAAGCCAACTTCAACCTTCAGTCAATCATGCGAAGAGCCATCTTGGCCAACACGGTCCAAACCCTGCGAGGATCAATCTCTCGTGCTTGAGTCTATCCGTCCGGAGCACACACGTCAGTTCCATATAGAACCCTTAGCAAATGGGTGGCCAAGGAAGAGAGGGTATGTATCGAACCAATAAGGCGCTGGCTGTATCCGGATAATGTCCAGATTTCGATTATTGGAATCAACACAGTTCCCCGCCTCTGTTGCTAATTATTTCTCTAGGCGGAAAGGCAAAGCCTCTGAAAGCCCCCAAAAAGGAAAAGAAAGAGCTGGATGAGGAAGATCTTGCATTCAAGGAGAAGCAGCGAGCAGGTAAGGAACCTGTCTCTGTTGCCATTTGTTTACCATTTATCCTCCTCCGGCCTCCCTGTCCCCCTCTGTTTACCCTCTTCTGGTCAACAGTTATATGGAGGCCATTTCGCACTCACCCGCAATATATACTGACTTAACATCCAGATGCCAAAGCCAAAAAAGAATTAGCAGAAAAGGCAAAGGGGAAAGGCCCCCTGAACTCTGGACAGCAAGGGATCAAGAAGTCCGGGAAGAAATAAAAGAATACAAATAGCAACGGACCAACCACACTCACCATCCATTATTACCGCCAACCCATCTTTTGACACATAGTTACACTCGACCCAAGCGAGCAATTTTTGGGAAAGCCAATCGGGGTCGTGGTCAGGTTAACGCAACAACTCCCGCAGTTACGAATACACGAAGGAATGCAAGATTTGTGGAAATGATGAATGGCGAGAAGGCGTCTACTGCATTCGTGGAAATACCCCAAACACCCCGTCCGATACTGTACAGTTCTGACGATAAAGGTTCTATTTTTGTGAGGGTAGTTTAGGTTTATTTGCTTTTTGATTTTTAATTGTAAATTTATTTTTTATCTCCCGCTTTTTCCTGTTTTGCCTTAGTATTTCTATGAGACTAGTGGTGTTGAGACAACAATGCTAAAATAGAGAGTTACTATTGTGATTTTGTCTTTCTAGTCTTATCAGAGCTTGGGTAATCTTTTGGTGACGAGGATGGAATGCTGCGGCAGGTTAAGATAAATTGCAGTCTCCCAGTACACATGAGAAACCCTTGAGATTTCAGAAGCAAAATCAAACAAGTGGTAAAAAGGGCAAAGGTATCATCATAACAGTCACTAAGGCCAAACAATTTAAACCATAACAAAACGCCCAATAAACCCTCACAAACCTCACAAGACAGGGACGAGGTAAGCCAAATATGTCAACATGCATAGAAGGAAAACATACAAAATTATCCACTAGAAGCTCCTGGATACCAAAAGAAGCTCAAAAACATGTGGGGGTTGGGAAAGAGAAAAGGTAACAAACCTGGCCAGCCACCAAAAAGAAAATAGGGGGAATATCGCTGAACAAAGTTAAAACAGAAAGTGGGAGAGGAAAGAAACCCGTTAAGCAAAAGCCACCCAAAACAGACACAAAAAAAAAAGACTCAGTAGTCCTCAGTAACCCTCTTAATCCAAATGCTAGATGGCTGATAAAACTCCTCCTGATCCTGCTTCTTGCGCGCCCTCATCAACTTCATCCCAACATCATGTTCCTCCTTCCTAATCTCCAAAAGTTCGTTATTCAAACTCGTGACAGACTTCTTGACCTCGCTTCTCGTCGCTATGTCATACGCGATCGAGCTGGGCTGTATTACCTGCGTCAACTCATGGATGATCGTGTTGATGTTATCCTTGCGTCGGGCGAGGTCGTTCATCTTAGCCTCCATGGCATCGATGCGGTTGCCCGCTTCCATCTCCGGCGGGCTGCGGGGTAATGTCTTCGCGGTCCACGTTGACATTTCTGAGGGTGTGGGTTTGCGTGCCATGACTTTGGTGAAGGTTTGTGAGAGGGGCTTTTTCTTTCCTGCCGCCATGTAAGGGACGGGCGGAGCGTCTTTATCAGCGATTCGAGGGCGGGGTGTTCCGGGTGGGCTGTTTGCTGGTTCCGTTGGTGCATATGTAGTAGCGCTAAAACGGCTTGATGGCTGTTGTTCTAGATTTATGTCTTGGAGCATCGTGGCAAGATACAGGCCTGGGGTTGCCTGGTGGATCGTCTTGGGGGCTTCAGATTGCGCCGGTGGCCCGCTCCCAGAGCTAGAAGCAGGGGGGAGGAAATGTTTGGATGATGTTGTGGTATTGTTACCTGCTTTTAGAGGAACGACGGGTTTAATAGTAGGAGTCACATGGTCACCCTCTCTTGATATAGACACGGTAGTGGTCGGGAGCATTTTTCGTTCTACTCCTTGACGGCTATCTTTTCGGGGTGGGAGTCGGGTTTGAATACTCAGGGGCTGTGCCCGTAGCGCTTTCTTGGTCTCTATAGGGTTAACAATGGCAGTTCGTCCACTTGCACCTTTCCATGGCTCTCGAGGAGGCGGAATCCGAGCGGGATCATCCTTGTCCACCTTAACATCTTTATCAGCTTGGCGCCGCCCTTCCATAATTTTTTTCCTTGCCTGGTTCAATTCTTTCCCTTTAGCACGGAAATTAAACCCCTGTTTAGATGTCTGCTTGGTCGTCGGACTCTGTTTCGTGGCTATACTCCCAGGAATAACTTGTGCAACCTTGCCCTTTTCACTTTCGGTGGGCTCCCCCGAAAAGTCGTCCCATCTTGTGAGTCTGTTTGAAGCCTCTCTTGGGGACGTCAGCTTCAGTCTTGTGGGTGGAGGAGGCAGTTCGTATGGTTGAGAAGGCGCTTGCACTGTTGTGTTCGTTTTGGTGGGGACATCCTTAGGGGGAACAGGCAAAGCGGTCGCAAGCCGGGTTTCTTTTGGAGGCGGGAACTGCGGAAGGGGCTCGTCTATGGGAGATACATCAGGACTTTCGCGATATCCGCTGGGTATAAATATCGGAGAATTTGGCGGCGAAATATCTGTATATTTGCTGTCACGATACCCGGTCTGATAATTCTTGTGGTTCCCTGACGGGTGCGTATTGTATCTGTTTGATGACAGATCAGGTTCAGGTTGTGGATATGAATCGCGTTCCGAATATATTGATGAGGTCACTGCAGGTCGTGATGGAGGATTTCTCCTGAGGGTTGTCGGCTCCATTGATTTACTTGCGAGTTTAGGTAAGAAATTAGTGAAACTGCTGTGGCTCGCGGTCGCATAGATATAACTATTATTGGGAGGAAGAGGCAAGTAGATTGATAGAGGATAGAAATTGGGATATTTACTCACAATGGTAGAGGGGGTAGGCCTGGCCCGGAATGATGACCCCTTTCCTGCCGACTGTGGCTATCGTTGGCGCGGTGCTCACGATTAGCGGGAGTATTGATGCTTGTCATGTTCCGGAGGGCAGTATTATCGAATGTGGTCGCGAGTAGCGTGGGGTTGCCAATTTCTCGCTCTTTAGCAGATCGATTCTTCTTCCACATTATTACTGTTCAAGAGCAGAGGAGAATTGTTGAATGTTCAGGCAAGCATATTTTTCCCCTGATATCGTAGTTTAGAGAATGTGGAACTCTGTTTAAAATAACGGGATTGAAGAAACTTGGAAGTAACAGCAGAAATTAGGGTTACGGTCATAGCGGTCATAGTAGAGTCCTCCTGGTAGAGTGTCAGTATTTTATTCACGCATCTCGCCGCGAACTGGTGAAGCAATGGCTTCTCTAGCCCCGGAGCGGCACAACCCTTTAATTTGGAGACAATGGGTCCGAATTCGAGGATTATGTTCACTTACCTACGTGCCTGGGCCAATCAACACGCGCTAAAAGTGGAATAGCAACTCGTCATCAAACCCAGGGCTGGGCTAATAAGAAATTATCATAGTCAAGGTGTGTTGTCCACGGGCACTCCGACAAAGACCTTGAAGACGAGCCATGGCGACTGTTAGTAACCAATTTCTACAGTCACTGAATGGAAGATCGCCAAAGACACAGAGTTGAGCAATCCAGGCCAGTAATAAACGTGCTCCATGGTTTAGCAAATGTTTGATAAATTGAGAAATATTTATTGTATGAGATACCCCGGACGATTGAGTGTTGAATGGAATGATAGGCTTCGACAAAAGCAGATGCACCTCTGTCTCACGTGGTTTCAGGTGTAATCATGTGATATTTGCCGATTGGCTCTGCTTTCTCAGCCCTGAAAATGCGGGCGATGGACAATGGTCTTGACGATGAGGACGAGGATGTTGTCGATTTGCCTTCAAACATCCCCCAAAACCCAACACTAAGTCTACAGACTCCAAGTTGCAGCTAACTTGGCATCTGGTGCTGAGAGCTTCAAGATGGCAACAGGTACGCCCTATTATTCTACCAGCGTTGGTTTTAAACCGGCTAACTCCCGCGCCCCGTCAATCCAGATACTGCTTCCCCACCAGCTGAAGTGTAAGTTTTTAATATATGAACTTTCATTATCCTGACATGCAGATAATGAGGTTTCGATTGAAACTACCAGCGAGGAATGAAGAGTGAATTGTTTAAAAAAAATAGAAAAGAAAAAAAAATATACTAATAACTAAACAGTGTCTCCATCGCCTCCCCAATAAACCTCATCCTCGTTTCCCTATTCGTTCTCCTGGTATACTTCCACTTCCGCCCCCGGCAACCACTCACCCTCCCCAAAGGACGTCCCCCCATTGTCTTCCGCGTTTTCACCCCAACCACTCTTCTCCCATACAATGGCAAAGATGGCAGCCCCGTCTACCTAGCTGTGCGCGGGAGGGTGTTCGATGTCTCCTCTAGTCGCAATTTCTATGGTCCAGTAAGCCATACAAATATAGATATCCCCGGAAGAAAACAATCAGACTAAATAATGAATTTGTTACACACGTACAGGGAGGTCCGTATGAGAATTTCGCCGGCAGAGATGCAACTCGCGGATTGGCATGTCAGAGCTTTGACGAGGATATGCTAACGAAGGACCTCAAGGGACCGCTGGATGATCTAAGCGGGTTGGATGCGGAGCAGATGGAGAATTTGCACAGCTGGGAGGTGCGGTTTCTGGAGAAATATCTTGTCGTTGGCAAGTTGGTTGCCGAAGGGGATCCCGAAGCACCCAAGTCCGGTTGATTGATAATATGCGGTTGGGTTAAACCAGTGATGAGTGAGGCGGAAACAAAATAATTATTCAAGTCCTCCTTCTGCTGCGCGACATGATGAAAAATTCTTTTTGTGGTTTTGTATATTCCTGATGTCCCTTAGGAGATGTATGTATAATGGACTGTCTTTATTTACAGGTAATTTTTTATTTGACGAAACTACAGGATTTTATCAATTACAGAGATGGCATGACAAAAGCGGTTGGGTGATTCCTCTGGGGCGTCACCGCAATGCGGACGGAACTCTTTCTTGAAATTCTGTTATCGTCTTCCTCTGTCTACATCCTGGGCTAGTGCCTGCTTACGTTGGTCCAAAGGAGGGATATGGGTGGGATCGAAAGATCAGGGAGAAAATAACTCAACAAAACATGCTGTGTAAGTCATCAGTCAACTGCTCTCGAGTTATACACTTCCCGCAAACAACCCCAATACCCAGATGAAAGGGACGTGCAAGAAAGAAGTCTGTAATTTTGATTACAAACTACTTTCCTTCAGCAGTATCCTTGTGCCTGTCCATGGTCTATATGTTTGCATGAACAGTACCTTCAATATTGGGATCATCATACAATTAATCGATGAAATCAATCCAATGGGCAACTGAAACTTAATAGGTAATGGCCTCATTCGAAAATGGAGTTAACGTGCTAACTAAACTACTTTTGACAAATTCAATGCCACAAGCAAGGAGCAAACAACAGATGAACCCCCAGGCTGAGAAGGTAGGTATAATAGCAATGTAACGGGGAGGGGGAAAGCAGAAAAAAAACATTAAAATCCTTCTTGTTTGATTTTCTCACTTCATAGAGCATATCATCATTAAAGATCATCATCACAATACAACAGGAACGTAGCGCAAGCAGAAAATGGAAATGGAGTGAATCGAAAACAACGCGAGAGCCGATATAGAAGCAAAATGGATGAAGGAGCAGGCAAATGGGGAGTTCAGAATTGTCCACCTCATACAACCAACCCTCCTCAACGCTCATATACACGTTACTCCCAGGACCTAATGGCCTAGAGAGTTTTATTTAGAGCTCATCGGCCACCCGTCTAGCAGTGTGAGAAATCATCTTCTTGAAAGTGTCCGCAGTCTTTTCACCTTCCTTTCTTCCACTCAACGCGCCGATTTTCAATTGGTCAAATGCCCACTGCAGACCATTCTGCAACCGGGAGAAGAGTGTTGGCTGCGGCTCCTGCTTGAGGATTCCATAGCGGAAGTAGTCAGCATTCCGCGTAGCCTCAGCGCGCAATCTGTTCATGTTCCAGGATTTATGTTCCTTGACTCCATATGACTCGAGATACTTTTCCAAATCGTGCCGGGACCAGGTGTTGAACGCGGCGTCTTTGACATTCGCTGCCTGCTTTGCTAGGTATTGAGTGACCTTTGCAAAATCCGCCCCACTGGTTTTTGAGGCTTGTGCGAATGCGGACTGTGCCTTTCTCACGAGTTCCTCGCGTGTATATCCAACATCTTTCATCATTTTTTGGTGTTGGGAAGAGAGATATTTTCTGTATGCGCTAAGGGTTAGCATGGCGATCGATAGTAATGGTGTGCTAGAAACATTTCGTTTACCCTAGATTTTCCTTGTTCCAGGTATCAAATGTCCAAACCGAACCTCCATTCATAGCTTTGTGTCTGTAAAGTCGCACTTTGGCCACAAGTTCATCTCGTTTTGTCCCTTGCGGAACTGGCACACCCCGTGCATCCAAGTAAGCCTTGAGGCGCGAGTCAGACCATTGCTTGATGGCTGCATTGAACATGTCTTCCATCTTCAACTCTGCATCCTCTGTCGCGCGAGCAAATTCATTTCCGGCTTTCGAAGTGGCAGCACCATATGCGCTAGAGATAGAAGATGAAGGGCTGCTGATCAAGGAAGCGCGGTGCTTGCGTGCAAGGGCAATAAGCTCATTGCGTTTTGACCCTTGAGGAACCTTGATTCCATGCTCGTCGAAGAACTTTTTGAAGTCAGAGTCCGACCAGGAATTAAATAGAGCCTCCGTTAATGTTTGCTGCGCAGCCTTAGCCGATAAAGAGGCCTCCGCGGCAACCCGCTGAGCTTCTAGCCTAGCGAGACGTGCATTACGACGCACAGTGGCAATCAGTTTATCACGAGTTGATGGTTGGGGTACGTGGTATCCCTGACTGTCAAGATACCCCTTGAGGTCTGATTCCGACCATTGCTCGTAAAGCCAGTTCCCAGGATAGAATGTGGTCTGTCCAAGTTTTTTGGCAACTGTCTCGAAGTTTTCTCGAACGGTAGCCAAGAGAGTATCACGCTTCTTCGGCTGAGGACTAGGAATCCCATGCTTATCTAGGAAGGCCTTCAGTTGGGAATCGCTCCAACTGAAAAATAAAAAAAATAAAAAAAAATTGTCAGGCCGTTTATCATCCGAAACAATAGTTGTATAAAGCGCATACCTGTCAAAAATCCATTCTTTCGCACTATGCAAAGTGTCGGACGCGTGCTCCGCAGTGTGTGATAAAGGAATATGAATGTGCGATTCCCAATTAGTTTTCACGAGTTCCTCAAGATCCTTACGATCTGCTGGGGTCGGATATGGGATATCTATGTGGATATTAGCAGAGATTCACAATGGTTTTCGTGCGGCGAAAAAATCCTGAGAAACTTGCCGTGGTCAGAAAGCCAGCGTTCTAACTCGGTTTCGTGCCATCTGTTATAGACTGTTAAAAGCACCTCGTTAGCTTTCCAAATGTTCCACAGCCGCTAAACAGCAGACATTGTACAAACGCTAGTGATATAAACACAACCTTGCACCGCATGGACAGCAGAACATACCAGCCTTGGTAAACCAGTTCCTTGAACCCGTCGTTTCCGTCACAGCTAAAGCGAATACAAGGCCCGTAGCCCATGAGAATCTCATGTTGGGCCTTCTATGATAAATACGCTCTGTCGATCGAGTGGCAAGTCGGTACGAATGACAATTTGTACATCAACAGCTAAGAGTAGACACAAAGTTCTGATTCCACGATATGGGGCGGCGGACAGGACTTTATAGACAAATTGACAGTAACAATGTCCTCTTATTCGAGTGCTATCAATAAGAAGGCAGCGACCCGATCTCAGGAATATATGGCAACATAAAGGCAGGTGTTACTTGCTTGGCTCCCTATGACTGAAGTGTGACGTAGTGGGATACAGCAACTGGAAAATGGGAGAGGTTGACAGCGGGCGCGAGAGATTCCCTGAAAGTTGTTCCCAGTTTCATGCGAAACCCATCTTTTTAAACAGCTAGTTATTTAACACCACTCCGATTTTGCCCCTTACTGCAGCTCGTTCCATCGCAGCTCTACAGGGAAAATATTCATCTTTTCAACCGAGAGAGGATTGATGTCGTCGAGAGTTGAACTGTGAGGAGGCATGATGTCATTTTCACGTGATAGAAGCCGATAATGTTGGAGCCTAGGCTTCCTCTTGCGGACTAGCGCCCTGCACGTGGCATTTCCCACCCAAAAGTGCGGCTTTGATAGCTGCCCAATCCAGCCAATCGTGAAATACAGCCAATCAGAGGGCAGGATAGGTGCGTCTTGACGATAGCTCAGGTTATCTCCGCAACTTCAAATTCCTTCCGGCTGGCCGTTCAACTCCCTCAGTGCTATGTAGAGAGATAAAGGTTAGAGGCAGAATCACAGATACTAAGTTCCAGCACCCAACCTCTTCAATGCTCCTCAGATCCCAACGCCTATGAACTCGTCTCCAACAGCTCATCATGAACATCATGAACGACCCGTTTAGCCCGCATTGTAAAGAACTGGCCTCGCCAAACCCGTGGAATTTCTCACTTTCGCTGTAAGGATTGGCTGCTGTAATTCTGATATATGTCTGGTTTGAGATTGTGGCTTTTAGGGAGGCTTTACTAACCCATGCGATTTCTCATAGAGGAATTCTGTTCGGCATTTTTCTTTCCTACCTGCCACAGCTCTACAGGATCATCTCCCGACGGTCTTCCTTTGGCATATCGCCGTATTTTATTCTACTGGGAACCACATCGGGGACGTTTGCGTTTACGAACATACTTGTCCTGCCAAGAAGTTCACAGGATATTGCGTGTTGCAGAGAGCTTAATGGATTCTCATGCTTTGCTGGCTTGCTGGGCATACTCCAGGTTGGAGTGCAAGCGCTGTGCTTCTTTGTAGTGTAAGATAATTCCCAACCCTTCATATAGACACAGATGAGCTGTGGCATCATAAGAAACAAACTGACACAATCAACCCGTCTAGCCTTTCCCTTTTCATCATCTTCTTTCCCCGCTCCATCCCTTCACATGCCGTCAAATCCTTATCCACCACAACACCCTCTTTCCGTATAGCCCTCATAGTCGGCGCAATATGCGTTATCCAAACAATTACCACGGCCATCGTTGGCATAACCGTTGTCGTTGCGCATCCAGACCAGCGTCAGTTCTGCGCAAACGTATTCGGAATTATCGCAGCAGTCCTTTCCTCCATTCAATATTTCCCCCAGATCTACACAACATTCAACCTACGCCGCATTGGTAGCCTGAGCATTCCCACGATGTGCATCCAGACTCCAGGTAGTCTCGTATGGGCCGCTAGTCTAGCAGCACGACTCGGGACGGAGGGCTGGAGTTCGTGGGGTGTTTATGTGGTCACAGCTTTATTACAAGGAACCTTACTCGTGATGGGTATTTATTTCGAATATATCCAACCTTCAAAGGCAGATAGCGATATCACCACTGAGGAAATTTTGGAAACGGAGAACGGTGCTAATGGGACCGTTCTCGCGTCCAGCAGCGAGGAGATCAATCCTACTGAAGAAACCCCCCTACTTCAAAGCTCAGCGTAGTTTGAATCGCCTTTATTAGATATATATATCTGCATTTCAGATTTTTGAATACCCAATAGAATATCATTTTCACATGAGAGGCATCGCGGCTGTATATGTCCTGCCTATTTTCATATTCTCCTTTCGGCCAGGGCGCTGGACAGGATGGTATAAATTTGGTCCGATTCTATCTATGGACATAACAATGTTATGACCAGAGAGCTTATACAATTTTTCTGACCCTAGAGCGCCTTTATCCAGCTGCAATTTCTGCAGGATATTCAATGAACCAGTCCATAATCCATAGCAACAGGGGACGTCGAAAAGAAAAAAAAAAAATGCACACTTTCCGTATCCATTCAAGACCAGCCATTCCACCCTTGAAATGACTGTGCAGTACCACCAGAGTGAACTCGCTCAGTTCAACCCCTCTCAAAAAAAAAAGAAGAAGAAGAAAGAAAGAAAACAATATCGAACAAAGCATCCTGGCTATATTTCTCCATCAACCAACCACCTACTCACCTTCGTTCTTAAAACTCTCAACTTCTTCCTCCAAAGTACGGAACTCCTCCTTGTGATCAATCTGAGAGACAGCCCTATCATACCTTCTTTCAACTTCCTCGTTATGTTTCCTGACTTCTACCTCGTACTCCTCATCCCTTTTCAACTCCTCGGGGCTTCGATCCTCCTTCGAAGGACGCTTGGGATGCTGTGCATCTATGCCACTATGCTGGTATTCGTCGCTGAGGGTAGGGCGCGCCTTGTTGGAAGGGATACGGTGTTCAAAGTCGTCATTGAATGAGTCTGTTTCGGCTCGGTCTGGGGTTACTTTGTATTTCCGGTGGTAATGTTCTTCCCCTATTGCTTAGAACTAGTTTAAGTATCTAATTCTTTACTTTTCTGTTTACTTTGTAGTTGGGGGGTGGAGAAGTGCTCACCATCGCCATGACCATATGCTGGACCCCTCTCCTTTGCACCATCACTCTTCCCTGATGATCCTTCAGAATATGCACATTTCCCTAACCACCGTCCAATGTGACCTGCAGGTTGATTCAATGCCGCCCCTGGAGGCGACAATTGCGGGGAGAATGCTTGAAGCCGTAGCCCTACTCGGGGAACAACTGTCCGAAGTAGCTGAATCATTCAAATGTGATAGTTTTGCGTCCGTTGTTTTTTTGTTTTATTCTTCGCCCCGTACGTTTTTTGCTGAGTCTGCTCAGTTCTCTCCGCTTTCAGATGTAGAAAAGGATGCGAGAGAAGGGCGAAACTTATATCGAATTTGGGTTGTTTTCTTCTGTTCATTCATCGAACTCAACAAACTGTTGGAAATGGGTATGAAAAGCTATTAAAACAGGATAGAGGTGCAGTAAGGAATATTGCCTTTCTTCTTCTTCTTCTCCTTCTTCTTCTTCTTTTCTTTCTTTCTTTTTTTCTTTTTTTTCTTTTTTTTTATCATTCACTCCATCCAGCCCACAAGAAAAAGTGAATGAGTGGGAGATTGTTTTTTCTGTTGTCTACGTGTGTTTTTCTTGTGCGAACATCAGCCCATACCCCGCCCCACCCCACCTCCCCAAAAGCCTTAACCCTTGTAGATGAGGTCAAGCATTCACCTAGGGACCTAGCCATAAAGCAGCTCTGTCAAGTAGCATAAGTATCAACTGTTGATCACTCGACTGGTCCCTCGCGTGACAAGTGATGTATGGTATGGAGCAACAGCCGCCTAAGGGTGAAGCTTTCGGGGGTATCTAAGTACGTAGAACACCACCGTTTCTCCTCTGTTCCCTGCATAGTGGGCAACAAAAAGCGGAGCAATATAATATTTGAACATATTTGCTTACATTTCGAGAGTTATTTGCTCTTTTTTCAAGCTGGAGAGCCTGGAGGATTTCAGCGGGTCTGTGTGGAGGCAAGGACTGTTTTGGAGATTTGAGATCGACGAATCGTCGTAGACACCAGAAAATTACACCCACAAACAGAATAACAGATCAGTGGGGCAACAGTTAGGCTAAATAAAAAGGGAGTTCCCAGCATCGAGCGCCACATGACTTTTTTATATAGCAGAGAACAATATGGCGGTGGTTAAATAGGTCGAAATCACTCAAAACGACGACGAAGGCGACAGGGTGCCATATCTCTACAATGACTTACTGAGCTTTTTCTGGACGAAATAGGTCACTGCAGGAAAGGAGCGCTCATTTCTACGAAGTCAAGAGCAGAACCGCCGGTAAACTGTTGAGGCAAACATGGTTGTTGTTTACCTCGATTCTGTGGTTAGATCCACAAAATAATGAGGAGACAAATGACGTCACTGGTTAAATAAGTTACTGACCCCTTCAACTACAATAAGTAGCTCGGAAGATAGTTTATTTAAACTATTTGGTGCCTGCGCCCAAGTCTCATAGCTATAGAATTTGCCATGACACAATATCGGTAGATTGACCAAAGACACGCATAAATTGAAAAGTGGAGGAGGTAGAAGTTCAACGTTGCTCTATTTTCCCTGGTGCTGAAACCATACTCCAGAATTATCCAAGTATATCTGATTATTCCAAATGTAAATAGCATACTTCGTCAACTGAGAGAAGTAGATCCGCTATATAGTTACATACGATAACAGGAGCAGAGGGAGAGCACACTGCCACATCCAGTTCATTTACCTCTTGTTCGACACCCATCAACACCTAGCAGTTCTTGTCATTGTTCACTGGACAGCAACGCCAGCCTAATGTTCCCCTTCTTATATCCAGGAACCCTGTACCTAAGTATAGGTAAGCAATCCGAAGAAAGGGGAAATAGCTATAGCGGAACTTATTCATGCGTGTATCAGCTAAAGCTGGAGTGAAAGTGTGAGACTGACTTGAAGTCTGAAGGGATGAAAGAAGAATGATATATAATTATAGATATATTTTCATATATATACCTCTGGCGAAAAATACAGATAGATATATCTGCTACATGTATGTGTATGGCGGGCTGGGTAGATTACAAGTGGATGTGGGTAAGTTGCCAGGTGGAATAAACCTGACAATCCTCGAACATGACGATGTAGAATTCATATTTTTCTTGTTCTCCTTCCTTTCCCTTTCTTTTCAGTTCCCCGAATGTCCTAGGTACTGTACGTAGATCTCAGGACCAAGTAGAATAATAATGAAATTGGAAAATGAGAGATGATTGATGGTGGTGATGGTGATGGAGACATGTCCGATATAGAGTCACAGCATGATCCTCGGAAAAGGTACAACAATAGTGAAAAGAATAAGGGAAGGCAGAAGGCTGTATCTGTAATAGTGAAGTGTAACAAAAGTAATAATAATAATAATAATAATAATAATAATAATAATAATAATAATAATAAAGAACAGAGAAATGGTTGAAAATAAATAGCAGGAAAAATGATCTGAAAAAGGGATGGAAGAGACATAGTTACCCCTTCAACGAAATATACCTTCGCATAAAAGACAAAACGCTAATGCTAGGAAGGGGGAAAAAAGGACTAAATAATATATATGTGAAATGAGACAACACCGTAAAATAGGAGATAGATTAATTCTCCCCAACCCAAACGCCTTATTTTTCTCTCTTTAATTTCCCACAAGCCACACCAATCCTTCTGTCCAGCAGGCATTTCAACGATGGCTCCACTGACAGACGCAAACCTTGTTCTCGTCATAGTCTTTACGAATTTCTTCAAGAAGACTTTGTTTTCTACTCAGGACATCGAACTTGGCCTTGCTGGACAGTGTAGTTTCGGTTTCATCGACGGGGACCCGCGATCCGAGAGGGCCCGATATGCTTCCATCATCCATCACCTGCATTTGCTCGCAGTATGGCGGTATGCCATCGACGGATGATCTTTTTTCCTCCAGTTTGATCCGGCGAGGGTACTCCATGGGTGGATCCCCGCGTGGCTCTAGATGTGAAGACCGTTGATGCAGGCTGCGGTGTCCTTTGCTGGGTGCTGGAGTTGCGGTAGCCAACGTTGTAGCGGTATGGCTGAAAGCAGAATAATTCGGGTCTGTTGAGCTTCCCATTGTCATAGAGTGTTTGATTGGTTGGTTAACATATATGAAAAGCTCTAGGTATGTGCTATTCCACCAACAAAAGTAGGGCCTGTCGCTAGGCTTCGACATTAATGGCACTGTCTCTTGAGCACGGCGGAGGAGCTGGGGTCCATTAACAGCTTGTCCAGATGGAACTTGAGGGAAGTTAGACTCGGGAATGATCACAAGTTTATCAAATGGTGTAAAAAAAAACAACGCTGGTCCGAGTTCTGGTTCTGTTTTGTCAAGCATCAATTTGAGGTCGAAAACTGTATCTACCAGCGATGGAGCTTGGGCACCATATACGAAACTACCGCTTCGCCTGTAAGATTCAAGCTGAAGGTTTTTTGATCCATCTGATTCTTCAGTCAGCAAACAAGGAAATGAACCTTGAGCCATGCATTGCCATGAAGTTGCAAGGTCTGCGTCAGTCACACAGCTACTGGATGAACGATATAGGGAAGAGGCAGGTATATTGAATTTGCCTGTAGGAATGGGGAGAAGTGAAGGTGTAGCTGTCAGATGTGCCGCATCCAATATGGTGGTAGCCGTCACTGTCACAAAAACAGAAGTAGGGCTAGTGAGATGTTAACTGTGGAGTCCTGAAAAAGGTGTGTGCTGGCAGGAAAATTTTGCAGTCCTTACCGAGTAGTTCCCAAGGCTGAACTAACACTTGCTCCGCCGGCTCTCTCTCCCCGCTTGTTTCCAACTACTCCTCCAACTATTCCACCAATCACAGCTCCAATCAAAACCACAATGGCCATGAGGACGATAGTCCATATTTGAACGTTGCAGCATACCCTCCTTTTCCCTTTCTCCATCAACGTTTCCTTGATAGTACCGCTTGGGTCATCTGCTTGCGGTTGCGATGAGGCGGCACCTTCCTGTTCAGGCCCATTTTCATCCAGCAGGGTTCGCGAGGATACTCCCGACTCTGTGGGGACAGGCATGGTAACTAGGACCTCCTCGGGAGACGTACTGCTATATTCATGTGCTCCAAATTTTTGGGGTAGACCATCTGGATATCTTGTGTAAGGGGGTAATTGCTCAGCATGTCCATCTGGACTAACAATGTCCCCAACTTCATCTGCGGTTTGATTTTGTGGTTGAAACGCCTGGCCATGACCAGGGAATCCCACAGGGATTGAGTGTGCCTCTACATCTTCCTCCTCCGGAACAGTATTTTGAGGATACAGGCTATACGGATGTTGCGGTGGCACTGAGTCGACGTTAGTCCGTTCTACGGGACGTACTGTAGACGTGGAAGAGTTAGACGTAGAACGACCCAGCCCAGTGGCTTGGGGATACATGGCATATGGATGGGTGGGCCTTGTCTGGCCGGTATATGGACTTAGGGCTCTAGGCATAGAGAACCGTGAGGATATACTGATGCTTCGATGTGCGACGGATGAAGGAGGGTGGGATGTAGACGAGGCAGAAGACAGTTGACGGGTAACAGATGAGGTGATGGCATTGTTGGAGACATTGGAGGCATTAGACATACGATTTAGTGAAGGTTGTTCAGGTTGAGGAGGATCCGATTCCGGCTCTGGAGAATCTGACCTTTGCGACATTTGCACTTGGAGGGAGGCAACAGAGTCTCGAAAGGGACTTTGGTACAAGGACAACCCACCATGCTCATCCTCCAGAGTTGACGACGAGCTGGAGGAAGAGTGATCGGGCTGTTCGTGGCGGTTTAGGAGCAGATCTGGGTTACCAAAGGAATCCAATGGCTCGAGAGAAAAGGCATCACCGAAGACGTCTGTGGCAGGAGACTGTTCAGTGGAATGTTGACCAGCAGACAGAGGAGACCGTGGGCGAGGAGGTCTGGATGGAGGAGAGGTGTTGTGAATTTCTTCAGGTGATGGTGATAGCGCAAGCCCAGACATAGTGAGTGCACTGCCCACTTGGGGTGATGGGATCCCCTCCAGTTAAGTGCCACCAAACACTACCCCAAACCCACGCCTCTGGCGCCACGAAAAAGGTGCAAGGGAGCGTTGAGCAACAGACTAATGAAGAACGGTGGAAGATATCATGAGTAAAAGAAAAGCGGGGGAGAGGAGGGACCTCGACGACCAAGGTAATAAGAAGAGGATTGGGGGGAAGTAGGTGGAGGTTGGTTCAAGGTTGTTTAAGTGAAAAAGTGATGAAATTTGGGTGTTTGGCTCTTGGGACGGGGGTGATGGGGCTTGATTGTCAGTGGAGGAACCTTAGTAGCTGACCTGGCCTAACCATGGCAGACAAGTTACCAGGGCCCAGGAACCACAACGTTTATTTCTATACTTTTTCTTTTATTTAACCAACTGGTTGGTTTACGAGTTAACTAGTTAGTTAATTATTTCCTAAGTACTTATTATTAACGACTCTTGGGAATATTCATATTGAGCAATATGACTTCCCACTTCACCGATGGCTATATTTTCGGGCTTCCTGTGGCTCAATTCTCCAGCATCAATAAGGAGCGCAGTACGGAGTACAGGTCAGTGCGCTTAGCAAACGGACCGTAACCCTAATTAAAGCTAAACTCAATATGAAAAACTCAAGCATCGCTTCGATGTAATATTTTGGGGGTGGCACACTCACTCTCTCGACTGTATGCCCTGTTCAGGAGAACAAACATCTATGGTGAGTGTAATTATCTATTAATTATAGTACTGTTGATATCAAGAGCAATATGCACAGTTCTGTACATACGTCACATGCTCCGTATATGGCCAGCAGTAAACTACACTTTTCATCTCAGCAATTCCTACTCCGTATATCCTCCACATATCCCCCATAACTACCCTCTAAATCTCTGACTCAATGTCGTCTAGATTGAAATGTTCGATATCAACATACCGCATGGATACGCCCACTCCTGCTAATTACCGCCATGTCGGCTGCAAGCAGCCGGGCGTCATACTGCAACCTTACACTAGTTAACTAACATACACTAGGTGACTAATCAGTGCTTAAGAATATTCCGGGATGGAGTACGGAATATGGAGTAATAGCGTCATTCTTGAGGAAGTGAGGTTAAACTGGTATTATAGCGAATTTGAAAAGGAGGTTTGACTGAATGGTGATATTTCGGGCCAACTGACCATTTGGCCGCGGTTTATCTTTTCTTGCTCCCAAGTAACAGTAAGAATTCTTGTAGCAAATCAATATCTTTCTAGGAGGTGGTGTGTTTCGTTCTTGAAACCAACCAATTTTGACTCACCAAGACCCCATCAGCATTTAGCATCTATCTTGGTCCCCGCTCTCGATGACACCCTTTTTCACGCCTTCATCCAACAGACAAATTGCCAGCGCACCACCAAATCCTTGTAACAATATTTCCTTCCTGGAGAACTATCCACCTTTGGGCCAGGGTCAAGGACAAGAAATATTCAGGGAACGAAGACTCCAACGGCCAATGATAACATCTAGAGGGTATATAACTGCAGCGCAAGGTTTTGATGCCGTTGCAGCGACAACACCAACTCTCTCCGGGGGGCTATCTGTCCTTTCCGGCCCTATATCGAGCCCTTTTGTTCCGTGCAGCAGGAAAAATAATTAACTAACTTGAGGGTCTGGAAAACAAGCTTTGTAATTTCCATTCCCGATCGTCACATGAAACAGAGTATATTTCTCATACTTTTTGGAACTATCCAATGTTCAGATATGTGGATCATGGAATGGAGTTAATCTTCAACTGGTGAAATCTTGAGCTAGATCCCTGGATTTTAATTTCGGGAGTCAAAGGAAAATATATCTGCTGAGAATGTGAACATCTGAACATTACTTTGCTTATTTCCCAGTATTCCAAGGTGAAAAAACGAAGGAATCTATATTTTCTCAAATCGGAATCAAGATGTTATGACTCTATTAGGATTCAGTCAACTTTACCAGTTATCTTCAATTATATTTTTTACTGACCTTTTGATGCTTCTGTGCAGGTGCTAAAAGAAGTTGAAACGTCATTCAATAACTATGTCATAAGGATGATTTTCACTCTTTGCATATTCCCTCTTCACATGCACCTTCAATATCCTGCTGAAAGGGAGACAAGTGCTATGGCTCTCACTTTTCAATTTTGAATGTGTTTAGAGGTAAACGTGTAACTAAGCTAATGTAACTGCACTACTTCTGCACATGTATGGACTCTGAGCCCAGTACTACCAACCTGAAACACCTCTATTTAATTGCCTTACACAATTTTCAGCACCTAGATATGAATGTTGAAAAGGGAGTAAAACTTAACAGCATCTAATGACTTACAAAGCTTGAAGTAAAGAACACATCCGGTGTCAAAAGTTTTATGTTACATGATGTGTTTTGAAAGAGCAGAAAACCCTCATCGGTAAATAGTAAGAAATAAAATAATTGAAAAATAATTAATCAATAAATTGCTTATCAGAATCATTAGTCTTTTATATATAATTATTAAATGTTGGTTAGATTATTATTTGAATTTGAATTTCAATTTTTAATGACATTATCAATTCATATACATTATCACAATAAATACTGTTAAATACTGAATACTGTCAAAGTTAGCTAATGAAAAAATACCTGACTATATTGTTAATATTACATTACTATCAAGTTATCAAATATTTAACGAAAAGATTTCTTTATAGATATAAGCGCCATTCAAAGAATATGAGTCTAATATCATGTTAAAGCATTTAATCTTGAATTATAAGAAGTGTTATAAAGTTTATTTCCTTCTTATAACTTGAACCAGCGACAATTGGATACTCTGACATTCAAAGTGGATGGATAGTTTATGAGAAGCAGGACTTAGGAGAATAGAGGATTAAGAAGTGATCGATTATTAATCACTGCCCTCGCAAACAGAATCACTGTCTTGAAAGATTTTGGATTTGTAGGTGGCTTTTCAGCTTGAGCAGCGATCGGAAGCAACCTGATTCCGTACGGAGGCTCGGGCTATATCGGGACATGGTCGTTGTGTTCGTTTATGCAAAAACAGTTATCCGATAAAACACATAATCTTATATCATCAAGAAAAGGACTCAGGGTTCCGAATAATGGGCATTAAGTGCGTATAGACATGGATAGATTAGAATTTGAAATTAAAATTTTATATTATATTTTGGGCCATACGAATTCGGGAGCACACAACCGAATACCCAGAATTTCCCTTCTTACGGGAACGTTAATAATGTGTGCTGACAGAGTATTGCAAGAGCGTACAAAGGACATAGCTGGGGTGGGTCGTATATTGGTGTGATTCTGACAAGAATGTTTGGAATGGTTCCAGCTCCTCTCAAATCTGGAGAGAAGATATAGACTTCCATTTTGGGACTGGAGCTTGAGGACACAAAGCAAGTGAGAAGAATTCGAAACAGGGCTTGTGTGCGGGAAGAAATCGTGCCCAGCTTCCAGGCAACTCAATAGGCATGTGAGTCCTGTAGTTGTCTGTTGTCTTCAAGACGGACTTGCTGAATCAAATCATCAACCCTTTCGTCTCAGATCGAGGATTTTGGAGAGGTGAACAGAACCCTTTTGGCCCCAGCCAGTGATTCCGCTTTCAATATCTGGACGAACTGTCACATACCAGGACCAAGCTCGTCCATCCATTTCGCCCTGACTGAGCACAGATACCCACGACTGGCACAGGAGATCAATCGCACCGAGTAAAAGAGCTAGGGCTCTCTCCTTTTCGGATGTCAAATCTGAAGCAGATCGATTCTTCTTTGCTGTATCTGTGGCCGAATCCGTTGGCTTTTGGAACGTGAACGATTTTAGTAAATAATTGCGGGCTGCCTCCGGCCTGTGGATTGGGAGGATTGGACTGATCAGACGTGATTTTGGGGCTTTGCTATTTGACTTTCTCATAGCTTCCGGATCTAATCCCCACAAAGCAGGTTGAGTCTTTGAGCTGATGTGTTCGTTGCTTTCCATTTTGGGAGTCTCCAATTTATCAGAAACACCGTCCGTAGGTTTCTCCGGCGGGTCCTTCTCATCCCAACTGTATCCCCACCGTTTCAAAACGCTGATTTCTCTTCCGAGGACTTTCACTGTTGGTTGTCCTTGGCCCCATCCTTCGTCTTCTGCGCTTTTACCAGTCTCAATTCCAAGACTAACAGCTTTGCTCCGGCTGTTGGCACTGACAACCGCTTGAGCCAAGCTTAGTCTGCTTGATAGGGGCTGTTCTGGCATTGTATATTTTAACAGTACAACTGCAAAGGCGAGGACCAGAGGCGCTCGGTTTGTCAACAAGATAGTTGAAGTTATCTCGTCTACGTTGGTCGATAATGGGAGGACCAACGCAGACTCAAGCTGAGAGGCAGATAATGCATCTAAGCTTAAATCAGACATTTTAGATCTTTTTGTAGGTGAGCCGTCGCCCTCATGGGGACGTTTCTTTGAAGTAACTCTACGGGCAGCATTCGAGACCTGTTTTGCAACCTTCTCTTCACCCAAAATAGATTGAAGCGTTCTAAGATCCTTTTTCAAAATCTCTTCCGGACTAGAGACATGCTGTTAGCTACTGCTCTATCAACGTAAAAGGATATATCTGTAATATATATGTATGATGTGCCACGCATACGTGATAAGATTGGCCTTCTGAAGTTCCTTCGCTTTTGCCATTGCGACGACGAGGGGCAGCTTCGAGTCCTGGGAAAGGAAGCGTAGCAAAGCTTGAATTTGGGCTGGGGTCGTCATTTTCACTATAATGGTATAACTCTTAACCTAAGCTTGATATTTGTGAACTTAACGAAAGCTGATGCCCGTCTTACATGTAGTTGGGATATTATTCCGAGGTGTGGTTAAACATAGCACACGCGCCTCCGCGCCTATTGAGTTTAACTAGCAAAAATGGCAATTGAGACGAGCTCAATCAAGGGCTACCTCAGCTTGACGCCAATAACCCTTCAAAACGCAAACTTCGAATCTTGAAGAATGAACCACACAAATACACCGTCAGCATATAAGCTGAGCAAAAGCTGCAATTGCAAAATGCCGGAAGATTTAAAAGTCAAGGGATTTCCTGATCTGTCGTCTAAGCTGTCCGCCCCCGCCAAGAAATCTCTATTCGAGCGCCAAAAAGCGGAAGCTGAAGCCAAACGGGCAAGAGAAAAAGCAGAAACCGAAGCTGTCTACGAGGATTTTGTGAAATCATTTGAAAACGATGGCGATACGTCTACGCGCCCAAGCACTGGAGAGAGGACAAGTCCATATGGTCATGGAGGCAGCGGGCACACAGGTGGCCCGATCGCCCCTTCAAAAAGACATTTTACAAGTAGCACGATGAGATCCGGATCTGGGAATCTGGGAGGATCACATCCCTTTGGTTCGAGAAAACGACCGTTCGAAACGCTACAGGCATCCCATAGGGACAGAGAACCGTCACATGGCCTTTTCGCTTTCGAGACCCCTTCCCCGGCCCATGTTGACGCCGCCGCAGCATTTCAGACTTCTGATGATGAGGATGACAAGGTCACAGACAAAAAGGAAGCGGAAAGAGCTGCAGCTAAGCCCACCCTTCATCTATCTTCGTTGCCACCGGGAACGTCTCCGGCAGTTGTCAAAGCTCTTGTTTCACATGCACTCGTTGTGGATAATGTTAAGATCTTATCGACAAGCGCCCAAGGAGCTGGAGAACGAAAAATATGGTCTGCAATTGTGACTTTGGCAAAAGGAACAGCTGCTACTGAGATGGATACTGTCGTCAGCTCATTGCAGAATAAATATCTGGGATGGGGTTACTATCTGTCAATATCACGACACCTCTCATCAGCCGCCATCAACTCCACCATGCCAGTGGTAACCGGGTTGACTTCTTCCACTTCCCAGCCATTCGGAGCACGTCCAACAAATCAGGGCCCGGGAGGTCATTTTGGTCGTGGTGGCACTCCTGGTGGTCATCGTGGTGGCTTTGCACCACCGTCGTCTTACGGGCCAGGTTATGGTGGGAGGGCTGGATCTAGTCTGCAAGTTGAGGTTAAACCTCCATCTGACCTGAAGCAGCTAAAACTCATCCACAAAACTTTGGAAAATCTCTTAACTTATGGTCCTGAGTTTGAGGCACTGCTTATGAGCAGAGCGGAAGTACAAAAGGACGAGAAATGGGCTTGGATATGGGACTCAAGGAGTCCGGGTGGGGTGTGGTACAGATGGAAGTTATGGGATATCTTAACGGGCGCAAGAAGAACTAAGAAGAGGCACTCACGAATGCGACCTTCTCCTATTTCTGTTTTCGAAAGTGGACCAGTTTGGATACCCCCAGAGAAGCATCTACAATTTGAGTATGTTACCAAAATGGATGAGTTTGTATCCGACGAAGATTACGATTCTTCAGATGAGGATGATTCAGACAGGGAGGATGAAAGACGTCTTGATGGCGGAACTTTAGAAGGTAATAGTGATGGTATTGGTCACTTAAATCCCCTCCAGAAAGCAAAGCTCGCATATTTGCTTGCAAAACTCCCTACTACAAATTCGAAGTTACGAAGGGGCGATGTCGCTCGCGTCACCTCATTTGCGATTCGCCATGCTGGGCACGGCGCTGATGAAGTTGTGGACATGATCGTTTCTAACATTACCAATCCACTTGCTTTTACTAGCGCTAACCCGGAACGCCAACGACGGGAAACGGAGCTTCGTGGTGGTAAACCTGAGGAGGTTGATGAGGCGAACACGGAGCAAGACAACCAAATTATCCCATCTTCCACGAAGCCATCCTCAAAAGAAATTCTAGATACTTCATCTGCTAAGCTGATAGGCTTGTACGTAATCTCTGACATCCTCTCCTCGTCATCTACAAGCGGGGTGCGGCATGCCTGGAGGTATCGGCAACTATTTGAATCAGCCCTAAAATCACACAAAACCTTTGAGCATCTTGGACGCTTGGAGAAGGAGTTGGCTTGGGGCCGGCTGAAGATCGAAAAATGGAGGAGAAGTATTGGCAGCCTTCTGTCTCTATGGGAAGGCTGGTGTGTTTTCCCTCAGTCAAGCCAAGAACATTTTGTTCAGGTATTTGAGAAACCACCCCTTACGGAAAAAGAAAAGCTTGAAGAACAGAAGCGTGCAGAAGCGGAGAAAGCTACAAGTGTTTTTGGTAGCAAAGGAAAGAGTAGATGGAGAACGGTTGACGAAGAGAGCAATACAGCACCCGCAGATACGGGAAGCGGTTTGGAAAGCGAGAAAATGGACATTGATGTTGTTGTTGATGATGATGATGATGATGATGGGGTGCCGATGCCCGATGACGATGATGTTGATGGGGAGCCTATGGATGACGACATTGATGGCATTCCGATGGAGGATAGTGATGTGGAGGACCTGGATGGTAAGCCGCTGGATGAGAATGGTATGGACGAGAGCGAACCACCCAGTGCGGCAGGGTGTGAAACTTCTCACCCGTCGGGCGACAATACATTTACCGAAGTCCCTCTAAATAAGCCACCTGAGACTGAGCGCCAACCTGCTCCTCGACGTCGTCGACCCAAAGCGGAAGACATGTTTGCGGATTCAGATTCCAACTGATGTTCATTGTGGAGCACCCCTTTTCATGAAGTGCTAGGGTCTCTTTCATTTCAGCCCTTTAATGTACAGTACTGCTTCCCATTCTTTTTATTCAAACGTGGTGTAGATTGTGCCCAATATATTTTGTTTATTTTAGACCTCCACATCCATATATCTTCTCAGTTTGATTTTATATAATAAGTTGAATTTTCTGATAGAATATATTATGGCAACATCGCGAAGAATTTAGGTACTGCCAAGCTAACCCCTTTTAGCGATGTTTGTTTCGCTTGAGTGCAAAAACCCTTTACTACACTACTTGTAACCCCACTACAATTCATTCCTGGCAGTTAATCCCAACCATCAACACTGGCGGAGATTTGATCAAATTGTCGTGACGCATAGACCAGGGAGTTTCTTCTATAAATCCTATACAATATGACTGGTGAGTTTATGATTCATTTGTCCTGCGTCCTTCTTTCTCGTCGTGATTTCCTTTGCGACCGATCCTCTATCCTACAAGCAACCATTGATCCAACATCTCTCCTTGACATAACCGGCACGAGTATCGCTAACGGATATCGCTTTCCTATAGACTACGCAACTGTTGCTCGTAAGACCTACACACCTTGACCTTTTATCACTAGTAATCGGACAGAGCTGGACCTCTCTGCTAACGACCCATTCTCTGAGTAGAGGAATTCGTTTCCTTCTATTATAACACTTTCGATACTAAGCGAAGTGCTCTTCGAGACCTTTATGTATGTGAGGAGCAGCTTAGGAACAACTATGATGTATAATTAGCTGATGATGAGGGCTACAGCGTCCCAATTCGATGTTAACCTTTGAAACAGCCTCTGTCCTAGGTACCGACGCGATCATAGAACGACTTACGGTCAGTACGCAGCAGTGGCTGGAGTGATTTTTAAATTCTATTTCAAGTGTATTGATTTTGGTCAACTAGGGCTTGCCGTTCCAAAAGGTTACACATGTCCAGTCGACAATCGATGCACAGCCAACTGAGGAGGGCGGGGTTGTCGTTCTCGTGACTGGTGCCCTAAACGTGAGTTTCAATCAGCTTCTGCTCTTGGAATGCCTCCTCGAGTGCTTGCTAATGCGGGAAATATCGCGAGATTCTAGGTTGATGAGGAACCAAAGCCGATGAACTACTCGCAAGTCTTCCATCTCCGTCCCAACGGGACAGGAAGCTTCTACGTCTTCAATGACATCTTCAAGCTCGTCTATCCCCAATAAATATTGATTCCACTTATCGAAGTACGAATGGGAGTCGGAGATGGAAGTGTTGCGAGGGAGATTTTGGTGTGTATAAAATTTCGATACCACTGATGGTTTTATAATGGTGTGGCCGGGAGCGTTGTCCAGAATATATGTCGGGAATATAATATGGTCCACGCAGACGCTGGCCACAGTGCTTCCTACCATAAAAAGAAGAACATGTGGTTTACGTCTCTCCCGTTGCTACTGTCCGTTTCCATTTTGTTTTAGATCTGGAGAAGGAATGCAAAATGCAAATACCAGCAAGGAAATTCTAAAACAATCTGCTACATCATCGACCAACTCCCGGAACCGCGTTGAGATCGAAAGAACCTATTGTCCTTCTTTCAAAATTGGCTGCAAGTGAATATTGTAGCTCTACCCAGTTAGTATATAGAATTGTACGTACATTACCTGGGGCAGTAAGCTCGATTAGCTGTTAAAAGGTCCCACATAACTCTCTATTTAAAAGCTCAAGTCGCAGTCGGGTTACTGCTTCACGGTGCCCCAGCTACGTAGGCAAACATAAGCTGCGCCCAGCCATTAATTGACAAATATCCCCATCATCTGCGTGTCATACGATTGGCACCTTGGTATCATCATATCCGTCTTCGGGGAACAATTTTATGTGGCAGCCTAGCGATAAGCCATGGAGTCTACGCGCGTGAGGTTGTTGTTGTTGTGGGTGGTTCCCCGAAGCTGCAACGGGTGGTAGGCTTGGCGTTCTAAAATAGGACTAGCGCCAATCGTCAGCAGCAGGTTGAACCTGATCAGGCCATTCATGTCTCGAAGCAGCTCATCTCAACCACACGAACCACTTAATTCAAATACCTACTTTCATCCTAACGAACTCTACTTACCAGTTTTCGCGCAATTATACTCTTTCTCAACAGCCGGCAACCTTACTTCGGAACCAGTAGAGCGACCAGGAGTTCAAACAACTTCCTAGACAAGTTGTTTGTTCCGCCACTTTGCGCATCGCTTATCAAAAGGCATCAGCAACACAAAGATAGAAAATAGAGCTGGAATCCGGACTCCTAGATTTTGCGCTTGATCTTCTCCTTCACTTAATTACATTGGATTTCCCGGTGTGTGCTGCGCGCAAAGACCATTAAATTACATCCTTTCCAAGCCGGTTGGGGGACCTGGTACGTTCGACCTTTCGCGGTTTTTGAGACCTCAAAACTTGCCCTGACGTAAATCACCAACTTCTAGTCTGTCAATCTCAGCGAACGGCATTCTCTCGATTGTAACCAACGGCGAAACTCATTGCTTAGGTGGACATCTTGTCTCGACGGAATCCCAAAGTCCTTCAGCGCAAACCAGAGCTGGGCGTGAAGTTTCATCAGCGAACAAATACCGGTCTTTCTCGGGCAAGTTCTATACAGTCTTCAAAATGACCATCGCAGAAGAGTTCAAGTCAAGGAATTTCAGTAGGTCTTCTTTGATTTCCCTGTTATGTCACGACGACGGAATGGCGTAAACTGACCCTGGACAGGTATTTATGGGCAATGGTTAGTAAAGCAAATTTCAGCAGCCTTTGTCGCCTGTTCGAAACTGGATATAGCTGTTTGGCTATATTATATGCGTATCGTGATTATCGTAAAGATATTGGCAATTGGAGCAGGTGGTCGACTTTGGGACAGACTACATGGATGAGTGGTCTATCGTTGGCCACGGTCTTGGCTCTCGTCTGAATTAACTAACGTGATTTCCTACAGGACCGGTGTCCTATGCATACTCCTATGTTTTGCTCTGGGAATTGCGAATATATTCCACATCAGAGTGATAGCTTTTAGTATAGTTTGCTTGTAAGTGGCATCATTTGATAAACCCCCCCAACCTTCCTCTAAGATAGCGCAGTTATCTAATATAGCCATATAGAGCATCATCATTCCTTCTCATCTTCGTGGAAGTCCCTCTCCTACTACGAATTTGCCCGACGTCGTCTAAATTCGATGCATTTGTCCGACGTTTCACGACAAACTATATGCGCGCTCTGATGTACCTCATCCTCAGTATCATTCAATGGTTGAGCATTATTGTCAGTGCAACCAGTCTTATTGCCGCCGCCTTCTTTCTCTTATTAGCAGGCGTTTTCTACTTATTGGCCGGCCTTACAAATCAAGAATTCATGAGTAGCAAGACGCTAGGTGGCCAAGGTGTTGCGCAGATGATTATTTAGGATGGAAATAACCCCTCTATTTGTTAAATCTCGCAATATACGATACTCCCACAAGTGCGAATTTTCGGTGGACCAGCGGCAAACGTTTAACATGCTCGTGTTGGAATGCTTAGTTTGTGACGGCTGAACGGGGAGGAGGTGCATTCAGTATGTGACTATTGCCTTTGTTTGAGATTATGATGATTAATTGCTAGTATTATTGTACTCTATGATTTTATTTTGCTCGTCGTGGTGGAAAATGACTTAGGAATATCATTCCCGTATGCCCACCTCGGAGAATATTCTGGTTTTGTTTTTGAATTAGATTCTCCCTCCCTCTCTCTTTTTTTTCCCTCCCCCCTTTCTTCATTTATTCATCTATTTTTCTTTTCTTCATCATTTTACTTGGTGGTATTTGGGCGTACCTTTTATTTTTCTGTTACCCTCTATGGTATGTGGTTTTGGTTTTTCTTGGGGCTCTTTAGACAGTTTGTTGTAACCCATCGTCTGCCAATTTTTAGGCAGACAGCTCCTCGCGTAGTAAAGGCGTGGATTAATGAAGTGAAGAACTCTCAAATATGGGCTGAACACAAGAGCTGATGTTTGCTTGCCATATCGAGTCGTTCCGGATTTGAATTCACCTCTGCAGAATCCTTGGGGACGGGGGCCTGCCTGCATGACGCTCTCATTTGTTTCCTCGTCGGATACGAATAATGATATAGTCGATCATCACACGTCCTCTGCTATAGTCGCCAACAGAGCCCTAAATCATATAACATCTCACACATATCAAAAGAGAGGTGCTGTTGCGATGTCATAGAAGACCAATATGTCAAGTAAAGTCTTTCTCAAAATCTGGAATGACATGAAGGGCCGATTCAAATACACCTCTGAGTCAGGAACTTGTGCCTCATTTTGGTAACCAGCTAATTCACAATGGGAAGATAGGATTAAAGTTTGAACAGAGCTATGGGGTAACTCGCGGCAGATATCTCTGACCTACCCACAAAAGGAGTGATCCATTCAAGGCGGCAAGTGATAGCATGGTTCAACCAGGGAAATGCAATTCCCACCAATCAACAATAATGATGAGGTTTCAAAAGATAAACTATTCAGAGTTACTTGACAGGACATGCTCCGGGGATGCAGTCTAATATGTTGATACTGAAACGAATGAATGACAACAATGATAATAGCATTCTCAACACTTTCATGCGAAGACTGGAAGACCAACTACAATCTGACCCAGGAGTAAGATCAACCAGACAGGGCAGGACCCGCGATTTCTCTGCTCAGCATGCTATGGTGTGAGCTCAACGGCATCACCAAAGGATTCCCCTGTTGTTGACATAATTGAGAAGTGTGGCAACTTTAACAGCGAGAGCCAGAGCGATAATAACGCTCATTCATACCACTCTATCTCAATTGGATAGGACTGCAAAAACTGCATACCTATTTCGGTTCTTATGAGGTTGATATATATGTGCACCATGGATGCATCCATGCAACCCAGCCTGCGAAGAGGAGAGGAACGGGTGGGTTAGCAATTTGTTTTCCGGATTGGAGGATGTTGTGCAGGATTGCGTTGAATGCGATATGGGAGATGGAAGGAGACACTGCTTGGCTGGAGATTTGAAAATATCAGACCGTGAATTGAAACTCGGTGTTGTTGCTCGTTGATGGTAGGATTTACTTCGTGTGTGCAAGCTACTGTGTGCTGCGCGAAGACGAGATCCATACCCCGCGGTTGGGCTGATAGGGGTGTGTGTGGCTGTGGTCGGCTGCGCCATAGTTAACTACGGACGGCTAAGCTGACCCTTCGCATCGAGGATGCCAACAGCTAAAGTATGCCTGAGGTATGAATACATTTCAACACCCTTTTACCTCAAAATCTGTACTGCCATTCTGAGAATGGCTGAGGCGCATATAGGGAATTCCCACCTAGGGCATGGGCACTCAAGCTAAGAGGCCAAACAACGTAACTAGTTGCCCTAGTGACTCATAAATTATGATCCTTTTTCAGGATGCCCTATTTAGTGTAAGGCTCCATGACTCTAATAAACAGTCCTTCGGCGTGGTTCCCACTTCACCCATCATGAACTTGAAGCCAGAAGACGTTCAGATGGGATGACTCCTCAGGCTCTCAGTCAAGCTACCTGTGCTGCTTACATCCTCGCCTGGAGCTAAGAATGGATCCCTGTGTGTGGGCGGGTTGCGGCTCATCCAGTCATTCTCCATCAATGCGTTGTTTAGTGACTCTATTGAGCTCTGCTGCCTGCCAGCTCTAGAGCGAAACCAACATCGAGGAATGATATATTTTGCTGACTCGAAGAATTAACCATAGAATGAATCCTTCATAAATCTCAGCTCTTCTCCCAGTTCTTTTTTGTTCTACTTTCACATTTCTCGTTTCATCCTTATTAGCTCTTAAATTTAATATACTGAGAGGTTTACATCTATCGATCCACCGTAAGATTCCGAGAATTTTGCTATGAGGGTTTCGCTTGTTCCTCTTCCCTTGAGATAAATCTATCCTGACAACCGCAACTATGGGTTGTTCTAATTCCACTCATGTGGGCGAGGAATCCGACGCTGACCGGAGGGCGACAAAAGCACTGAACCCCTCTACCGCTTCTACCCTGCTCCCGAATTTCCATTCAGAAACACTTGAAGCTCCTTCGCAGACAGGACTCTCTATGGAATACCAGCTGGCTGTGACAGCAGTTACAGATGCATATATCGAGGAGACAAGAGAGTTCGAAATGACCCTGATGGAGATAACGAACGAAATATTCACGGAGCAATATGGAGATCCAAATGTAGCCGCATTTTACTATGTTCCAGAAGGCACCGCTGTCCCGGAGGAAAAGATGGAGCCTGCTAAGGAGTGTCGCGTCTGTTTCCAGGCTGTTTCCGTCTGCGCGTCCCTGCTGTATCCGTGTAAAAGGTGTACGGAGTTTACTTGCAGTGATTGCCTTCGGAAAATGTTCACCACAGCCTGTGTTGATGAGTCCCGGATGCCTCCACGTGGTTGCTGTGGTCCGCTAAACATTGGAGTGGCTGTCTCTGTCCTTACTTCAGAGGAAATACTTCGGTTCAAGGCCAAGCACGAGGAATGGTCGACGGCCAACCGTGTGTATTGTCCAGTCCCTACATGTTCTGCCTTTATCCCCTACAGGCTATTCCCCCCTGATTACCGCCCGACTGCTCTAAAACTGGCCAAGCCGGAAGTGAAAGAGAACCCACCATCAACTCTTAGCCCAGCACAACTACAGACTCCGCCACCCACACCTCCTTCCCTTCCCTCCTCACCGCGTCCACAGCATGCATTTATATCATGCCCAGAGTGTGCCATTGAAATATGTTGCGCATGCAAGCAGATGGCTCACCTTGGCGCTTTGTGCCCTGAGGATGCAGGAGAATTGGATCCCGAACTGGCTAAGCTCTTGAAGCAATGGAAGGTCAAGCGCTGCCCTAAGTGCCGTGGAGCAGTAAGGCGAATGTACGGTTGTAGCCACATTGCCTGCAGATGTGGTGACCAATGGTGCTGGCACTGTACTCAGCCTATCGAATGGTGTCATAAATATGGTTGTATAGATAACATAAGTGAGGACGACGACGACGATTCATACGATGACGATGGAGATGACGAGAATGAGTATGAAACTAGGAATCAGGGCGAAGGTGAAGCAGCTCCTGCAATCAGAGACCTGGACCGAGGCGGTAGATATCGCTGGAATGATAGAGACCATGACTTTGGCGAAGAACCCGTTTTACACCATTATGACCCCTTCGATTGCTACCACAGGTGGACCAAGGCTGAGACTTCAGACGTTAACGATAGGCAGAACTACGCCTGTGAACGGTGCTGGCGTGACATTGCTCCCCGCCAATTTACGTACCCAGAAGTGGCGGAATTGATGGAACAGGGTTTTATTTTGGAGAAGCCCATTGTGGATGGAGAAAACCACGAGATTTCAAATCTGAGGCTTTTTCTCTGCAATCGATGTATGCTGATGCTCTGTGATGACTGCCAGGTCGCCAACACTGCGGAAAAGGTAGCTAGAAGACAGTGGGAAAGGGTGTAGGATGATGCATGAATTGACCTGGAGTCTATGCTTTACGGTTTTTGGCGTTGTTTGTATGAGGTGATGATGATCTTGATTTTCTTCTTCTTCTTTTTAATCTTCGCATCCACTTGGCGCTTTGCAGGCGGATGTTGTTCCCAACAAATATTTCTTTTCTTTGCTTCCTTTTTCCTTCCGTATAGCTTATTCATCTGTCTATTTATTCCCCTTTTCACCAGGCGGAATAGCTATTATCCAAATCCATTGGCCAGTAGGGAATATTGTTGCGTTCTTAGACTCCGAGTAACTTAGCTATTAGTTATCTTTACTAGTTAAAACAAAGGGGGGGGATATTATGTCATCCAGAACGTCGCCCAGATTTCGGACCTTAAGTTGAAGCAACAACTACAAAAAAACTTCAATCGATCTTCAATTGGGGTTGTTATACAATACACCCCCACCAACTGGCCCCATTCCCAACATGAATATACCATCTTCTTCCATCCATGTCCCTTTCCGCCGCACCGCGTATCAATGCCTCCGCCAAACCCAACTTTCGAGCCGCATGCCGCTCCATGGTGTTCAGCGGCAGCACCAGCACCAGCATCAGCAGTGTCGTCTTTTGTCCGCGAAGTCCACCCCATCAATGTCCCGGTTTACTGTGAACCCCCAACGTAGAGCTAGTGCACAGATCTCTGCCAACTCTGTTCAACGGTGTAAACGGACTATAGTGGTGTGTCTGGCTGGCATTGTCGCCAGTGGCCTGGGAATGTATGCCGTTATTGCATCATCGGAGTTAGATAAAAATGTCCCGAATGATAAAAAGGCTCCATCGACACCATCGCAATCAGACAGAGGTTCTAATATGGGTAGAATTATCAAACTTGATGGTCCGTCCGGTCTAGAGGAAAACCCAACAACGATCGTAGTCGATGGCGTCGAACAAGTTCCCACTGGAAACTCCACAATCCCCAATTTCCCCAAATCCATCAAACTTCCCGACAGCAGTTCCCAGCACATAGATAGACGAGTGGGCGATGCGCTTCCCTCCAACTCACAGACGGAAGAATACACGTTAATCGGCCTAGGTATTCGCACCGTCTCCTTCCTCAGCATCCAGGTCTACGTCGTGGGTCTCTACATCGCCAAATCAGATATTGCAGCTCTACAACAACTGATGGTCCGAAGAGCTGCAACGCCCGTAAGCGTTTCTGCTGTAAACGAGAGTGCTGTCCCTGCCACCTCCCTCATCTCAACAGAGCGAGAGACGTTGAAGCAAATGCTCCTGGACCCGGAGCAAGGGGAGGAGGTGTGGAATCAGATTCTTAGGGAAAACGGGATCCGCACTGCGCTACGCATCGTTCCTACGAGGAATACGGATTTCCTACATCTCAGAGATGGCTGGGTTCGTGCTATTACGGCACGGGCACAGAGTGCAAATGCATATGCCAAGGCCCTTGCGGCAAAGCAGGGTTCTGGCATGCCGGCTGGCGCAGAAGTAGTGTCTGAGTTTGCGGATGAGAGTTTTGGGAATGCGATTAATGAATTTAAGACGCTCTTTGGTGGTGGGGTAAGGAAAAATGTACCAAAAGGTCAGATTCTGTATCTTCTCCGGAACAAGGTGGGCGGGTTGGAGTCGATGTTTGACACTGGGAGTGGAAATCCGATGGTTTGGTTGGGGGAGGTAAAGGATGAACGGGTAAGCCGGTTGTTGTGGGTGGGATATCTGGCGGGAAAGAAGGTCGCGAGCGAGGGAGCAAGGAAGAGTATCGTTGATGGAATTATGCAGATCGTGGAGAGGCCGGTTGGGACTGTTGCACAGAGAATTGCGTGATAGGATGGGGCTCCAGATTTTTTTTTTTTTTTTTTTTTTTTTTTTTTTTTTAAAAAAAAAAAAAAAAAGCTAAATTTGGTTTCCCGTCTTTTATTAAGGAGCGGAGGGGAAGAAATTCCCTACGCAACATGTTGTGGGAGGTATTCTCCTCTTCTCAAGATATTGTATTATACTCCTTGTTTTCCTTTCTAAAACTCTCCATGCATATATGATTTGGATAGCCAAAACTTGATGTAAGCCAGAATGGATGGGTTCATGACATGCAATTGCTATTTTTTCTCTGCTGTTGTGTATATCTTACGTGTTATTAATGTTGCTGATAGCAACCCAAATTATATACGGCGTGAAGTAATAAAAAAAATCCCCCAATTAACACAACTCAATTCCATAGAAGTTCGAAGAACAAAAACCATTTATCCCGTTGACTTATCCCACAATCAATCTATCGAGGTATTGCTTGCATCTACCCGTGAGGGCATCCCTGTCCTCTCCCCAACACTACTGCGCCCGTTCTAATGCCATTGGACGTGAAGAAACAGAATAACCTGGTATAGTAGGAGGTCCTCATTTATTTACTTGGTGTATCTTAGACATTTGCTTTGAGAGCTTCTGCAGCTCGCAGGAGGGCGGGAAGCTCAGCTTTGCGGGCTTGCAGGTCGGAGTTGCCACCAATGTGTTTTTTGCCAATGAAAATGTTGGGCACGGTGCGCTGAGAGGTGATTTCTTCGAGAACGTGTTGGATAGCGGTGCCGTCCTCTGGGTTGCATGACTTTGTTAGCATCGGAAACCCATGTTATGTATTTATTTATTCGGTTGGAAGTCGAAGGAGAAGGGAATGGTAGTGAGAGGAGACTGGATTGAGGAGTTAAAATCGTACTGATTTGATCCAACTCAAGTGCAAAGAAAGGTATGCCCAGTTCTGTCAAAAGTGCCTTCGAGGCTCTGCTGTAGGAGCAGTATGATTTCGAGAACACGACTGTAATCGATTATTTTGGACTTACTGTTAGCTATTTTACCCTTCCAGCAGAGGTTTTGGGCCGCTTTGAGGTATGAGGAAATGGGCAATGGGGTTGTTCTAATTAAAGAACAATAGCACCATAAACAGGGGTCGAAACAGGGTTCTTTTGCTTCATAGAGATATTGATGGCCGCGCGAGAAGCAAATTGCGGAGGTAGGGAATTAAAACGCACCAACACAGTGATCGGCAATGATGCTCTCAACCTTCGTCTTTACAGCAGACATTGTTGCTGGGTTTGATCCGGCTAGGGAGCCGAAAAAACGACGGAATATGGAAGCTATGTTGGGCAATGGGTTTAAGGCTCAGATGCCTTATCTTTACCAAGGGGGTATAGAATGAGGCTTACAAACTAAGCATCTAATGAATGTTTGTTGATGATTGTGGTGATAACTGATGTGTTGATATTGTGAGATGAATGTTTGCGCCAACAGAGTGTGTTGTAGTTTGTTGTTGGAAGGCAAACTAAAAAAACTTTTAGCTTTTTAACTCTGAGATTGCATTATTTTTGCCTGCAATACTCAACTAGTTCGTTAGTCAATTAATATTTTAGATTTGTAAGAACAATTACTGCAAGCATGGAATTCATTTCAGTCTTTATTAATAGCATAAAAGTGTATAAATAGAAATAAACAAAAGTGGCTCACATTTCCCCAGTTTTGCCACTGTAACCAACTTTTTAGTAGTTAAAGCAATGACCGCATCGACGCCGAAATGGCACCAACTTCAATGTTGTCATCGCCAATCAGGCGAAATGAAATGACTAGTTATCTCTTTCCAATGACATACATAATGACATGGATGGGCCATCCTGGTTCAAAAGCTAGCTCATTCGTGTGCCAAATTGTTGGTTAGAATAACTCTCAGCATGGGATCTTGCATGCCCACCCCTCTATAACCAGTTAATTGGAGGAACGAGGTGATTGGTAACTAGACATGTTCGCATTTTATAGAGGATTGCTGGTGCCAAGCATGACCTAAATTTGAACTATCAATAATAATTCAAAATGAAAAATGAAAAGATGGATACAAGAAAAGAAATATCTTTTATGATATCCCATTTATCATTCTTTCTCACTCCTGGGAACCCCCAGACCCCCCCTCAACGCAGAACATTTCCCTGTCAGCCTGATGGTAAGGTGTAAAGAAATCATCAGGAGGCCAAGTCCTCCAGATTCTTTCTCTCAATCCCCAGGTCACCGAAATGGCGAAATTTCGTCCTGGCACAATGTATATTTCGAAATATGCAAGTCTGCTTTGGAAGACATGATCAGCCCGTTAACCCCGCCCTTTATTCCTGTTTCAAGAGGGCTAAACCACATCTCTCTTTGGTCGGGAAAACGTACTGCATGGCAATGCACCTGTCTCGGCCCCCTTTGAGAAAGTCACAAGATCCTGATCCAGCCTTTGACCGCTCTCAGGAGCTTTCAACCAACGTGATGGGTCAAATGCATCGGGTTGCGGGAAGAGCTTTTTTTTTTTTTTTTTTTTTTTTTTTATCGCGGTGCATCATCCATGAACTCATACCGACGATTGTCTACGCCATTGTCAATGACCAGAGTGGACTGCATATATTATGCGCACTAGAAAGGCACACAGGAAATTGAACTTAGACGTACACCAGCAGCAACGTTGTAGCCATTGAATTCGGCGCCAGATTCGGGAACGACGCAGGGAAGCCTTCTGAGTACGCCATATGATAATCTGTCAGAGCAGGTTTTTTCCAGCAAATAGGATGAGATCTAACCGAAGGCCCTCCTTGACGACAGCAGTCTATATTGCACCATCTCAACGGTAATAAATTCCCAGCACGTACAGTTCTTGCCGTCTGTTGGTATGGAGGGCGACGTGGAAGCAAAAAACCAAGCGGATCAAGTATAGTAACTGCTCCAGTTTTTGAAAACCCAGTTCTGAGTTTGGAAGGGGAAACTCCCTTGTCAGCTCTGCCCTCAGCGTTTTGTATATCTCCCTGTTCGCAACGACGTTGTACGTTGTGATCGTCAGCGTATTCCTAGTCAATTGCGACGCAACATCAATGATGTTATGTTCTTTGTTTCTTGGATCGTCCACATCTGGATCGTCGCCTATTTGAAGTTGGGGGAACACGGGTTCTCGTTTCAACGATGGTTGCTTTTCTCTGTTCTCCCTCTTCTTGACATCCTGGATCCCTTGAGATGTTATATCGTACCAGCCCTGTGCACTGATTCTCAAGAAGAAAACCGATTAGCCAACACTTTGTTCATTCATCCAATAAATCCAAGTTCAAGGGGGTGGGGAAAGGAATCTAGTTTCCTTTAACTCTAGAGTCCAATCCGATCCAGTTTTAACCATCCAACACATTACCCACCTTTTTCGCCCACCACAATTCCGACAGTTTGATAACGCTCTCATCCATCCACCCAGGCACTGCAATCTCCAATATTCCTTTCAACGCAGGAAACAGTTGAAACACCCACAACCACCTCGCTATCGACCTCGCGAAGAAAATATGCTCTTTGCCAAAAGTCTTCCCTCTCCAAACACCCATACCTCTTATCAAATGCGTTCTCCGTGATGGTATCAACAGACGCGGCACGGAAGGCATAGTGCAGATTAATCCTCCCCACGCTGCACAGCCGGTTTCGGATGCGATTCACGAGAATTGTAGTGTTTGACTGAATGATCGGGTGGAGGTCTGGGAAATGTTTGGGGGAGAGAAGGGGTCCCAGCGCTGCGCGCTTGGTGAGGAATGTTTCATCATTTGGGGTTGCAAAGGGGCTGGGTGCTATGGCGTGTCCTCCCGGGAGAGCCTTGTAAAATGACTGATATTTCGAGTATTCGGGTATCGGCATGGTAGATTCTGTCATAGTTTGCCGGATCACCAAGGTGGATTTCGGTCGGAGAGATGCGGATTACCGGACCTGTCGAATGTGGCTATGTCTAATTGGGTTCTCAGTTTGGAGAGTTTGCCTATCATATTTCAGATGCAGCTTCTTTGTCTGAAGATAGAGCTTTCCGCTACGGATCCCGTTATAATAAAAGACATAGAGGTGCGTTGCAGCCGCCAGTCGTGGGCCGTCAATATGGGCCAATGGATGGAATATAAACGGTAGACGACGACTGCTACCGCGTATGAGAATGTGACTGTGGATACCAGGGCAATGGCAAACAGCCATGCTAGAGATGAGCGGAGGAGGCCCTGAACCATGGATTCTGTGAATATTGTCATATTCTGCCTTTCCTTTTCCTTTTCCTTTTCTTTATAAAGGGGCCATTGTTCACCTCTGTGCTTTCTTTTTAAGAAATTGATAACTATAGAAGAAAATCTCAGGCACCAATGCCACGAGGAGGAGTGGTGACATGTTGGCATTTATTCATGACAGCGCCTGCTGAGGTGTGGCCGTCCATGTCTTAAATTTCAAAGAAAAAGGAATATTCTGAGGAAATAAACGGAGGCCTCAACTCCTCACCCACCGCACTCATCACAAAGAATTTCATGCATGGGAAACCATGAGGCATGGCATGTTTGCAGGGGAATGGTGGAATCGATACGGAACAGGGTGAACGAAAGGAGCAACGAAAAAGGGACAGAAGTGGTTTGCTGAGGTAGAGATGTAGCACCTCAACACCAGCTGAGCTCCAGGTATCAATCCTTGTTAACCAATCCGATGTTATTAATTTCATTTTAAAAATGAGGATGTATTCACGCGAGTTGTTGTTGTTGTTGCCTGATGTTGGTTTTTCGCTGGTTCCACTGCCAATAATGCCGCTTTGCACTTGTCATTTTCAAAATTCATCCTCTCATTAAATACCTAAGAGGGAGAGAGATGAGCACCTGAAGGAGGCCGGCGAGATCGACTGCAGGAAGCAGGACTGGGTACGGGGTGCGGGTGGGGAGTTGGTTAAATATATCAAAGACAGTTGTTGAAAGTGATTGGCAGATCAAATTGTTTGATCTTGATCTTAAATATTTCATGATTCTAGGACTAAAAAAATAATTCATTTCTTTCTATCATTAGATCGACATTTCAACAACAGATCTTGATAAATAGTTGCGTAGATTGTTGAGAAACGTAGAAAAAGACTACCTATTCAACTTTTTGAGCAATAGTTATATATGTGCAGTTACACACGTTAACAGAGTCAACGCCGATAAGCGATGGCTTTCAATATACCAAGGTTAGAAGGGAGGAGAGAGGTGGCCGGAGGAGGGCGTAAGCCTTCTCCTCATCTTCCCACTCCCCCGCATTCTTTGTCTAGGCACTTTGCTCTATTCGATTGTATGCACATAAGACGTGGAGAGCCCCGTGCTGCATTATATTATGCAGTGATGGCTAGAACCTATTCGCCGCGGTCAGATATCTATCAAGCTCATTGATATCTTTAAAATGCGCAAAAGTCGGATGAAAGAGAAAGGAAGATGAGGGAAAAAGGAAGATGAGGATATACTCTGCCAGATACAACCAATTCGCTAGTAGGAGAAGTTTCTCTTTTTTTTGAGCTATGCATGCACGTACGAACGTGCATGGTGAGGTCATGGTTTTCGACGGAAAATCTTCTGCATGCATAAGTCCATTGCCAGCTATAAAAGATGAAAGCCCTCTCCTTCGCTTATTGATTGATCCCGCTTCAAAGACAGGCTCTTTCAATTTATTTCTTTAAAATCAGTCTTACATAGAGCTCAGGGTGAGGGAGAAGAAAAGCTAGGTACACAGACGGTGTGTTTCAATGGTTTCGGTAAAAGAGGCCAGAGAACAAAAGAGGAAGAAAAAGGATATATTAAAACCATATGCAAATTAGCGGAGGAGTAAAAGGAGTAGCAAAAGGAGTAGCAAAGAGAGGCTACTGTCATGTACTTCGGTGTTGAGACAACGAAATCGTTCTGTTTGTATTTGATATGTATATAATTTCTGTCTTCCCTTTATTTCTTTCCTCTCCTTGTCTTGTTTCCTTTAACTATTCTCCGAGATGAGAAGGGACGGAAGGGACGGAACGAGATGAAATCAGTTGGTGAAATAACGAGTACACCCGGAAGGTTTTATGCATTATGTACCAGGGAGCCAGAGAGGCAGAGAGACAGAGGAGGGGCGGGGGGAGGGAGTAAGGGGGAGAGAGTCATCCTGTCACATCTTGTAAAATGCACACTCACGGGACGACTAATAGTGGTATTCAGGTTTGTATATCCGTGATTGAAGGTGATCTGCAGAGGAAATAGAGCAAACGAGATATAAAATAAGAAAAGAATAGATGGGTGGTAGCGGCAGCGACGGAGGCTGAAATATAGAGTTTACAAGAACTCAGAATCAACGAGAAAGGTCGGGGAACGAAGTTGAGACGATATATTTGTTAGAAAACAAACAATGGGAGGGAATAAGAAAAGTGAGGCATGCTAGGAAAAAAGAAAAGCTGGCTCGAGAAGGGAAACAACTATAGTTTAGTGAAGAAGAATCATAAAAGTCGTAAGAATAGATACGCTGCAAAAGTAGAAAAAAAATAAAAATAAAAATAAAAAGAAGGAAGGAAATCGATAGATAAAAGAAAACAAGCTCTGGCAAATAGACAATCAAGAGGAGGGGTATGATGAAGTAAATAATGGCTGCTGCTGTCACTGCTAAAAAAGACAAAAAAAAAGAAAAGAGCTGGAAGAGGAAAAGAGAGGGGGAAAAGAGAGAGGAAGCAAGCAAGGATATGCATATATAAAAACGCCGACGGGCTGCAGCTGGGCTGGGCTTCACAATACAGAAAAGAAGGAAGGAAAAGCAAGAGGGGAAGGGAAGAGAGAGAAACAGTAATTCAACTTCTGGCTACTTTTGCTTGGAATGTATAATACAAGAGTCGAAATATAATAGCTAACACAAGATTTGAGAATATAGAAAATAAAGAAGGGGGTTGGATGATAAGATAGGATGCCGAAGGGATAAATAAGGAGGTGACACAGGCCATTGGAAAGGCTGCTACTTTGCTGACAGGGTTTTGTCGCAAAATATTTTTCTCTGAAAAAATATGAAACAAAGGGAAAGAGGAAGAAAAAATCTTCATGGAGTGGGTGGCAGTAAAAAGCTAGGTGATATACCTCTTTCCTCCGACTTTCTGACTGCACGAAGGAGAAAGATGAAGAGTGAAATACATGCCAATCTCCGATTCGTATTTACATGACAATGCAACAACCACACCCCTTCTCCTTAACAGGAGGCATATCATCTGCAGGCAGAGGTTGAGGGTGAGGTTTCGACACTTGCGATGGCTTGGGAGATAGAGAGGACTGCACGGTTGGTATAGTTTTGTAACCGCCATGATCTGTCCCGCTCGTGCCTGGCCGATTGTTGAGGTCTGGGGATTTTGGAGATTTTGGCGTTGGTGGCCATAGGGTTTGGTTGTTGTTTGTTGTTGCTGTTGTTGCTGTTTCTTGTGCTTTCTCGACATCGAGAGCCAGAGAGGGTAGGGTGGGTTTATCAAGTTCATTAATGGGCAATGGCGCAAATTCTCTGTCATACATCGAAGGGACCTTTCCTTCTCGCTCCCACTGCTCTTGCTGGAGTCTTTTCGCGTGGGTGGGAAGAATCTGCTGATCGGGCGGGAGACGTGGATCCGGTTTGTACATGGTTGCTAACCATGGAGGATCCCCTTCTGGACGGTTCACCGCAGTCTGGGGACGGTTTTCACCAGATCTGGTCGATGGACGCTGACTGGATGAAAAGCTATTGTTGTTACTGCTACTAGCCGTGGCTTTGGATTTAGATGTCGATGTCTTGCGATTATTAGGTGGGACAGATGTTTTGCGAGTGGTGGTTGTCTGTTTGGTGCTTGTTTTGGACTTGACGGGAGAACTCGGCTGTTGTTGAGTGTTGCTGTTGCTGGACGGTCGACTCCCGGGAGGAGGTGTAGATTCTGCTGAGGGTGTTGATTGATTTTGCGGATGCGGCTGTGACTGCGGCTGTGAATGCGTTTTGGGTTCAGAAATATCATCAGCTGCGATCTGTATTGGATCGCTAAACTTGCGAGTCTTTGCATATGCAATATTATCATCATCTCCGCTCCCAAGCGTATTATTTCGAGTGCGATTTAGGGGGAATTCGCGTTCAAGATGTTCAAGTGGGATAGGGTGCGGACTCGTCGCAAGAACAGGTATTCTAGAAGAGCTTTTCCTAAGTCCAGAAACTTGGCGAAACACATGGTAAGTGTTTCCTCCGTCCTCGTACGGATCTGCAGCAATTTCTTCAGGTAAACGGGGGTCATCAAATACCATCATATCGGTGGTATTACGTCCTTCCTGTTCCTCATATGCAATAGGTGTGGGTGATGTGATACGCTGGCGCTTTTCTTCTCGAGTTCCAGGCCATTGTTCCCCAGGCTCCGCGATTCCATTTGCAGTATTGTTATGGGAATCGTGGCTCCGCCCTCGTCTGCTGCTTGATTTACTCCCGGCACGAACCTGTTGTTGATGGAACTGAATACCAAATTGTTGCAATTCCTCACTTTCTATTTTAGCCAATTTGTCCCGATGGATCCAATTGGCACTGTCTAATTCTTCGTTCCCGAACCAAAGCTTGTGACTCTTCTGTTCCCCAGATTCCATCACGTTCACAGCACTGCGGTTGGCTGATTCTCGACCAGACAAATCCAAGAGGCTATCTGCTTCACTGCCAGTTCGACTAAGGGCGGGTTCCCGTTTCCCCAAGGCATCCACTCGATTAGGTAGAAGATATCCCGTATCGCCCTGCATGGAGCCAGACCTCGACGAGTTCCTTGACAATGGGATTCCGTTCACGGCAGGCAGTTGGTGATGTCGTTGATTAGATTTGGAGTATGCGGCGGTCGAATCGTTCGAAGTTCGTCGCTTGGAAGCAGTTGAGGCATGTGCATTTTGTAGATGAGACTGTTGGGGTAATGTGAGCTAGCTGCTTGCGAAAGAAACTCAGGAGCAGTAAATGAAACCATATATGTAAACAAAAAAAATTAAAGGAAAGAAAGGAATGATTACAAAAGAATTTAACAGAATGTTGAATGTAAAAATATATGGCATAAATCAATATGTGTCAGCTCATTTGATTGGTATACTGACTCCAGGGAGCCCGAGCAGAGAGTTAGAAAGACAAGAGAGACACAATGACACTCCATAGAAACCCACATAAGCAGCAGGTGTAATTAAGGACCCATTGAGGCCTGAGACAAAGCCAGACAAAGACAAGAAAGAGGAAGAGACAATGATTCATAGGGGACAGAGTTACACATACATCTTGGCTGATTGGGACGGAGAAATCCCATGGCT